TGTGGACACTTCCAAGGTAATTATTCGCATTATTCCACATTTGTGCTACCTGAATGAGTAAAGGAAGAGACCAGGTCCATTAATATTTGGATTGCCAGCACCTTTGGCTTTCTGCTCGGGTCTTGTACCTTCACCAAACAGCCATTGGCCAGAGAGCATATAATATGAAGGAGAATCTATCAGAACACTGAGAACAATCAAGGGTACATTCAAGGAACACAGCAAGCTTCTTGTTTAATAAGCTCGAAAATATTTCAAATCAACTTTATATAGGTGCTGTTTTGGAACATATTTGCTTGTTTGCAAAATGGGAAAATTTTAATGTAATCAAAAACTAGTCCAAGTGTACGTCCAACACGGTTTCATGTGGAATTCGTATTCATATTCCCGTGGCAACAATAGCCAGGCAACCAATTCACTCGTCGCCACCTGCCAACTCTTTCTGTTTGCCCCGCACAAACAATTCTCGCCGAGCACTCGCCGGGGAATGCGGTACATGTAGATCCTGGGAATCGGGAGCCGGGCTCAGTGGGACACGCGGATGGAGGCGGAGGTCCTGGGCAGGCAGACACATGCCACAGTAGAAACTGATTTGACCTTTACACGGGGAGAGGGCTTCTGGGTGTTTGCCCAATGTCCCGGTGCAGGTGCAGGAGCGTGAACAGGAGCTGCCACGGAGAGAGGAGATGCCACATGTATGTGGCATGGTGCCTTGGCGCTAACGAGTGAAGTCATGGACTTTCTGCTTGTCAGCCTGGTCTCCGTCTCCTCCATGCGGACACATACCTTCCGACACCCACAAATATGTACAACAAAGGATGGGAGACGCCGCAGGCTATGTTACTTTGGCTTCACGGCACAGTGGCTCGAGCTTTGCTTACCTTGAGTTGAAAACTAAATAAATGTTTGGGAATTTCATAATTAAATGAGTTCAAAAGCTTGGACTTGACCAAATGGTACAGCGTTGGCCTTGGAATACTATAAAACAAAAGAAAATAATGAAAATCTGATATAAATCTAAAACAATTGAGTTGTGAAATATTTCCTGGGTTATCTAAAAGAGTATTTATCAAAAAATTGTTTAATTTCTTCAAATTTAATGGAGTTTACTAATAAGTACTCCACCAAGGTACCATCGTTGGCATCGCGATTGTTTTCTATTCCTTTTCACTTGTTCAGTCACTTGCCCCTCGTCACATTTCACTGCATACTTGCAGGCTTTCACCTACACACTCGAACACATTGTGTCACACAAGCACTCACACAATGAAACAGTCAATGTCGTTTGCCGTTTGTTGTTGGCTTTTGTTGATATTCTTGTTATTGTTTGGAATTTCCCCTGTGAAGGGGCTGGCAAAGGGGGAATTATACTAAAAACGTAACTAATTTGCGCCCGAGGATCTCACGCGTCTCAAATGTATTTTGTGTCAGGACTTTGGGTCCTTAAGTGGCTTTGTCGAGTCTTAAAAACGTTGTCAGTGGGCTTGTGGCAAAGGAATTCGCACTTGTCAGGCCCCTGAAGACGGAAATCAAAGTCCTTGCCAGCCAAAAGGAAAGGAAAAATATGTGCCAAGAGGGCAAAAGGACGAAGACTGGGTAAACCGCAGCAATTTTCTTGCTCCCGTTTGTAACTTTGCCTGCGGTGTCCCCGACATACGGATGCAAACTCGCACAAAGGAAAGCCTCAAATGTCAGTTGGCTACATGCAATCCTCGGCAGGATGGTCATAGGAGGTGGAAAAAGTATTGTACCTTTAAGATTCAAATCCAATAATAGAAATCTAGTACATTCTAATCGAAGTGTTGTAATAAATATTTACATTTCTATCAAAAATATCCCAAAAACTACCTTCCTTACTCAAACATTGTGTTTTTGTTAGCTTTTCTTCGGAATCCCAAAGAGTTTAAGGATCATGGAATTAATTTGTTTCCCATGCAAGCCGGAAATTAAATTCACATGACCCTAAAACACATCAGTTTGGGACCAAAAGTGAAAAAAGAGTAGAAGGAAAAAGGCTCATTTAATTTTTATTGCATCGTGTTCAGTCATGTATTAATCTATTTGCAAAACCGTGTACAAAGTGAAACATACATGACTTTGCAAAATGAATGTCGAACGCCAATCTAAAGTTGAACGGTTAGCCAACTTTTACCGGCGGATGTCGGCCATCGCATAATTTCATATGCAGCTTTATTTGCAGTCAGAACTTAGTTTCAATTTTTGGTTTGTTGGCTTGGATCAACTAGTCAAATGTATTTATTTTATTTCATATATTAAATATTTAAGTTTTTCTGGGAAAGAAAACTCTTTTTCAAACAATCACAGTATTATGGACTACAACTATAAACATTCATGGCCAAACGTTTTGTGTTTCGTAGCCAAGTCCATAAGCCAATGTCCGCAAGCTCTTTATCAAAGTTTGGGAACACATTTAAGTGAAACCCATGCCACATCCTCATCAACATCCTCCGTTTTGGGATTGTGTCTCCATTGTGAGGAGAACAATGTGAACATGACACGCCCGGCATGGTCATGGCTTATGGCTTAATGAAGCGAGCACGTAAATGAATGTCAATATGGCCAAAACCAACAAGGGCAGCTGTAGCAACAAATAACCGGATGGAGAGCGAAGTGGGAGGTCGAAGGATGATGTTGATGCCCCTCGTAATAGTTGCCACGCAGCTTTGACACCGCGCCCCAAACTTCAGGGGTTAATGGCCGTATCGTGGAGCTAGCCAGGCTATATCTATGCTCTGTCGGCCAGGCTGAAAATTGATGAACATTTTTCCAGGCCATCGGTAATTCGATTTGGCGTGCGTGAATATAGTTGGGCGAGCAAGTCCTTATTCGGACAACCCTTGCCAAAATCTATTAAAGTTTTGAAATATTAGACGGATTTACACTTGCTTCATCCAGCCTTTGATGTACACTAAGAACTATTACTCTTAATTTATTGATTATTTAAGTATTAGGTTTTAAATATTTGCTTTAGCCACCTTAGAGAAAGGATGAAGAAGATAACTCCCATCAAAAACAAACTTTAAACCATAAAAATGAGTTGATTATTTAAAGAAACTGAAAAGTATTTGCGCAAAGTTAGATCGAAATGTTGTTATTTTTGTGCGTGTATTTGTTGCCTTTCGGCTTTTTGGCATGCGGAAGCTCACTTAAGCCGCTGTAATACGTGCATATAATCCTTTATGCCAAAACACATCAGCAGGCAGAAGCCAGCAGCCGGCGGAGTCCTTGCCAACTCAAGAGCCTGGATGATGCGGATGGACGTGGAGGCGGCAAAGGGGCTGATTTGCTTGTCCTGGCTGTTGTCGTATTTGCAAACAACAAACAAGAGGCGGCTACAAAAATGCCACAATACTTGTATATTGTGATTCTGGGCTGCTTGGCTTGCTGACGCTTTCAATTTCCTTGTTTTGTGCACAGGGCGTATGAGTAATCATTTTATTACGCGACCCCCAAAAGTATGCCACACACCGAATATCAGTTGCCAACACATGTTGACCTTTCTGTAAAGTGTAAGTGTGTGTTGGGTGTTCTTTGTGCTCATGGCTTTTATTGCAATGGGTGAGACCCCTTCATTACGTATACGCAAATTTGTCTGGCCCCAAATTAAAATAAATGCGCTAAGCATGCCCAAAAAGTTGCTGAAAAACATTTGCACATTTTCTCGTTTACGACGCTGCGTCCTCCCAAAGTCGTATATTTTCGTTAATTTGACTTACTGCCTAATACGCCCTTGTGTGCGGAATTGAAAAATAATAAAACCGTATGATTACGTATTTAGCGAAGGATTTTGGCTCAAGGCAATGCGTTTTATGTGTACTTTTATGAGGTTTTCCATGTGATATATCAATGAATTTATAAAGCCACAAAGATTTATGTCAAAATAATATTATAAATGATTATCAATAAAATAAAATGTTGACTTTTATTGGAAATGTTTTAATGGTACAGTAAAAGGCTTGCTAGAAACAGTGAATATTTTCAGAAACTACTTTTAAATGAAAGAAAATATCCAAGAAAATTTGATGCTCATAAAAACTCAAGGAGTTAAGCCAGATGATGATGACGTTATGGCCAAGTTAAATCTAATGCATCACGGACTGCTTCATCAGCTAGAAGCGTAACTTTATGCATTCTCTGTTTTATAGTTGTTATTTATGTCAAGCCATAAACGAAACCCTCCAACCAGTTTTTGCTGTACAGTGCTCCACTTCGACTTTCCCAGTTCTGTGCTCAGCCAGCCAGCCCACCGGATCTCCCAAGGCGATGTCACTCGTTTTTTACCGCTCTGCATTTCCCCTTAGCTTCCTGTTCGTTGTAAGAAGGTACTCCCTGCTTGAGTTTCTCGTGGCAGCCAACTGATTTCGAATTTTCACATAATCGCGTTTTCCCCCTATAAGAAGAGTAGACAAAAACTGGGGAGACACGTAGTGAACGTGCCCCAGAGAGCAGTTGCCTTTGAGATGTGGCAGCAATTGAAGGAACTGCAATCATAGTGCGAGCCCCAAGCCACATACGAGTAATCACGCTCAACTCTGCGTCACTGGCCATTCAGAATATTGTTATTATTTAGGAACCACCTCTGCTCTTTCGACTCGAAAGGAAAACAAAACGTTACGAGATTTATAATTGAGCGAAGCGGATAAATTACACGGACGCTGACAAACTTTCGCCATGTAAATTGCTCGACTGGGGGTCAGCCACCACATAAGGGGAGCCCTCTAGTCTCTGATTTCTGGTCTCCGTGTGTAGTTATTCCATTCCATTCTATGTCCATACCCCTTACCATCCCAACACAAGCCACCTCCCGGTCATTGATGGTGAAGCTTTTGCGCAACACTCGAATTCAAATTCATTTAAACTGCCACCGCTGATGACGATGACGTGGACACCACCCCCAAAAGCTTTCGGATCTGAATCCGTATCTGTAAATGCAAGAGTCTAGGGCACACGTGCATGAACAGAACGGGTTTGACCGCCGGCCAGACGAGACCGATTTCCCATTCGCGCCGTGATTACAAGATAGCGTGGAACCTTATCGTCTCGACCACTCGAAGATGTGGCCTCTGCCATAAATCGCGTCCCAGTGATCCCGATAGGAAGGTGTTGGTCAGAACCAAAGCCCCAATCACCAGTTGCACCGCGAACGGCTTCGAGCGTAGTCATGTCGTCGTCCTTTGTGGCGTTCACCGTCGCTTTTTTGAGTGCCCTGAGCCTGCTGCCCGTGGAGACCTTCTGCGACTCCTCCTACTACGAAAAGTACTACGCGGCTCGTCGCTATGTGCCCCTCAAACGAGACGCTCCGCTACAGTTTAACTTCTCCATAAAGTTTCATCCGGACCATCTGGGTTCGTTTGAGCGTGTTGCCCTGGTGGGCAACCTACCCGCTTTGGGATCCTGGCAAGCGAGAAAGGCAGTGCTCCTTGATCAGATCAACACCACAACGTGGACCACCTCCGTGGAAATTCCCCAAAACAGCAGCGTGGAGTATCGCTACTTTGCCGCGGTCGTCGGACAGAGTGGAGTCGTTCGGATTCGACACTGGGAGGCCCAAGTTGAGGCCAGGTCCTTCAACACGACCAAGTTTAATGGCAGCCGCATCGATGAGTATGGATTATTGGATGGAAAGTGCACTGCGTCTGGTCCCTGGCTTCAGGATTCCGGCAGCATTCTTCAGCTAAAGGTGTTCCGTGAGGCTCTTACTCTGGAAGAGCAACCGGAGTTGGGACAAGGAAAGCTGCGCCTCCGGTTGCTGCCCGTAGATCCTAAGACCTTAGCGCCAATCCTCAGCTCCGCACGCGCAACTGTGGAGTACGCTCAAGTGTCGAGTACGAATACCTACCGGGTTATCCGGGATCAGCCAGAATACGGTGTGCCCTACGCGTCCGGGGATATTCTGATGTTCCAAGTGAACTTGGAACAGTTGGAGACAGTGTCATATTTAGTGGAAGTGTACGCCGAACAAACGACGGAGAACGTTGTCCGTCTGCTGGGTTATGCGCACCTGCTGCCCACCTCGTTTACCGGAAGCGAAGGCAGCATCTCAATCGACCTAATCTCGCCAGTATGGCAGCGCTTGGTAGGCGGACTGCAGTTGGGGTATCTGGTCATCCGGCCAATGGAAAAGGATGGGTTTGATATGCGCACCAGCTTCATAAAATGGCGCTCCAACTGGACAAACCTTGAGATTGGCCACCGTGGCTTGGGAAAATCTCTCACGGTAACCACGAATGCGGCTCCACTTATCGAGAATACGGTTGCTTCTATGATAGCCTCCGCCGAGCTTGGGAGCCGATCTCGTGGAGTTCGATGTACAGCTAACCAGCGACCTGGTGCCCATCATCCACCACGACTTCTCTATTCGCGTCTGCATTGACTCTAAGACGCCGACGAGTCGGGATGACCTGACCGAGGTGCTGCTAAAGGACATATCCTACGAACAGCTCAAGGATCTGAAGACCTACCAGATCGTGGGCAACAAGATCGTCGAGTATCCGGCACACAACAACGTCGAGCCACCGGAACAGCGACTTTTTCCCACATTGCAAGACTTCTTTGAGCGGGTCAACCAGACCACAGGATTCGACATTGAGATCAAGTGGCCGCAGCAGAAGGCGGATGGAGAATTCGAGAGTGAGCAGACGATAGACAAGAACCTTTTTGCTGATCGCATCCTGGCGGTAATTCGGCGTCATGGCTGCGGGCGCTATATAGTCATCAAGAGCTTTGATGCGGATCTCTGCACCCTACTCCGGTATAAACAGAACATGTACCCGGTAATCTTCCTCACCAGCAGCAAGGAGAACGTATTCGCTGATCCGCGAACCGGCACCGTGGATCTGAGCATTAGCTTCGCCCATGCCGCCAGACTGCACGGTATTTCGCCAAACGCCGTATTCATAAAGGCGGATCCAGGATTGATCCGACGTGCTAGCTCTCTCAGCTTAGTTCTGCTTTGGGGTTCCGACCTCAAGGACCGCGAATCCATTGACTGGTTCCTGGAGCAAAAGCCCACAGGTGTCATCTACGACAGACTGGACCTCTGGCTGCCGGCCAACAAGACGAGTGTCTTCGATGACGAGCCGTATCTGCCCGGCTACTTTCAGCACCAGTGTGATCCAGGTTCCAAGGAGCGCGAGGTGAACTCTACCATTGAAAGCATTCTTAGTAACGTTAACCTCCTGTAAAAGCAGATTTCTGTAGCTCCCCAAAACCATATGTATTCTATGCAATAAACGAACTATATTGAAAATCTAAAACATTTTCCAATGTCAATGGCTTACATTTGGTTATAAAATATTAAAAACAGCCAGGAGTCTGAAGGAAGGATGCTTCTTGAAATAAAGATGGGATTTTCCTTCCTCCTTAAATCCTGTCATGCAAAAGAAAATGGAGAAGCCATTAAACTCGGGGATATTTTCCTGATTTATATGCGCAATTTCAGCGCAACTTTTGACAGATACTGCTTTTGTTTTTGGGCTGATAAACATGAACGTGAACTTGAAATTTAAATGTTTAATGAAATCATTGCCATCAACTGCTGTCCCACATGTCATCCGTCGGTGGTTCGTACCCACATCCATTTGCATTCACAATGCCACACACACCCACACCATTCCATTCAGTAGGGAGGATGGTAGATGATGGTGGCGGTGCTGATGGATCAGTCTGCTTTTCCCTTTGTACCCCGTTGGGATGCTGGGCCAATTACCTGCAGAGAGATTTGCATTTTTCCAGAGGGGATTAGGGGTATCCATGCATATGCAAGTATCTTGGCATTTATTGCGGTTATTTATCCGCACCGTGGGTGTAAATTCAGTTTAGCAATTTGTTGAAACTCGAAACTGGACGGCCTAATTGGACTTTTTAGGAATTCTCTTGCAAATTGCAAATGAAAAATAATTGCGGTTTTGCCTGCCTGCTTTTTGTGGAGGCGTATCACCAAGTGCTGTTGCAATTAGTTGATTTATTATCTTGTTGCCTTAGGTGTTTCGCAATCTTAGTAATCTTCGAGTGACTTACGATTGCACCGGTGGAGTAATCAATTATTTTTGGGCTATCTATTTGCAGCGCCAGCTGATGGAGGCCTACATCCGGCAGAAGAGGGCCTCGCCGGGAATGGTCCAGGCTAGTGATCTGCAGATCAACCGACCGATGTCCGGGATGCGCAGTAACAGTCGGGAGCTGCACGCCTACGACGGACCCATGCAGTTCATCAGCTCTCCTCAGAATCCGGACCAGATACTCTCCAACGGCAGTCCTGGAGGCGTCGCTGTCGCTCCAGTTGCCATGAACACCAGTCGCAACCACTCGAATAATATGCGCAGCCTGAGTACCATCAACCAGGAGGGTAAGTGGCTGTACACTCAAAAAAAGGTATTCAACGACGTTTAATATGATGATTGTCAGTTTACTGTACAATTTTAGTTATTACATTAAAATGTTTAACTAATTATTTGATTTGCTCCCTCACAGCTGATCTAATAGAGGAGATCTCCTCGCACGAGTTGGAGGATGATGAGAGCAGTCCGGTGACGGTGATCGAACAGCAGCAGTCAGCATCTCATAGCGCCAACTCGACGCATTCCCAGAAACCTCGTGCCCGCCAGCATTCCTTCAGCGACAACCTAGACGAGGACGACTATACCAATCGCAATGTGGCGGGAGCAGCTCCGGTGCGACCCGCTGGAATGGCCTCGTCGCCCTACAAGGATGCGACACTGGACGGCAGCAGCAACGGAACGGGGAATGGGACTGGCGGGGAGTCTGAAGGCGATGTCATTGGTAATATTGACCAGTTCGTGATGCAACCAGCGCCGCAAGGAGTGCTCTACAAGTGCCGCATCACCCGGGACCGCAAAGGCATGGACCGGGGTCTCTTTCCCATATACTACTTGCACCTGGAAAGGGACTACGGGAAGAAGATATTCCTGCTGGGAGGTGAGTTAGTAATAGCTCTCCTTGTAGGACTCAACATCTTAATGATCTACTCCGTTTTCAGGTCGCAAACGTAAGAAGAGCAAGACATCAAACTACATAGTCAGCTGCGATCCCACGGACTTGTCCCGCAACGCCGATGGTTTCTGTGGCAAGCTTCGTTCGAACGTCTTTGGAACCTCCTTTACCGTCTTTGACAATGGCAACAAGGAGAGCACGGAAAGTCCTAGACTCGACCTGGCCGTCATTATATATGTATGTATGGCACGGGTAACTTTTAAGGAATGCTAAATAAAAGTGAAAATATTTCTTTCTATGTTTGCAGGACACAAACATCCTGGGATTCAAGGGTCCACGCAACATGACTGTAATACTGCCGGGCATGACTGAAGACGATCAGCGTGTCAAGATCAGTTCAGCGGATCCTAAGCAGCAGGGCATTCTCGACCTGTGGAAAATGAAGGTATGAGAGTTAAGATTATCAAGTAATTATATAAACTAACTATTTATATTTTACAGAACATGGATAACATTGTGGAGCTGCACAATAAGACGCCGGTGTGGAACGACGAAACCCAATCGTATGTGCTCAATTTTCATGGACGCGTAACCCAGGCGTCGGTGAAGAACTTTCAGCTGGTCCACGACTCCGATCCCGAGTACATTGTGATGCAATTTGGTCGCACCTCGGAGGACGTTTTTACCATGGACTACCGCTATCCACTTTGCGCGATGCAGGCCTTTGCCATAGCTCTCAGCAGTTTCGATGGTAAAATAGCCTGCGAGTGAGCTGGCTGGGATCCTCGGGCTAGCCCGCTGCCTTATGTACAGCCACAAATCTGGGGAGTGGATCATGTCGCTCTGGCCAGAACATTGTTGAAAATAGTCTCGGAAATCTAGTCACTCAAACAAGGCCGTCATCACTTAAAAACGGAATGGATAGGACATCGTTGACATGAGTAATTTAGTAGTTATCATCGTATGACATTTATTTAGAATGTTCTCACCGATTTTATAAGAAATTATTTAGGACAGGTCCTGCAACTTTGTATATCTTAAAGTGCCCTCTAGCGATAAGTACACTTCTAAGCGAATCGAGATAAATGTTATTTGAAGTAATAATCAATTTTATAATATGCATATAGCAACAAATCAAGGACAAATGTAAACTATTTAAAATGAGAGTACTATTAGTTTGTAAGAGGCACTACTAACTTGTGCTAAGCTCAAAATATATTTAAGCAAAGATTTGTATTTGTTTTCGTGGGCAGCAAATTTGGATCAGGGATCTAATATTTTTCGTAGCATACTTTTCGGTATACCTATAGCAATCATGAAAAGTCACCACTTTATTAAACTTTATCCTACTGATAAAAACAGATTTCCATCCAAATTTATTCAAGACAATTTTCATTTTATATTTATCATTTATTTTAGTACGTCTTTGCGTTATTTTGGTAAATGCAAAATTGCTAACCATCATCATTAAGTCTATGTACAAAAAAATAGTTATATTGCATAAAAATTGTATAAATGTCTTCAAAATGAGTATATGATCAAAGTACTAAGATAATAACTAATAAGTACAACGGAATTGTGTGGAATGTTCCACTTTTTCACTTTGTGTTATCTTTATCAGACTCTGAATATCTTACAAAATGCGGAAATCGTTCCCTCTTTACTGAACTCTTGTCTTTTTACATAACTTCTTTTTTATAACTGCAATACGAGCCGCGCTTACTTTTGCTACGAACGTTTACGCGGCTTGTGCAAGGGTCGATCCTGGGGAAGCTTGAATTCAAGCGGATCGTAGTCCTCGTACGCGAGCTTTCGCTCCGGCGCCGACTCAGGTAACTTGTTGATTTTCTGTAGCCGTGCATGGACAATTTGCAAATGCCGACCAATATAGTCCTCGGCGGGTGCCAAGCGCTGGGCGTATTGCAAGCAGGCTGCAGCCTTCGCCAGCTTTTTGCGTTCAACGAACACCACGCAGAGATTGTGCAGGCCCTGAGTGTTGTGCGGATCATAATGCAGTATGCTTCGATAGCATTTCTCTGCCTCATCCAGATCCTTCATATGGTTGATATAGATGTCCCCTAACAATATCAGACCCTTAACATGCGAGGCGTGATGTCGGATCAGTTGATTTAAGAACGGAACCGCATCCAGGGGCCGTTTTGTATCGGCCAGTAACAAAGCCAAATTAAATAGTGCACTACGGAAGTCCGACTTTAGGTGTATGGCCCTTTTGAAGAACTGTTCAGCCTCATCAAAACTAGACTCGTCCATGGCCAACATGCCTAGGTTGAAGTACACCTTCTCGTTCTGATCGTCCTTTGCCAAAACTTTGTAAAGACGAGAACGAGAGACTTTGCGGGCCTCCTCACCGCCCAACTCCTGCAGCAGGATTGCTGAGTTGAGCAATGCTTGTTCATGTTCTGGGTACAGTTCGATCGCCTTGTTGAAGTACACCTGAGCCTGCTGACTCTTTCCTTGCTCCAGGAAGACCACGCCCAAATTATAATATATATCTGCATTCTCGTTGTCATACAATAAGGCCTGCTCATACACCTCTTGGGCTTGAGCAGTGCGATTAAGCTTCATCAGGATGTCACCACGATTGATATAAGCCTATAAGACAAAATCGCAGAGTAAGTAAGGTGAACACTTTAACGGAATGAAAGGAATCTTACTTGAACATAGTCACTCCTCATACTAATGGCCTGGCGATAGAGATGGTCAGCCTCCTCTAGACGTGTTTGATTCTTAGCTATTAGATTCGCCAGGTTGATGAACACGTTCAAATGATTAGGAGCAATGCGTGCATGATAGCTGACCCCCGGCTTGGCCTGGGGAAACAGTGCCTTGGCCTGAACATAAGCCTGCTCTGCCTCTGCATACCGCTTGAGATTGTTGAAAGTGCGACCCACATTGATGTGGGCTCCGATGTCATCGGTCTGAATACGGACGGCTTGCTGGAAGTATAGCAATGCTTCCTCGAACTTTCCCTCGTTCTCTAAAGCGTGTCCGACGTTGTTGTACAGTTTGGCGTTGCGCTGATTAACGTGAACGCCAGACATAAAAAGCGAATACTCCGTACGCCAGTCTGAATTGCGTTGATGCGTTTTTAGTGCGTGCGTGAGGAGAAGAATTGCCAAAGCAGCTTGTCCAAAGCGTTGCCAACTAAGGCTTCCACGACGCTGGAGCTGATCAAAGCCGTACGCAACCAGTAGGCAATAGCCCATCGATGGCATATACAAAATACGTTCTGCCACAACAAATCCCACGGGGAAGAACAGATTTGAGGCTGGAAGGAAGGGCAGCACCATCCAACCGAGACACATAATTAGAGTCCGCGATTGGGCCAGATTGCGGGTGAAGCAGGCCCTTGCAACCAATGCTCCTAACGCAAGGAAGGTAAACAGGGTGGTCAAGTTGCGGACATCCGCAAAACCCTGCAGCATTGGAACAGTGCCTGAAAAGGTGTTTAGTATAATTTTAAATAATCTTTAATTTAATAAAATACCTTACCCATTGTCCAGTCACAGCAAAGCAGCGAGGGGCAGAGCAGTAGCCAGCAGTTTAGGTAGATGAGGTAGCCGTAGGTAAGTTGCCTCTCTGGCGTATCTGCTGCAGAGGCTGGATTATCGAACCGCGTAAAGATGGGCAACTGGGAGCCCATTACATAGACACGGCCCACCAGAAGGGTCAATGTGATTCCGCCCAGGAAGATCAGGCGTTTCCACAGAACCGAGGATGACCACCGCCGGATTCCCGAAGGGTTTGTGAATTTGGGCGACTGCTGCTCGGTTTGTTCCTCGAACAGTCGCAGCACAAAATGGAATAGATGCAACGGTCGCAGTTGTTGAACGACGAACAACTCGTAGACCACGCAGATTCCGGCGATGGTGATGCCCTGCTCCTTGCACAGCATGGAGGCTAGCAGACAACTGCCAAAGCAAGCGAAAAGCGTCAGCCAATTGGTTCGGCGAGGGCATGTCGAGTCGCCGACGGACTTCGCGTAGCTGAGAAAGGCAGCTAGGAAGCAAATGGAAGAGAGCAATTCAGCACGGCCGACAACGCCAGTAACGGCCTCCGTGTGAACCGGATGCACGGCGAAGAGCAGCGAAGCTACAAACGCGCATGTGTTAAGCTGGGAGGCTGAGGATGGGGATGACATCGAGGTGGCATTACTGCCCGACGAGGCACAATGGCGCAGCAGCTGCCGGCAGACACGACGCCAAAGCAGGCAGACCGACAAGTGCAGCAGCAGGTTGACGAGGTGGTAGCCAAACGGTTCCAGCGCATGCAGCAAGTAGTTGAAGCGGAACGTCAGGACGGTGAGCGGTCGATAGGACTTGTGGGACTGCTCCTTGCGCATCGGCGTGCCCCAGAAGTCGTTCAGGAAGACGTTGCGCAACGGCGTATGAGGCCTTAGGTCCTTGTTGTCCCTAATCGCACTGATGTCGTCGAACACCAGTCCACACTGGGTGCTGTTGTAATAGCAGGCGATGCAGGCCACGCAAATGCACAGGAATTCGATCAGGTTGCGCTGCGAGGAGCTGGTAGACCGTTCCCTTGTCGTGGTGGATGGTGCATACTGATGCGTTTCGGGGTTGGGGTTCGTTGACATGTTGACTTCGCGTTACTTCGTAAAAGGCTTTCATGTATCCATAATTGTTCGGTCAGACGGCGAAATGTTGCATGCAGGGTCTTCCCCAGCCAGGTTTGGCAGGTCCCTAGATGTGCTGTAAAGAGTGGGGAAATGGGAAAAATATTAGTTGAGGTTAACTAGAAACCTAAATAAAGTATAAACACCATTATAAAATCCGATATTAGGAAAAGAGAACGCTTAGATGTATGCTACATACATGTGTATGTGTATATTCGTTTTAAAAGGGAATCCCCCGAGCAACTAACTTTTGCAGTAATGTATATGTAAGCCCTGCGAAACGTTTAGGGATACACACCCAAGTCCTCTTACTTTCCGTAAAATCTCCTCCGTTACTTACCGATTTCCCTCGATTCAAAGTGGTTTTAATGACAAACTTTCTACAACTTTTTATGAGCACTTGAAGTCCTACAAAGAAGCAAAAACTGATTGCGGAAAAAATCAATTAACGCGCAACAAAGTAACTCCTTCCCGGTTACTGTCCTGGTTACCGACTGCACACACAAAAGCCCGAAGTTAACAAAGTTGTAACCCGCGGCCCGACAGAGCTCCGGATCCGGTCTTTGAACACGCTTAAGTATAAGCCCGGAGAGCATCACGGAGAGGCGAAGAGCACGCGAGAGATTTGTTTGCATAAACTGTTGTAAATATTGGGGGACCTGGAGCATTACTAGGCGGGGCACATCGGTGGGTAGATTGGCAAATGGGCGGATGCCACAATGTTGCACTCAATGTCATCGATTTTCCGGGCGGACAGTCAAAACAAACCACCACCAAGTAAGCGCTCGTAAAGAGTGGTGTCGTGTCTTTGGAGTTGGAGAGGACTGAATCTCAGCTGAGCGCAACTTTGTTGCACGACCGACTTTTCCCGAAGGACGACCAGGTTGGCACGTGCTCCGTTTACTGCTTTCCCATTTTCCCGCCAAGAGCGGCGCATGCGCTCTCCTGCTTCCTTGCACTTTCACTTGCCAGGACACACTCTTTATGCTCATCGCTCTCCCGCTCTCCGGGCGCAAATTAATAGCCGTATGTGTTTTTGTAAAGTTACTTTGACCGAGATACGGGGACCGAAGGAGGAGAAGGTTAGGACGAAGGCTAAGGCGATGGAAATAGGCGCTGGAGCCGGAGAGCCGTGTCCTCTCCCATTTTGATGACATGGACTTGGACGCCATTACAACGGCGGTGGCCTCACACACGCACACAATCACACGGCCGCAAACAAACCAGATTTGCCAACTTTGTTGCAATTTGGCAATAATTACAATGTTGCTAGGTAAATTCACTAATTATTGAATCAACTAGTGCACATGATCACCTGTTTGCAACGTACTTGTTGAGGTAGTTCCATGGCCACGAAATCAAGTTACATTTTAACAAAATCCAGAGCCAACAGCGCGACTTGTTCGTGGGTTGTTGTTGTGTTATCGATACACCGTTAGTCTGCTTCCTCTTCTTCAACGACCATTCACAGTGTATAAGTTATCGATATGCGGCAATAGTTCTATCGCATATCTTCCGCCACTGTCGCGTTGGTAAAAAATAGAGAGTAGCATTTTTCTGGAAGAAAGGTTTTTTATAAGAAAGTATCACAAATAACACACAATCATGTCTACGGAGGACTTTTACTTGCGCTACTACGTCGGCCACAAGGGAAAGTTCGGACACGAGTTTCTGGAGTTCGAGTTCCGGCCAGATGGCAAGCTGCGATACGCCAACAATTCCAACTACAAAAACGACACCATGATCCGCAAAGAGGCATTTGTTCATCAGTCCGTGATGGAGGAGCTCAAACGGATCATCATTGACTCGGAGATCATGCAGGAGGATGATCTTCCGTGGCCGCCTCCAGATCGCGTGGGTCGACAAGTGAGTTTTCCTCAACCGAAAAGTGGGCCTCTACTAACCATGTGTCTTTTTTAGGAACTGGAGATTGTCATCGGGGACGAGCATATCTCGTTCACTACCTCCAAAACGGGATCATTGGTGGACGTAAATCGTTCGAAGGACCCAGAAGGCCTCCGATGCTTTTATTACCTGGTCCAGGATCTGAAGTGCCTGGTCTTCTCACTCATCGGCCTGCACTTTAAGATCAAACCCATATAAGCCTTAAGCATAGCCTATTTATCAGACACATTGTATTTTGTAATGGAACCTCTAAAATACTTGTACTTGTATTAGCTATAATACTTTTGTTTACAATGAAATAAATAATGATGTGAGAATATATTCGAAAACGTAAGGTTCCGATGGTGGTCTTCTCCGAAAAAAAGTATTTGAGTCAATCCTGAGAATGTTCTTTTAGCAAGGCAATATATTTTTCGTATGCCAAGCATTTCAATACGAAGTTTGTGGGGGGATATTTGACTCCAGAGATTTCACAACCCAAAACGATTCCAGCCATAACATATAATTGAAGCTCAACTTCAAAAAGGAAATGTTTATGACTGAAAAAATATTTACATTTGAAAAGGGAACGCCATTCGGAAATTATAGCTAAAGAAGCAAAAAGTGACTTTGGGGAGAACTGAGACCAAAGCCATAGCAGTTGGCTCGGGCTCTTATGTAAAATGAAGTACATATCCAAAGGGAATACATAGGAGTATATACCGAATCACTGAAGTGGCTTTAAAGTGCTTGGAATAAGTCAAAGTGGAACTTAGATTTCAGTACTCAGGAGCAGCTGAAGCTGATCAGACCCCTAATCTTAAACTTGAATAATTTTCCAGACATCACCAACAAATCATAATGAGTTACAGAGGGCTGACCAATTGGGACTATGATTACCAGGATGCGTTTGATCAGGATACATTTGAGCTTGATCACCAGGATCAATATGATTACTCCTATACTGATGACGACTACCAATATAACCCATATGGCAATGGAAACTACCAAGGTGGTAGTCGCAACAAATCATTCACGTCCCAACCTAAGGCACACAACTCCAACTCGCGCAGATCTCGTGGAACTCGGGGAAATAACAGGTCGATTTCACAAGTCCAGAAGAACCAGACCATGGGATCTGGCTTTATTGAAATTTCTCCTTCATCCAAAACAACTACTCAAACCGATAATCCATTACAATTAAACCCATCGATGTGTCCAGACGGCACAAATTATGTTGTAAACATTGTAAATATCAACCATGAATATTAATTTGAATTTATTAAAAAAAAACATTTTTTAATGTTATAATTCCCGAATTCAAATAAAGGTTCCTTGATCTTTTAATACATGTATTTTTTCTATTATTTTCGTTTAAAACGATACATTTTATTTACATTGGATTTTTTTTAATAACAGACAACTTACTAACAATGCATTTCTTAGTTAGCTTTGCAATTTTGCTCGATTTGTAGCTTAAGGACTAGCTCGCTTCAACATATCCATTTGCATATGTATATATAATTTAATGAGGACTCATATAGAGACAGATTCTGAGCTTACGCAATCAATCACGCCCTTATACATCGAACATATTAGCTGATCCAAACAAAAAATCATCTTAGGCTCACAATAGTGCGCACATGAGTTGCGACACTAATACATGGAATCTATATGTATATAAAGAGGATGTTTGGTTTACATGCATGCATTGGTATGGACTCTTATATAGAACCGATCTGAATTGCTGGTACAGCAAGATCAACTACGAGTATCGCATACTGATGGGATATAGCTTTCAGTAGCTCGAAGAAGCTGAAAGAGAACAGACGCATTTTGTCAAAAGGAAACTTAAACTGGTTCGTAAGCAAAATTGACTTTGGTGAGCTTACAAATTCATTATTCCAATATAGATTTCAAGATGAGTGACCGACAACTGGACAACTGGAATGGTGCCCATCAATACCAGCGGATAAGTTACTCCAACCAAGTTGCTAATCCAAGTGGGGCAACTTCTAGGCAAATCCAAGCCAACAATCGCCGGGCTATTGTGGAAGCCGCGCAAGTCACTCGTGCCATGTCCAGCAATGCACCCAACACTGTGACTTATAACTACATCAACATCAACCATAGATATGCCAAAAAATAATATCTATTCGAACTGCAACTTGATGTTATTAATTATCTTAATTCGTTTCCATTTCCAAGTTGCATAAAAAAGTAATAAAAAGAAACGAAAATATAAAAAAATTTTGTTTTATTCTGAAAATTTTCGCACTCAAATTAAATGGCGTCTCAATTCTATATGTATATAAACTTCAAATATTTCAGCAAACAAATGCAATAATTACAGTAAGATTATGTAGCAACAATAATTTGACTTTATAATGTGTAGATATATCTGATAAATATAAATTAATATCTAATGTGAATGAATAACATACATACTCGTGCTAAAATATTAAAGTCCTTTACATTTGTACAATTCTAGAATATAAGAAATGGTATATATCTCACAAACTGGCAATTTTCTTAACAATTAAGTACAAGAAATAACTAAGCCTAAGAAAGTAAATGGGATCTTATAAACTGGTACCAATGACGCATTCACGAAACGTTTTGAGACTCGCAAAGGGTTTGACTTACATACGCTACTAAATTCAGTCTTTGGGGTTAGTACTTTGTTAACTAAAGTACAAACTAAGGGCCTACCATCGATCCAACACTAAAGAAAGCTCTTGTAGAGCCGAATTCGTAGGTCTCAGAGTCATAACTGTGGCTGCTGCTGGTTCAGAGCCAAAGTGGCTGCGATATTGTTGCTCGGTCGCTCCAAATAGTTTGCATGTCCAGGCATGGGCATCGACATTGGCATCTCAAGATGTTGGTGATGGTGGTTAAGTTGCATCTGCTGGAGATGCTGCTGTTGCGGCAGTTGCTGCTGATGAGAGAGTTGGGCCTTCAGAAGACTGGGAGACGCTTGTAGCGGCGTATTACTGGCCACTCCGACGCTGCTGCCTCCAGGACTGGGACCGCCTTCCTTGAGCGGAACGCCGATAGTGAGTCGAACATGTAGGCCAGACTCCTTGATGAGATTCACTACATCTCCGTGAGACATACCGGCTATCTCGATACGATTCACTGCCACTATGCGGTCGCCCACTTTGAGTTCCCCACATCGATCCGCAGGGCTGCCTGGTATAAGTTTGCCTAAGAAGAAAAACATTAGTTTATTGCGAAAACATACTGCCATTGGCGACATACCTATGGTCGAACCGTAATAGTGGTTCGATGATGATATAATAACAAATCCAAAGCCCTCGTTTTCATGCCGGCTGACAATCACGTCATAAGGATATCGGCGCAATTGTGTGCTAACTGGAGCCTGCTGCAAAAGTGGAGTGCGTCGCCGGCGAAGAATCATGGTAACTTGCCCGCGAAGTGCGGATTCTCCCACTAAAGAGACAACTTTGTGGTGCGAAGAGTTGAGCTGGAAATATGAGTATTTATTAACCATGATTCTACTAACTAGGCGAGGCTTTACTTACCACGTTAATGCCATCGATGCTAAGGATCTCATCACCGGTGGAAATTCGATGGTCCTGATCAGCGGCACCACCTGGCACTATGTGGCCTACGGTGACTTGGGAGCCCTCCTCGGTGCCGCCAACAATCCGAAAGCCGAAGCCCAGAGCCTGGCGCTCCAGGGTTACCTCAGTCAATTCGCACTGGTCTGCATCTTCGGAAGCGTCAAGCAAAGCGCCGTTGCGCCAACTTGGTGAGTGTTGCATTTGCTGCTGCTGCTGGGGAGGATCCAAGTTGGCGAAGCCCACACGTCTCCGATCGCTTAGTAGCTCGTTAACGCGTCGCTGGATCCGCTCGTTCTGCAGATGGGCCGTCTGCAGCGGCGAGTACTGACTGGAAGCTCCCGACATGGCGGCCTGCTGGGCCTGGACAAAGTAACCAGGACGGTATCGCTGCGCCTGACAGTCGTAGCAATAGCAGGACTCGTGGTGAGCTAGCGGCAACGGTAACGGCTGCATACTGGGCGGCAAACCGTATATACCACCATTGGCATCTCCCAGCAACGATACCTCCGCTAGACGGTCGGTTAAACGGCTAATCTTGGGATATGGATCCATATATGGTATATCATCTAGCTCCTGCAGGCTACTGTTCGACTTGCCCTGCGTCTGCAGCTGAAGTGGTTTTCTATTCTCCGCCACTGCCACACCTTCACCCTCGCCGTCAATCTCGTTGCTTGGCGTTTGTACCCGTGCCCGTCGCGTGTCCACGAGTGGGGTCTTAGGGCGCATGGGCAGCACTTCCTTCACCTGGGTGCTGTATAGGTCTGCTGTGGGCGTCTTGCTGCGGAACAAGCCGCTGCCAGCAAAGTTCTTCCGCAACTTGGACACATTGCCTACCTGGTTAAGTTGGGCGAGCGTATTGTTGGCCGGCTGGTCTGGCGGCGTTCGCTGAATCTTTACCGCTGTGGGCGTCGTCTGGCTACATTCCTTAAGAAGCTCTACTACGTATGAATGCGGTTTGTTGCGCACGTTCAAGCCGTTGATTTCCAGAAGAACATCACCCTCCATCAGCTGTGTGCAGCAGTTCCTGTCTAGGATCTTCTTCACGATCTGGCCACAGGCCGAATCAGCAATGGTGAAACCGAAACCCATCGATCCCTTCATAATGGAGAAAGTGTATAGCTCCGGCTTCTTCATCAGAATGAAACCACTGCCGGCACCGCTTGCTTTTTTGGTACTTTCGCCGGATAAGTCTAAAAAGTTGTAATTGCCGTCCATGTTGAGACGGCGCTGCTTATCGGAATCCCGTCCATCCACCGCCATTGTAGTCACCACCTCAGTGTTGGGGTCATTTGGATCAAATGGAAGTGGGTAGCCACGACATACTTCCAGGGCTGCCCTCTCGCCGGGGAGAATCGATTGAAATATGTTGACCATGTCGTGGTGCGTGTAGCCCAGCACACAGGTATCGTTCACATAGACCAGAACATCTCCTGTCTGCAGCTGACCGTCCAGCCAAGCGGGCCCATTGGGCACCACCGTCTTGATTTGCAGAAACTCCTCCACATCCCCGCCTGCACTACCGTCGCTTCCCACGATGGTAAAACCCAAGCCGCGCGATGACTTCAGCAACGTGGTGTTGACTCGCTGGCCTTGCAGCTCTGCGGGATTGCGGGTGAATTTGTAGGGAAGCTTAACCGGGGTCTCTTCCTCCTCGTGCTCCTGCTCTTCAGGCACCTCCGTCGGCAGTATCTCTGGCAGCACAGTTGGCGTCTTCGAACGCTGTTCCTGATGCTGCTGTTGCAAATGCTGTTGTTGCTGGCTCTGCTCTGCAGCACGTCGCTTGGCCTCCAGCACTGGGTTTTCATACTGCGTCCGTCGGTTGACATGATCAATAAAGTACATTCCGTACATGGAGTCCTCTATCTTCTCCCATCCGTAGGGCAGTTCATCTTCGCAGCAATCCTCCAGCGACTTTTTCTGATACTTGGAGAGTCGCGGATCTAGCCAGTGGGAGGTGCCGGTGTTATGACTGTCAAGTAGAAAATCTTAGGTTAGTCATAATGTCATAAGATATGTATTTCAAATAAAACTATCTGACTCTGTTTAAAGGATCAATTCTGAACAGATGTTTATCTACTTTTTCCTCATATTGTACTCACTCGATAAAGTAGAGCTCCCCTCGTTCAGTATACGCCGTCTCCCACTTAGGTGGAAGGGGTCCCAAACCGTCGCCTGGGTCATCATGGTTCTCATGGTTCTGGTGCTGAACCTCTCCAACTCCACACTCGCTACCCAGACTGCTGTCCCCAGTTTCGCCATTGTAGTATGTGTTTTGCAGCAGATTCTCTGTAAAATATTATATATAAAATGTTAAAAACTGCCTTACTAAATGTACCAACTGTGCACTTAATGTAATGTAATCAGTACAAAAATCAATCAACAAACTCAAATCGTTCAATGAACCCGAATATGCAGGTGGAATTTTGCCAAAACGAGTCGCTTAGATGGTGGAAGGTAATGCTCAGCCAGCCGAAAATAGTTTGGTGTGGTCTTTTGAAATTGAAGCATATACAAAGCGGACCCCAATCCCTAGTCCGCATCTCCTGCTATCGGCCATTCCATTCCCCGTAAGCTCTATTGGGAGTCCGGTGAAGCGTAAAGCGTTTTCGATTGGGGCAAGCCAGAATAATAATTATTATTAGCAGTTGGCCAGTCGGCAGACAGGCTCTGGTTAGACTGTGACCTACTTTTCTAACCCACGGCGATAATGGGACGAGATGGCCACTAAGCACTCAGAGTTCCCAATCAAGTCGGATGAGTAATGGGGAAATTTTAATTATGGCCAAGCGAAAGAAGCAAATGAGTGGCCTATGCTTTTGGCCAAGGCCGACGTGATTTCGCTTGACAAGCCGTTAAGAGATGATCGTATGATAAGACTTATGTATGAGTCAGGTTTCCTCGAAAATGCTTAAAAACTAACCATGTAAACTCTGAATCGTTTATATATATTGAGTCTAAACTTGGCAAGAATAACTTCATGGTATTCAAAATAATATGTTCAACATGTTATAAGAAAATAATATTCATTTCTTCCTAGAACTTGTTTGATTTTTAGAAGTAGGTCTAAGCTTATGCTAAATTATGCTTCGATTTTCATTAAAACATGGAAGTAAAGTCGGCTCTGGATTCTGCAGACCACTCGTCGTTAACCCCTTTTGAGGTGCATGCCCCAACCCAGTTTTATATACACTATATATACACACATCCAGATACAAAGCCATGCGAACAGGGCTAATCGAATGTCGGGACTGCCGGAGAGCGAAAGACCCACCTGAGCATCATTCAAAACATATTGCGAATCATTTGCATAGGAAGATGAATATTTATGCTAGACACTTCCAATTGGAACACGGAAAAGTGGGTGGGGAAGGGAGGGCTGAGGGCAGGTGACACATCTTTAAACGGTAAAAGCGCCATCGTCTCGTGTTTGAATGGGAGCAAAGGGAGTGTGACAGAGACGATGAGCAGCTCATTTAAATAACTGCACGGGGGAAAAAGTTGATGCTCTAAAAATATCAAATTAACAATAAAATAATAAAATTATTCCAAATGTAATATATTTTATATTCCCTACACATTTACAAATTTATACATATTTTGCTCGAATATAAGAAAATTGAATTATAAATATTAATTTCATTCTCTCAGTGCATTCCAAATGTTTGTGTTGGTGGAGTCTGCAGAATCCATAGAGTGTTGAAGAACATGGAGGGAGATTTTCCAGTACGGAAGTTGTTGGCGGCACAGTTTGCCTTGGCCTCCCGCCACCCACTCCACCCACGCTTTCCTTTGCCGCTTCGTTCGCAACTTCACTTGCTTGCATTGTGTAAATATTTGTAGAATGCGGGAGCGAGAGGGAGTATTTGATCAACAGATGTAGCACAGAAATAATGCTCACAGCTGTATGTGGAATGAACCAGGGCTGCGAACCCAACCTGGAATCTGAACTATAGTAGGTGCTGTTTACCTTTCTCCCTTCCCATTTCTAGCACGCAGTCCGGCTTTACTTTCCGTAAATCTCTGCTCATCTCCTGCTGTTGGACAAATATGAAAACAAATATGTGACACACATTGCTGTAAATCTGCTGGAAATGTTTTCTTATCTCCACCTTTGAGATAGATAAGATGTGCAAATGTTTCCTTTTCTAATGAACCAGAACAGAAGATCGCGAAATAATATGTCCGAAGATTGCTCTGTAATGTTTTTCTATATACCACCTATCTCATAGGTTCTATGTATCTACAATTTCAACATCTTTTAGGTTGGTCAAAAATCTTTCGAAATAACCAATTTCCCCCCCTCTGTTAATCTTAAAAAATTGCTCACTCTCCCGAACTTATCGCATATCTTGAAAGTCAGTACACAAGTGACTCATCTGCTGGGAATGTTGTTGGCCCGAATGGATCTCGAAAATAAAAAGAACGGGTCGGAAAAGAGAAGCAAGGCTTGATAGCACACAAAGAATATCCATTACTCATAATAGCAGGGATTGCCGTAGTCTGTGCCGGTGATGATAATGATTGACAAACGATTATTTTCCGAGATTGTGGCTAATTGCGCACGAGATTCAAAGAGAAAGATCATATCAAGACAGTTGAATCTGATCCCTGATCGGGAGTGCATTAATGCTTCGGTAAATGTCTAAAAATAATTTAAACAAAACACAACAGAAAACTCTTGGCCAACATGTGCCGCAATTGAAGCAGATACAAACAATCCCCGAATGTGCAGCCCACAAGTTACGTAAAAGTCGAACCGAAATAACCGCCAGTTCATTGACTTTGACCCAAATGGAAAATAAAAGTCAAGCGAAAAGCTACGCACGCGTCTTACGAGGGTCGGGAGGCGTGGCAGGTCACGAGTAAACTAGTACCAGGGGGCGTGACGGTAACGGTGACGTGCTCCCAAAGTACCTCCAGTAGTAATAGTTTTTGAACTTGCTCAAAAGTGCTGGTAAAACTACCTTTGCCTAATTGCCAATTTTACCCATTTTGATTTTACGTTTACTTTTGTGGGGTTTTCTTTGATCCATTAAAGCTTTTAGAGCTGGACTGCTTTCATGTACTATTATAATAATTATAAGAAATAAAGTGATGTGCTTATGGATTAGTCATCATTGAGAAGGGAATCCCTTTTATTGCATGAAAATTTCATCTTATTTATTGTTAAATTTGTTTTAAGCTAAAGTAAGAAACCCATCCGTGATACGTCTCTGATCAAATTGTGCTGGTGAGCATGGACATTGATATACTTTAAAGTTTTTACATGAACATTCGGATTTCTCCTTGACGGTTGTTATTCTGATCGTGGGTTTTGGCACGATCTTTTGACAAGTTGGTTGACAATACTTGTTTAAATTTCAAGGGAAATAGGTTACTAATTTAAATTAGATAGAGAGAGTTGCTGACCATACACTATATATACCATTCACTTTAGCTTTCAGTTTCTTGCTATATCAAATTATAACTATAGTTAAGATCTTAGCTATAAAACGCTTTCCAAAAGGTAATATATTTTCTTTTAATTATAATTATTCCCGCATGTTTATATCCAAGTTCTGTTATTTTTCTCAACTTCTTAAAACATAAACACGACAGAGTGAAAGCCCCATGTCGGTCCAACTTTAATTTGTATAATTCCCGAGTAACGTCAACATAAATTAGCCAGTAATGAGATGCTGGTTCCGCCGCTATCTGTTCCGTCTGGACCGCTAGAATTTGCTGGCCACTGCAATTTCCCGAGTTACGCAATGAGCACTTCGAATGACTCCAAGTGGAGGCTCAATTAGAGGAGCAAAAAAAAAGAACTCGCAATTTACTTGCTGTCCGACTTTGCAATTACTTCGCCCGCGTTGGAATGCAATGCCTCCTGGCAGAAGAACTACGGTCAAAGACCATGCCACTCAATTGATGTCATCGAGTCGATCCTACCACAAAGTCATCATCTTTGTTCTCTTAGGGAAAAGTAGGGCTGCGTCTGCCACCCTATCCCTTTGTCCCTCTGTGTCATTTGTGACGACTCCTTTACGGGCTCCCTGCTCCGCCTAATGATAGCATCTAATTGGCTTTGCTGCTTCGTTAACTTGGCTCACATGGCACGCCATAAACTGGAGTTACCCTTCTTCTGCTGTCGCAATCAAGAAATTAATAATCGCAGCCTATGATGCAGGGGACAGTGGAGCAACTTCCACGCCGACGCCACCGAAGGTTCTCTTCTACTACTGCTAATTGCCACTGACGTGAGGCGTGAATGATAAGCAAGCTACAATGTGCGGTCTGGAAAGGTGAGCGCGTTCTCCAGGTGGGTGAGTTCGAGTCGACGACGAGTTCGTTGCCACCACTTGAGGCCATTGAAACTCCTGGGATTCCTGGGTCAAAATAACACCCCCTTTTGAATGCATCATTCATCTAATAAAATCACACCCGCTCCACTAATTGAGTTGCCCAACTCGGGTTGCTAAACAGGCCCCAAAAGCGGCAACCACTTAACAATGGGACAGAATGGCAGGGGAATTAAGCCAAGCGGCAAACGCTTAACAGATGATTCAGATACATACTAACCAGCTATCTTGCCCAACTTCCGAAAACGATTTTCCATCTACACCTAGATGGTGTTGTCCGAAATATCTACCTGTGTGGGTTGTGTTTAAAATGGAAGATGATGTGAAACGTGAAGAGTCTTTTCGAACACTAACAAGTTAATATTGGACTGAAGATTATGTGGTCTTTTAAGGCCATGATATTCTTGAAATTCGACTAAAAATTATTAACTAATCACTAGCAAGATTCAAAATTCCATTAGTTTATCTATTGCCAAATATAACCAATATGGAAATGCCTCTTTAAACGGTTAACATATAATTTATCTGAACATTTTAATTTAATAGCCCCAATCACACCTACAAGTTTAATGTCGCTTGGTTATAACATTAAGTTCCCACTTGATCTAGACCGGCAATTACGAGCCACCAGCACACATGAGTTAAGTCAATCAGCAACAAAATCGAGGTTACCTACTATATCTCGTTGGCTTTTTAAATAAACCAGCTTTCTGGGTTTCATTCATGAATGTCGTCGTCTTACGATAATTCATTCGAGAAACGGCGGCGCGAAACAATGCAGCACACTTGGGTTAGATGGCAACTGGATCGACTGGGTTCATGGGGCTTCAATGACTTGGCAGCTGTGAGAAAGTGATGACAGGTGTGGATTAAATGAAACGGGAGTAGAGTGCTCAGTTGCCAAGTTTGTGAAACCGACTGTATTATTGAAAGTGTAGCACTTAGTCCTCTAAGAACCGGCTAAGAACGAAGACCCACAACCATCTTGTGCTGGAGAAGGTTAACAAGAAAGTGGGTTTCGGTTTACATGGAAACATTTGTACCATTTCTTCTCAGGCACGTGTCTGGCCAAAACTTCCACCCGCTGTTCTAGTACTTTGTGTTTATTTTTTCGTTAACTCCCCGCTGAGAGAGCAGACTAATTTCATGGCACTACAAGTGCATTTCAAGTTGAAACTGAAACCGAAAACGTAATTGAAACTAAAACCAAAGTGGGAGTGTGTGTTTTTCGAATTGGACGAATCACTCTTGGCCATGTGGGGGCGGAAATGAGTCACTTGAGACGAACGCCCTAAATTAGGTTTAAGAGCTTGCCCGCTGCAAATTAATTTTAATATTTTACGAGGCGAAACCAAAATGGAAATTCGATTTGGAGCAAAGGTTGTTTGGGCAACCACACAACCAGCATTCTACATAATTGATAAGATCATGGGACAGTAAATTTGTATTAACATGCTGAAAGCTTCATTGAAATTAATTTTACCAGTTCCTAAGATTATCTCTAGACAAGGGAATCTTAATAATTTATATCCGATAAAGAATCCAGATTAAACAACGAAAACCCTCAAGTCACTTTAAGGTTCATATATAATTAAGATGTCGAATTAAAGTTGGTTGCTTACCCTTGCTGCCCTTTAGAATGCTGTTAGGTGGACCTCCTCCGTCCGGTGGTTTGGCCCCCGTTAACTCCATTGCTGCTGATGCCATTGCTTGGCAATCCGGAGATGAACTGATTATGCACCGACATCTGGCTGTTCAGCGAAGAGGTGCCACTCAACGAGGCAACATCCTCACGAGAGGCAGAATTCCCGACAGCTGACGCCGTTGTTACGCCGGATTTTTTGAGCGGTGGCGGCGGTGGCGGGCGGAGATGGTGTCCACCTGGTGGCGCTATACCGACAGACTTGTCCCCGCTGCCACTCCCATTCCCGTTCCCGTTACCAACCACATCTGTGCCAGCGGACAATGTCTGGGAAACTACCGCAATTCCGCCGGCATCGGCACTATCGTCCACGTTGTCGCGGCTGCAATTGAATTTTCTGCTGCTTCCGTTGGCAAGGCTAGAATTTAGATTCGAGTTTCCGTTAAATGTTGCAAAACTGGTCGGAGCGGGAACAGGATGTGGATGTGGATGGGAGTGCTGGTGTTGGTGGGAAGCATTCAGAGGCGCCAACTGCTGTGGCTGCTGCTGTTGATAGAAGTGATTGCTGGCGTAGTGCTGTTGCTGCTGCTGTTGATGTTGCTGCTGGAGCATTAGATAATCGGTGGGAGGCTTGCCGGCTGCCACGCCCCTGGCTGCCACACCTGCTCCACCGCCGGCTGTCGCCGTTGTCGTGGCCGTGATTATTGGCATTTCAAGCCGGGTGCTGTCTTTAGCTGCTATCACGCTCGGTCACACAGTTGAATTGTTTTCAAAACAGTCTAAGTACTTGAGTTTTTTACTTCCATTGCATTTAAGAGTCTCTATTTAATACTTGTTTTATAGTCACGGTTTCACTTTGTTTCGCTTGCACGCGGGAATGTTTAGTCAAACTTTGAACGCTTCTTCATTTTTGACGTTTCATTAATTCATTTGTCATTGAGCTGCCATTCCGGTTTCGGGAAGCTGCAAAACAGAACAATCAAAAGAGAAACCATTAATTATCAGTATGCAAAGTAATATAAACAATTACCATGTATATAAACAATAGAATAGTTATAAGCACAATAATAAAACAGCAAAAACTGTTAATTTATATAGAAAAAACTAACAGGGTGTTAAAGGAAATTAAATCCGAGGTTCCCTGCATATATCATGCTATTCAGGGATGTATTTCTTATTGAAATTGAGAAAACTTAGAACTATAGTCCCTGAACAATCTAAGGCACACCTCAATTTTGTCCCCCGTTTATGCTCACAACTTAAATTGTATCGCTTTAAGACCATCGTCAAATACTTTGAATATCTAACATTGTTTGGACCTCCACCTCGCTCTCCGCCTCTGAACAAACTCCCAAAGCCAACTATCCAGTTAGACAGCTCCGGGCCAGACACGCTCATTGTTCGGTGGCTTACTCCAGACTGCAGATGCAAGTGGTGCCAATCAACAGATTGTTCAGTAAGACTAGTCAGTGGTCGGCATCCAATCCCCTCCCATTGTTGACATTGCAATTTAACAGAGGTTTGTTTCGACTTTCCCATGGCAGACGTACAATTATAATTATTTTTGTGTGCATGCCATGGCAAAAGTTTTTCTTAAATTTTCGCCTCTTTAAGACGTTTTTTGCAGCCTTCAAGCGCGTTTAAAAAACCAGCTCGCTTTTTTTATTTCATATAAAAAACTTTCTTTGCTTAATTTGTTGTGCATAGTTAAAGCTTTAAGTGAACTGGTTTAAATACTATGTTCGTATTCAGAGGAGATTGAACCAATTTCTTAATTTTCGTTACATTTAATATGTATTTATAAATATTAAAACCAAATGATGGTTTCCCCGAGAGAAATATGAAAACGTTGACTCACGACACACAATTATGAGTTAGGGGAAAAGAATAAGAAAATTAACTGTGCGAAAAAAGGGGCATCAAACACGGCAGCAACATAAAATTCCTCAAGCGAAAAATTTACTCCAATGAGAAAAAACACAGAAGACGATCGACGAGTCGTTGGAGGGCAAAAGGAGCTCGGTGAGGCACGAAATGTGCTGCGGGTACCGCCAACTAAGAATTCCAGAAACGGCAAACAAAACAACAGCGGCGAGAAACAAGTTTTTCAGAGCATGCCACCAGATCGCCAGAAAACCGAAAAACGAAAACTAAAAACCGAAAGGCAACCCCCACAAATACACAAAGGAAAAAGAAAAGTATCCCTTCCATTGAACGGTTCTAAATCTCACCCGACTTTCAGAATTAATTAAAACCACTTTAAGAATGTATGGAACTAAATGCCTTACAATTAGTAATAATTTCACAATGATCTAAGAAGGTACTTTTCATATTCATATAAAAAAGTAAAAGTAAAGAAAACAAAATATTGATAATTTTACTAATTATTATTTAATTTAACTAAACTTTGTGATATCGTGATACCCACGAACCAAATCATTTTTATTGTAAGAGTAGATCGAGTTTTAGTTGATATTAATATCAATTTGTTTACCAGTTTCAATGATCGTTTCTTTCTCTGTAGGCGCACGTAACAGGAACGATCTGCTGGTAGCGGTGGTGGTAGTTCCACTTGCCACTCAGAGCCCTAAAACAGAGACCTTTTGCAGACCGCAAATGTGCCCAGCCACCTGTCGTTTGGTGGACAACGAAAACTACATGGAGCATTAGAGAAAAGCCGCAGAAGGAGCTAAAAGTATAGTAAGGGAAAATATGGAGGAACGGTGCACTTTCGACGACCAGGCGGCGCACGACCAGAAAATACCGAATGGCAATAAACAAGAGGAGCGGCGACTGCAAACCAAGTGAAAACCGAATAGTAAAGCCCACAATTTCACTCCATGGGGAAAATTCATCATCAGCGTTTATGGCCGCCTGAGGTTTTCCGCGAATTGAGTTAGGCGCAGTTGGTTGCAGATTCAGATTCGAACAAAACAGATTGGTGCACGTTGTTGCCAAGAAAGACATCAAACTTGTTAAGTTTCATTTATTACCAACTATAAAAATAATTTGATTTTAGTTTCCAGTATTTTTTTTTACGTATTTTTAAATATTTAAGTCTATAAATTAAGGATAAACACTAAACATTTTATGCAACATTATAATCCGTATATTTCAGTCTTATTTATTTTCTTATTTTGTGATAAACAGGAGTAGCTAAAAGATTTTTAACAACTTTGAGCTATAAATCACTAATTTAAATAAACATTCAGTTATGTTTCCAAGCAAATTGATCACCAATCATAGAAATTGGCTCTCAACAGTCAACAGTGCCATGAGATACATTTGCAAATATTTATCTTTCATGCACGCCTCGCTAATTGCCATCGATTAGAGATAAACTTTCTATCGAGTGGTGGTCAATGCCATGGGCAAATATTGGAAAAATGTCAATGAGAGAGATAAAAGCAATTTTCTGCCACTTTCAAAATTCGCACCTCTTTTCGTTGTCGTATCGGACTGTTTATTTATTTGGTTTGAAAACTGGCCCAAACCGTGGAATCGATGATCGTTGTTAGCAGCAAATCGGTATTGGTTATTGAACACTTTCCATTTTTATGGAGGATTTAATGTTTTAAGGAGAGGTTTTTCTTTGAAAACGCGTATTCCAAAAACGCACACACATGCACACACTTGTTAACTAACACTTGGAAGCGGTGGCACTTGTTAACTGTGATATTATGGCCAAGTTTTGAACTTGTTATGGGCCGAAAAGCTCCTGGAAAACCCGTTGGATTCGCCGACCAACGTTACACACCTGTGACGGTAGAAGAAACGGGTTGCTAACTAATCGTCTCTTTTTCCATTAAACGTTGCATTAAACTGCAATTCAATTTTCCCGCACCACGAACCGAACACCACGGAATATCGAAAACAAATGAAAACTGAGGTGGCGCGTTGAGTTGAGTTGGAAAACCTGTTGCTGCTGAATAACGCACACAAATGCCAATGCACACCGACAGCAAATAGATGCACTGTTTTTTGTCATTTAAATAACACTGGAGTGGTCTTAAATTTCAATTGTGCGGCATTAGGAATCTCTAACTGAATGGCATGTTTAAACTTAAATAGGGAAACAAACACTACATGGGAGTAAAATCAAAAACACGAAACGAAAAACAAAACAGAAAACAAAATAACGCGACGCTCAACACGGTTGCATGAAAGGTACTTATCGACAACCGTACATCGGTGGATATTCACCACAGAAAGTGTGACCATATTGTCGATAGTCTGTGTTTGGCGCCGTCTTCGATTCATTTTCGTTACTTTTAAAATGAAAATACAGCAAACCTTCAGTTCTTTTTCAGTTTCAATAAGTGTTAATCACGAAAAAATTAACGTATATATAAAATTTTTAGTGAAAACATTCGGAAAAACCACCAAAATTTTATAAGTATTAAGTTTCGCCATGGAAGTTGGTGGTAAGACATGTTTTTAGTGAATATCGTCTTTTATGTTTCAACAATTCTTCTCCACAGTAACCTTGAACAACGAACTTGAAGTTCTAATTTCGGAAGCATTTTGTATCTTTGATACGCATGGCGATAAGTATATTGATACTCGCAATGTGGGTAACGTCCTCCGATTTTTAGGCTGCGTTCCCACCGAGAAGGAAGTAGAAAGTGTTATTAAGGCCACCGAGTCGAATGATTATCCCGGGGAGGCTTACATATCCAAGTTCATAGCCCACGTCTCACAGCTGCTTATGGATCGACAGTAAGTGTATTTTTTTTTTTTTATTATCCTTGCCTTTTTTATGTGTATATTCCGCAGAATGGAACCAGCTTCTACAGAAAAGCTTCTAGAGGCATTTGAGACCCTTGACCCAGAAAACAAGAAATATCTGACTAAGGAATACTTTGGGAAACTTATGTCTGAGGAAGGTGAACCTTTTTCCCAAGAGGAACTGGATTCTATGTGGCCGGTGGCTATTGATCCCATTACTGGAAACATTCCCTTTACTTTCTACATTAATCAACTTAAGGTGAGGCGTACATTTTACCTGTTCCACTAAATTTCATATTTATTTTAAACCTTTAGCACAAGCCAATTATCTATGATATCGCTGAAGTTGTTAAGGAGGAATTGGCCCAAGCCGAAAAAGAAAAGGGAAAGAAACCCCAACAAACTTCCTAGCTTTCTGTGTTGGAAACCTTAGCAATATCATTTTGACATGTTTAGCTATATATATTTTCAACTAAAACCTAATTATGTATATTTATAAAATAATTTAAAAACCAGAAACCAAACGCGATTAATTAATAGAACTCTAACAAATGGCATCTCCTTAAATCTTAACTATCGATAAGCATTCGACATTTCACAGCCATAAAATTAATCTAAACAATGCTTAAACGTTTTACAGTTTATAGCCATTAAATGAAGCAAAATATCTTATTTATTTAAAAATATTATTAAAAACTGTTAGTTCAAAAACACCGTTTTCGAATGTGGCGGAAAAGTGATGGATTTTTTAGTTTGAAAACAGGCCTGGCTGTGAACATCCCCCGTTGCACTATCTGGTAACACTGCGCGAAAAACACGTCAGCTTTTCACAGCCATTCGGAAAAGAACACGTCAGCACAAAGGAAAACCAGTTGGTCGATATTTCAAAGGTGGTGAGAAAATTGCGTGAGACGGAACCAAAAAGCCCGAGTCGAAGGCGATGAAGAGGTCCAAATCCGCAAAGCGTCCGAGCAGCGCAGTCGAAATATATGTAAGCGACCTAAGACAAACATAAGTTAGCACAGCGATGCAAATCTAAGTGGAAAAGCGTTTTTCACAGTTGCCCAAGCACACAGCAGTTTATAATTTGGACCCAATCAGTTAACCATGGCCCCCACAGCAAATGCAGTGCTCATAGCCGTTCCACGGACAGCAATCACATCGAATAATCTGCCCAAGCTACGCCCCGCCCCCTTAACAGCGGCCCTGCTTAAGGCAGCGTCCACGCCCTCTGCCTCGCCTACGCCTTCTAGTTCAGGATACGCTTCCTCATCTAACATGGATGACGATAACCCGGCTGCATCAGCGCCCAAGGCAAAGAAGCGTCGTCTCGACCATCTCACCTGGGAGGAGAAAGTGCAGAGAAAGTAAGTCTATAGAGCACTCAACCCACTGATCTTCCTATTAATTCCAAACCTTAAACCCTCAGGAAGCTAAAGAACCGAGTGGCCGCCCAGACATCGCGCGACCGGAAGAAGGCGCGTATGGAGGAGATGGACTACGAGATCAAGGAACTCACTGACAAAACGGAAATACTACAAAATAAGTGCGATAGCCTACAGGCCATCAACGAGTCACTACTGGCCAAGAACCATAAGCTGGACTCGGAGCTGGAACTCCTGCGTCAAGAACTCGCCGAACTGAAACAGCAACAGCAACACAACACCAGAAGCATCAGCCAATCCAACGCCAGCGCAGGCGCTGAGGGCTGTGCGTCCACCAACCTTGGATCTGCAGCATCCAAAGCTGACCCTCTGCCGAAGGGTATACAACAGGTGGACACACAGTCGTCAGCGCGTCTGCTGACGGAGGAGCTGAAGAACAGCAGGAGCATGGCATCACTCTGGAAGGTTGTTGCCCTCTGCCTACTCTACAAGACATGCTTGGCGACGACGAAGAATTCGACGTCAAGCGCCTCGAAGAGCTGGCCGAAAGTCTGCTCGCAGATATCACAGCAGACCTGGAAACAGGCTCTGGAGCGAGCTGCCCAGCTGCTTCCGAAGATGCAGGCAACGCAGAGCGACTGCTTGGACCAGTGGTGGGGCCCGCAGCAGAGCGCCTGGAATCCGACGGGCATAGAGCTGATGGCCTGAATAAGGACCAGGATCAAGACCACGATCACAAGCACACGGTTAGCCTAAATGTGCGGATGTTGGAGATGGATGGAAACCCACAGGAAACAGCTTCGACGACATCAACAATCACAGCTACAGCGAGCGCCTCATTTCTACAGGCCACTCCGGATACAGTATACGGAACCTACGATGCCAAGACAAACTCGATCACTATCGTCATGGATGGCGATGCGGTGCCGGTCAACGAGGCCGTTGAGGAGATCTACTGTGATGGGGTCACCGCTGGCGACGACTCAACGGACGTGATCATGAAGTGTCCGCCGCCAGCGACGTCTCCGTCACAGGTATACCTTAACGTTGTGAACGCCACCGACGATTCGGACGACGAGTGCAGCTTCGATCCCATCGAACGATTCCTCCGTCCGCGCGTTAAGGCGATCTCCCCGCTGGCAAAATCACCCGCATTGTCCCTCCACTCGGCCACCTCGGACCACGGTTACGAGTCTATACTGGGCTCACCCATGTCCACGGCTTTGACTCTGCCCACAGAGGAGGAGGATTTCCCCTGGGAGAGCAACTTCGACGAGCTGTTCCCCAGTTTGATCTAAGTTTTTCAAATTGAAAACTTCGTTCTGTCTCTCTTGTATTGTTAAGTTTGGCCGGCCGCCGTTTGTTTAAGTGTTTTAGTTGATAGGCTGTAAATACATTCTTAATCGAAGGCTTTATAAATGATATTGTAGTTAAAGCGCCTAGTTAAGCTGTAGGTTTCCATTTATGTTTAACAATCTCTAACCACATAGGCTTACGTTTACTTGTATTGTGCTCAAAGAATTTGGAAAAACATTCAAAAAAAATTAATTATATTCAAAATATAAACCAAACCAAACCAAACCTACTATTCGCTTTTAATTATTTAAGATACTCAATGATAAAAGAGAACTTTGTACTGAGAACGATTAAATTGTTAATCACGCCATGTCACTCACATCACGCCATATTTTCTGACGTAATTTCTGCGTAGATAGGAAGGTCTAAAGTGGAAGCGAGTGAGTAATTTGCTTCTAAATACGCACTTTTGTATACTACGCATCGCTACATTTTAATGGCTGCAAATTATATAGAAAGATTAAATGATAACAAATTGCATATGTACATGTATTCTCTGAAGTACATTAAACCTGAATTCATTGGAAAGATATCTAAATTGAAAAGGTTTTTTACATTGAATAATTAGGAGGAGAAGATGAATATTTATATTTCTTATAAAAATATTTTTGCTTAATATCTAAGATAATTTTAAATACATTTTCTTATAAAATTTTAATGATTTTTTAACTTAAGTAGGTTTTATGGGTCACCAAACCCATGTTTAATAAATTCATACACAAATATCGAACCACCCTAATGAATAATTCATTGTGGAACTAGTTCAAAAAGTTGTTTATATCATTGAGCAAGTTTTTGTGCTCCGTTCCTGCATATTTTGCAAAAAAAATCAAAACAATCCTAAATGCATTAGACCACAAGAAGGTCCAATCATGACGGAGCCACCCAATGAAACCCCAGATCCGGTAACGGAATCACCAGTGTCGATGCCAATCGCTTCGCAATCCCTGGATTCGGCGGCCATCGAGGAGATTGAAGGTGACAAACCGACCAAGGGTAAAAAGAAATCCAAGAACCCAAAGGGTCGCCACTCGGAATCTCACCTTGGATCTGAGCTCAAGAAGCTGACCCAGCGTCGAATAAACGTAGCTGGTGCTCCGAAAATGCCACTCAACGGCTACGTTCGCTTCATGAACGATCGGCGCGAGGAACTGCGACGGGATCAACCGCAACGAACTGCTCTAGAGCACACTAGAATCATCGGCGAGGAGTGGCACCAGCTGCCGGAGGAGCGCAAAGCGCCCTACATGGAGGCAGCCGCCAAAGACAAAGCCATGTAAGAGAATTCTCAACCCCCAAAAAACACCCAGGAACTCATTCATGATTTTTTTTTTAGATATCAGGAGCAGCTAGAGTTGTTTCTTAAGGAAAATCCTGAAATAGTGGCCAGGGAGTTAGCCAAGGCCAAGAAGGCCACCAAATTGGACAGTTCGCCCAAGGAAAAGACGCCGAAGGGTGAATCAAGCTTGGGCAAGGCAAAAAAAACCAAGGCTAAGCAGGTGAAGGGACAAAGCGAGGATCCGGATGATGTGCCTCTGGCCAAGGTAAAGCGTGCGCAGACACCACCGCCAGCAATCACTCCGGCACCAAATCAGCCGCCACCCAGCAGTGTAGTTCCCGCACCACGACCTCTACAGCCTGGCGAGATACCCATCTACACCAATGAGTTCATTGAACACAATCGTAGTACGGAGAACGAATTAAGGACTCTGCGCAAGGCCAAGACCGATCTGGAACAGCAGAATGCTGTGCTGGAGCAGCATGTAGACAACACGAAGGCCGGCTACGCCAAGGTGATGGGCGAGGTGACCGAGTTGATGGAGGAAAACCGACGGCTGGAGACTTATGTGCGCGGCTTGCGTCAGAAATTGGTGGCAGCTCTCGGTGAAATCTCACTGCCTCCTCTGGAGCCAAATGGTCCCAATGTGGGCAACATTGACAAATATATCCGCCACTTAGCCGGACTCGTAAGTCAACCCAACAATGTGACTTTGCTCAAGGCAAGAGAGGCTCTACGCAAGGTGGACACCAGCAGCCTGCTGAAACCTTAAAGTTATTCAGTTATAGATTCCATATTTATATAAAACAAAGACTTAGAATTAAAACCGTACTAGTATGTGTCAGATTTAAGATTATAAACCCACACACCCACATTCAGATTTTAATGACTGTTTTAATACCAAGATTAGGGATGCTCACATCTGTACATGTATTTGCCAATATGATGTCTAATAACTAATATAAACGCAAAAATGTCTGTCGTCCTTATTGACAGTTATCATTTGGTACATCATTGCTAAGTGAGGATAGGTTTCCGAAGCTGCGGTAAGATGGAAGGCGTGGACTTAGGGGTATGTTACGCTTGATTAGTCCACCATCGTTATCCAAAGCATTGTCCTTTTTAGGGTTCATTGCGCGTCTGAAGCAAAAATTGCGGATTATATAGTATCCTCCAAGTAGCATAGGTATAACCATAACTGGGTGGCAGGCTATGCCCAGCACAAATAAAAACGTGGACATCATCATGTTAATCATGGCCTCTGTGTGTTTGGATTGCTTCAGAATGCGAGACCAACATAGTCGAAAACAATATACTTACGTTCAATGCTCCAAATGGTGGCCACTGTAGTGTATATTGCTTTTGAAATTGCTTCCAACACACCATATACAAGGTTCAGCAACATTTTTATAGTGATTTTCAGGAGTTTCCCGAGTGAAAAGTATACCCTTGTGGAACGGAACTGGCAAAGCAATTGAGCTTTGGTGAATCTGAGTTTAACAAATCATTCGTGGGTTGCTATATACATTAATAATAATAATAAACTTAATACAATTAAAGTAAACAAAATAATATGTACTTGCTTCTCGCAGCGAAAGGTTATTTTTTATTAAACAAAATAGTCGACTTTTCACTTTTCGTAAATAAACCAAAGCGTTTCTCTTAGTTGTTTTCGATTTTTTGTTTCTTAGGAACAGCAGAACTAAACAAAAATAAATTAAAACTTAAAAGAAAATCGTTTTTCGTTTGATGTGTTTTCAAAAATGATAAGTTCTAAATTATAGCATACATTTAAGGTATTATAACAAAAATAATTTAATGAGATAATAAATCAAGGGCGCAGACTTCAAAAATATATTCCATTGAATCAGGGGGCAGAGGTCATGCTGGGCAGCTGCCACCTCCCCAAGATCAAGGCCATCACTAAGGTTGGTCCAACTCTCTCACAGCGTTTGGTAAAAAAATTAAAAAACATTGTACAAGGGATAATAGGTAGTTCCTTGGCGTTTTCTCTTCAATCAAAAATACGAATCGCCATTTTCATTTTAGTTATTATTTTTAGAAATTTGTGTTCTGTTCTTATTGTTTTCAAATGTGTTTGTTTCGAGGTTCGAATCATCTGGTTAAAGTAATCATTTACTTTTCGTGTTAGAGGGAGATACTGAATGTGTAATGTGTGTTGTGTGGTGGCGAGGCAGCCGATTCAAAACAGTGGGTTGAATGAGCTGAGAATTTTCATTAAGGCCTTCAAGAAAAAATTCAATTGGAATGCCAAATTCAATGCAGAGAACTGGTTTGGATAGAGGTTCTGAAAATCTAAAACGGGAAATGTTCAGCAATTTTAGGCTGCATTCATCAGTGCTCCCTGCGCTTCTGTGGCGGTGTTTAATTTTTAAAGGAAACTGCTTATTCATATTACGGACATTCAGATATTGTTTGCAAACTTCTTGGATCCGGCTCCGGCTCCAGCTTCGGGTTGCTCATCGTTTGCTGTGGCGACGGTTGTTTGCGTTTGTTTTCCCTAATTCATATAAAGTATAATAATCTCAAACTTGTCGTCGCATATGCAGGTGCGAGGACGACGACGACGACGACGTCAAGGACTGCTGTTGTTGTTGCTGCTGTTGCTGCTGCTGCTGTTGGCGTCAGGCATCCGCCCCATTGGGGTTCATGCCAACCGGCGACACAGGCATCATGTTGCCCGTCTTGGGTGTATACACACTAGCATTGGGATCTAGCGTTGATCCTCCGTTTCCATTGGCCGCGGCAGCATTGGCTGCAGCAACCTGGAAGGCAGTAGCCACGCTGACCGGCACCATTTGCTGTTGGGAGACAGGACCACCACCACCCTGCTGCTGATGCTGCTGGTGCTGCTGATGTTGCTGATGCTGCTGGTGTTGCTGATGCTGCTGATGTTGCTGATGTTGCTGATGCTGTTGATGCTGCTGATGCTGCTGTTGCTGGTGCTGCTGATGCTGTTGGTGCTGCTGGTGCTGCTGATGCTGCTGGTACTCCTGCGCAGCGCTCAGACTGAGCATAGGCGAGGACGGTCCGGGACCTGACTGTAGCGGCGGAGTGTCGTTCATCCGCAGAATGCTACTCGCTGGTCCATGTGGGCCTGTGTTCATGCACAAAGTGTCTGGCATCACGGCCAAAAGTTGGGCAATCTTTGCCTTGAGATCAATGACCTCATCCTCCTTGGAGCGACGATGGTCTAAAAGTAATGAAATTAGTAAGATCTGATTCGCTTTTTCAACACAAAACGAATGAGACACTTACTGTCAGATATTTCAATCTGGCGCTTGGCAGCGCCCAGAGCCGAGAACAAGTCCAGCTTGACTCTCGTCTCTGCGGATAAATTCTTCTCCAGCGTTGCGTTCTTATCCTGCATGGCAGCCAGGGCGTTCAATAGCATCTCGGGATCAGGCTGCGAGGATTCGCGATTTCGAAGCTTCGCCTCCAGCATGCGGTACTGGGAATATTAAAAGTATTTTATTAATATCAGTAAAATTCTTTATAGTTAGTAGGTTGCTTACTATCGAAATTATTATCATATTCGTAAGAAATAATTCTACACCAACTACTTACCTCTTGTTCCACTTTTCTGCCGTGATCGACGGCAAGTTGCTTTGCCTCCTCCGTCTGCTTGAGGTCGCCACGAAGTCGTTTCTGCTCCTCATCCATCTGCTGGCGCCGCTGCTTGCATTGTGAACTGCACTCTGGACGAGCTGCTTTCTCCTCGGCCACCTTCCGAGCCTTCTTCTCGTTGGCTAACTGAGAGTCCAGGGATTGCTTCTGGCGGCGTTCCTCGTTGAGTCGACGCTCTACCGTTTGCAGATTAAGCATATCGGCGTGTCGCGCGTTGTTTAGCTCTTGAATTCGCTTCTCCAGTTCGTCGCACTCCTTCTGCTTGGCTTGCAGCGATGACTTGCTCGTGAGATTAGCGTCCAGCTTCTGGCGCAGTTCATTTTCGATTTGCTTCATGTGGCTGATTTCAGCGCGATATTTTTTCACATCTGCCTCCAATTTCAGGCAGGTTTCACAGATCTTAGATACCACCTTGCTGGCCAAGTTGGCAATGGCATTGCTGGAGGTGGAGCTCGCCGATGATGATACCGAGCTAGCGTCGGTATTGTTGTTATTAGCTGTGTTCTCCTTGTCCTTTTCCTTTTGCTGCTGAGCCAGCTGCTGCTGATGACTGTGATTGTCCTTTGCTGCATTATCTTTCTTGCCGCGATTGCGTCGACCTATCGAGGAGTTAGGATTAGTCATAGAATGAAATCGTTACATTTAATTTCTTTACCCTTGGGAGCCTTTTCAGCCGGTGGTGCCGGCTCCACACTGACCGTCTCCTCGACTTCGAGGTGATTGGCATTTCCGTTGGGAACAGCATTGCCTGCCTTTTTGTCTGAAAATGTTAACCCGAAAATGTTATTCTAAATAGCTATTTTATGAGCTAAAACATATAGTCGTCATTCCATAAAGATTTTTAAAGTTGATAGCCGTACTCATAAAAAAGGCGATTGGGAATATTAAGGTTAAAAACCTACTCATACTCTAAGGGGTCGGATAAAAATTATTACCCGAAATATACTATATTTCTCTTTAGGGAATTCATGAAACTTGGAACGTGGCTTTTGAGAGGGAATTAAAAATAATTAAACAACTTAATTACGTTAATAAGCTAAATCGATAAGATTAATGACTATCTGGTTGCGCTTTTGAAACTAATCAAATCGTAGGCATTCACCGTGCTCACCGTGCTTTTCCTTGCCCCCTTGCTGCTGTTGTTGTGGATAGTTGGTGCTACTATCCCAGTCTGACTTCTCCTTATCCTTATCCTTACTATTACTTGATGTGGCTGTTACTGTTGTGGTTGCTGTGGCAGCACCGCTATCGACTTGGTGATAGTTGTTGCTGCTATTTTTACCCCCGTGTCGCGTTCCATTGTTGTGCTCATTATCAGCAGCGTCACCCTTGTTGCGATGCTTATCCTTGTCCATGCTGCGTCGGTGGTTCCTTGAACCACCAGCGTGACCATTGGAGGTTGCTGAAAGAGTATATTAATAGATAGTTAAGTGCATGCCTATTTATAGACGTCGATATACAACATAATTATGTTTTATTGATTCGTGAGGAAATGGGGTCTGGGGACAATTATTGGTTGCTTGGGCCTGCTGCTGACAATCGAAATTAGATTTGCATTGCAGCAGGAAAAATGATATGAAGGTTTCGATTTTTCAGGGCTGACAACTGCCGTCTGTGGTTGCTGTGGGTTAGATATCGCAAGGAAGACTCGCTGGCGGTTACTATTATGATGGATTCGTGGGTTACATGCGCATACAGAAACATACAAATGTGTCTGATACAAATTAGTTGCTGTTGTGAGGGGCAGCAAGAAGCAACTGAATACATTATTACCACCACAACAACCGTCAGCATCGGCACCGTCGGAAGTAGAGGAGGAAGAACGGGCAGAAAAAGTAGCCTGGGATGCTGCCGCATCCAAGTGATGTTGCTGCGTCGCCCAATTAGCAGTCAAAGCGGAAAGAGCTGAGACGGGATTGGAAGAAGTTGTTGCTGCACCTGTTGTGGCCGTGGATGCGCCAGACGCCGACGACTGCTTGCCCGCCGTTGCCGACGACGACGATGAGGCGGAGGACGTGGACGCTGATGATGCACCTGCCGCAGCTCCCGTTGATGAAGACGCTGCAGAGGACGACGATGCGGCCGCCGTTGTGCTGTCGCTCGTACTGTTGTCCTTGCCGCCGCTACTCCCGTTGCTATTATGGCTGCTGCTGCCGCTGTTGCCACTATTGTTGCTATGATGGTGGTGATGGTGATGATTGCTATTGCTCGAGCTGTTGCTGCTGGCGCCGGCGCCGCCGCTGTGATGATGCTCATGATGGTTTTGTGCTTGCGTGGCAGTGGCCAAAATGCCGTTCGCTGCTGTTGCTCCGGATGATGCGACCAGAGCCGGTGTAGTGGCAGACCCATTGGCCACCACTACGGTGCTAGACGTGGCTGTCGTCCCCGCAGCTGTCTCCTCGGCTGCCTCTTCTGCGGGCAGAGCCTGCTGCAGGAGCTGCATGTAGAACTCGTTGTCCTTAGCCACCTCGCGCTGCTTGCGCTGGCGCATGCGGTAGCCCACGTAGCTTTTGAAGCCAAATCCGAGCGTGACAACCGGATAGCCAATGCTGAAAGTGAATAGGTTTATTATAGAGAGGTTCTTATTTTACTACTTGTGTTTGTCTCACCAGTGCGCTGCAAACGGCCGGCAGAGATCCAAGTGCGGCATGTGGCGACTGTCTTTCCATCGTATGCCCACCTCGAGGTAGACAAATAACATCCAGAGTATTATGGTCGGCAAACAGATCCCCTTATCTGCAAGAGAAAAAGTTATCAAGTAAGGAGATGTTCAGAGACTCGGTATCGGCGAAGAATGACGCACCTGTGTGCCAGACATACTGCACCCAAACATATGTGCTGGCCGCGAAGAGCAGCCAGTGTACGGGTATGAAGAACAAACAGACCAGATCCGACGTTATCGCTATGCCCACGAAGAGTACGGAGAATGCCTGCAAATGAAATTGGGTCATATAGAGTTTCAAGCACTCCGCATTTGAGTCCCTAGCCCTCTGATCATTCCACTTACCAGACCCTTGTACTTGAAGGAATCGTGCACGGAGCGAAGGAGCAGCCAGAATGGCCACAAGTACTCAAAACGGAACATGAACATGAAGTCGGCAACCATTACGATGGCCCAAAGGATAAGAAACTTCATGTACAGAACTGTTGTGCTGGAATTAAAAATTAAATTTATATATTTTGTATATACAAATATTATAATTCTCTTTACAAGTTTCTTAATTTGATTATTTGTGTGCGATAACAACAATCTTCTTTATTAAATTACATTCTCGAAGTTAAATTGTCAGGCGAATGCTTTTTCATCGAGTGTTCTGTCCCATTAGTAAGAAAACACGAGCAATTAAGGGTCAGCTTTAATAAAATGCTTTCAGAGGCCAGATAAGAATCCGCATCCATCAATCAGACAGTAAAAAAATGTTAAATGACATGAGGCCAAGTCAAAGATTAGGAAAAAGCTGAGAAAACAGAAGCGCGAAGAGGCGGGTAACATGCCAAAAACGAGTAGCGTCCAAATGAATACATCCAAAACATCATAAAGCAAAACAACAGCACTAAGGCGCAATCAAAAAGTAAACAAACGTATAAATAATAAAAAGCGAGAGCAGAGGAGCAAGTTCCTCCACATGGGCACACTCTCGGAATTTCGGTGGTTGTTCTCTTGCGCCTCAAGAAGTCTGATAATCATCAACTTGACTTGGGGGGCAGTTCGCATGCCAATAAATCGAAAAGTATCTTTATTACCTCAATTAAGAAATTTCTTGATCGTAAGGCACAATGAATTTTATTAATGGGCTGTGACATAATTGAATGGATTTTGAAATCACTTCAAATTTTAAGTGATGATGTATAGTATGTATTTTGATATATCTATGTAATACTATGTATGAATGTAATATTAATATTTAGAGTAAGTATTTTGTGAAAGCTAGCCCTTTTATACGAATTTAGTTTAATAATGAAATCTATAATCGTAAACTTACCTTCCGTACATTCCCTCTGTGATTTTGTTGCGCTTAATTGGCCGCCGAAGCTTGCCACAATCCGCGTTGCGTCGCTTCATCTTGGATGCGCGGCGTGTGTCCTCCACCCGAAAGGCTCGATATTCCTACTCCCCTATAGATTTGTTTGCTTTTCTCCCTGGCTATATCCTATATATACTATATCCTATATCGACTTATCAATTTTTTCGAACGGATTGAGTCCTCGTTCCACTGCTCTTCACTTGATAATCAGATTCTGCTTGGGGCTCCTGGTATTTCCGGAGGCGATGTCGGCGTGGTTTTGCTTGCTGCTGCCTTTGCTGCCGGCGCGACGGCATCTCATTTACATCTGATGCGTTTGGAAAATGTTTTTCGCCTCCTGCTGAGCCGGCTTTTCTTCGGTTTTCACACTGCAAACAGATGACACAACGAAAAAAAAAGGGGGTTGAAAGATGAGAGATGCGAAACAATGAGAGCGCAAAGAACCACAAAGAAAACGTGAGAAAACGCGACCGGACCGATCCTCTTGGCATTGAATTCTCTGCCGAAAATGAACAAATGTCACTACTCCTATTTAAAACCATCAACATCAAGCATCTTATAATAAGTAAAAGCAAAAATGTTATTTTTAGGCCTGCCATTCTGTTGATTGCACTTTCGCTTTGTTTTGCATTGGTCGCGAAACTACCAGTGCGGGTGCTTAAAACTAAGAGAGGCTGTTTAGTTCTTGAAAGATATCCAAATTTCAACGCCCCAACTATTGCCAAAACAATGGCAAGATGATGAAGATTCTGAACATATTGTGACTCATTATGTTGATGTTAAATAATCAATTACACAATGAAGTCTAACAATTTATCATTTACCAACTGTTCGTCATTGCAGAGAAGAGATGGTTACTAATTTGACTTTGTATACAAAATTTAGTTAAGTTTACAGCTAAGAGTCATGCGTGATTCACACAAAAGATTAGCTAACTTTTGGAAAACAATCACAATTAAATAGCTAAACGACTTAGATATGTTTTTATTTTATTATAACTAGTTTTGCATTCCGATGAAATTCAACAGTAATTAAAAAGACACTCAACTATGCAATGAAAATCGTATATCTGTCGAAGTATTCTCCCAATAAATATATTGCTTATACATGGAGATATGCATGAGCTTCTGAGAGATTCAAAAAGCGTTAAAAGCACACCTGTGGACCTGCGAAAATAAGATTATGTGGCGATGTGTGTATTCAGATACGTGCCCAAAAGTCGTTCTGCCAATCGCTGGAGATTGGTGGAATTTAAGTATTTCGGATGACACTGCTTTAATATTATGAATCTTTCAAGGATAAGAATATGCTTACAAGTACAAGTACGTTCTCATTTGCAAATATGATATATACAGTGTCTTGTATCAGTCACCATGGAGCCTTCAGAAGTTAAATTCATGAATATAATGCTTACAAGCTTTTGGAAGGCTTTTAAATATCACTATTTAAACTCCAAAACATTTATTTTCTCGTAAAAAAAGCATTGAAATGCTAGGTTATAGGCTGAAAAACACTAAAATATACTAACACTCAAATATACTCGAAAAAGGACTTGAAAATCACAAGTGCAGACGGAAAACACGCACACTCACTCGCGAACACAAACAAATCAATGCAACGATGAGTGTGAGGGTGGGAGTTGATTTTTGGAACGGAAAGGGAATTCGGGAAGGGAAATATGATGTGACCACTACATCTCAACATGTGGATGTGGATGCTGCCCGGTGAATTCGGTGGAACGTGAAACACACTCTCTGTTGCGCCAATACAAGATTTAATGGCTGAGGAAGGGGCTATGTGGCGATATGGATATGGAACGGACACGGCAATGCGGCTGCGCCAACTCAATCGGAAGCGGAACTATGCAGATTTCAAGGAAGCAGAGCAGAATCACTGGCCTGGCATCCTTGTGTGTATGTATACGGGTGAAAAGGTTTATAAATAGCATCCAAAAGTGGAGCGCATCCATAGCATGGCCACATGGCAGCGAAAGCAACAGAATCGGAGGAAGAGGAAGCTCCTTTTGCCGATGACGTCTAATGCTGTTGCTCAATTGTCCTGTTCCTGTTTCTGTTTCTGTCTCTGTTTTTGTGACTGTTCATGTTTCTCGTCCTGTGATGGACCACAAATGGACACCTGAATTCCCAATGGGCTTCCTTTTCGCACCACTGTTGTTCTCCCGCCTGTCTGCCATCGTATCCGCCATTTTGTAATGTCCGTCTGCATCGGCAATCAAATATGTACATACATAATAACCAAAAGGGTTACCTCAGATTGGGCCTAATTTGATTGCTGCTCGAGCATTGAGTTTTCAACGAAAATCTACAAAACTTGATGCTTTACGAAGGGCATATCTAAATGTTTAATGAAAAGAACTATGTTACTAAATTAACACTCTGTTTCTAAGCTATTTTAGATTAATAAAATATAATGTTCAAAACTGTTTCATATTACATCTTGCGACTGAACACATTAGCTATAATTAACTTTGACAACCAGATAAAAGTAATCACCATCTTAAAGAAGTAAAAGCATAAGAAATGTAGGTCAACCTCAATTTATGAAATATAAACTTTATGACTCAACAAAAGAAATTACTTTTCGAAGTATTTACACTTATTGTTTTCTCCTTATGGCAAATAAGAAAATGACCAATTCGTTAGAAAAATTTAAATACCATTAAATGCTTCAAACGGAACTCACCTAACTCTTTCTAAAATAGCTAAGGCTAATATGACTATTATGTGAACTCTATTATTACTTTTATGAACTCACAATTAGCTAATTTCGATAATAACCATTTTGCTATATTGGTTACTTTCCTTAAAAAGAATACATTGCCAATATAAACATTGTAGCTCTAAAGAGCTTATAAACCATAAGGAAATTCAGTCGAAAGGAGGATTGTGAAATTAAAGTTTCCTACATACGGTCACCAGATGATTCGGATTTTAACTTAAGTTGATATTTTTGTGTAACGATATGATCGAGAGTGTAACATTTAAATGACCCACAGTTTTCAACGGCTCATAAAGTGCACTGATTTTGCTCTCGCCTGTTTTGTGCCTCTCTTCATCGCTCGCAATCTCTCTCTCTCTTTTGTTTCACACTTTCCCAATTGCATTTCGTTGGCCAAAACGAGATCGCACTGACACACTCCCACGCATGGCACACAGACACACACGCGTACAAACAGCACCCATCGCATTTAGAAAAGCCAGAAAAAACAAAAACCAAAAACCAAAAGCATGAAAACAACAACGTCAGGCCGACGAGATTGGACGCGCAAGAAAAGGCTAAAGAACTTTGATGATAAAATGCGGTAATTTGGTGTGCGCATTTTGCATAACTCTAGGGAATTTAGCGATAACAGCCGCACCAAATATTGTTTGGGGTTTTGTTTTTATCGCTGATTAGGACCTTATCAGATGAAAGTAGCGATTTGATAATAAATAAAACAAATAAATAACGAAACCCATTGATGCCGGGTGTCTTGATCACCTTCGTTTTTCCAGATAATAGCTAGAATAAAACAAAACATCTTCATGTGTTTATGTGCGTTTGCGAGTAAGCATGTCTTTGCAGGCAGAGAGCAGGAATAACAAAAACAACAAAAGTGCGGGGAAAAGTGAAAAGTTGGTTTTGGGTGAGCTTTCGAATAGCATCCACATTTTAGCCCAGGAAGCATCCTTTTTGTGGCTCTCTCTTCTCTGCCAGGAAGCATCCTTTTAGGGCTCTATTCTCTGCCAACGTCGACTGCGGTTACGTATGCATGTGTGTGTGTGTGGTTTGTTGGCGGCTGGCACACGTACAGGGACACCTATGTATACACCTATGTATTTCTTTTTTACACTTCTCACCTACACGAACACAACGATATACAAAAAGCCAAAAACCATTGCAAAATTGCACACAATTTTTTTAAGTATTTTGGGCTTCCTAGTGCCCTTTCCCGCTGCACACAATGTGCTTATGGCTTTTTCACTTGAATTTTCACTGCTTTTACTGCTCAATTTATTTACTTTCGAGCGGATTTTTGATACAATTTGCACATTTCCAACAACTGCGCTGTGTCTGTGAGCATGTGTATGTGCCTCGGCCTGCGTGCCTTTTCTATATGTGTGCGTGTGCACGGATGGATTCTTTGGCACCCGAAATTTTTCGGTTTTTTCTTTTCACTATGACAACTTTATAGATTCTTACACTCAATTAGCACTGCATTTTCTATCCGCGTAACCGTTGTACATATATATATCCCGGTGATCAGTATCGATTAACTTGCGTTTTGTATATTTCAACACGAAATCGAAACTCGAACGCTTCGAAATTAGAGCTGGAACTAAGCCGATTTCTGCAGAAAGTATGCAATTTCGATATATTTTTAAGTGCTATCGATTAGTTTCACTGCTCTCACGATTAAAATTAAAACGATTATCGAAACAATATCGAATACCTTAACAGCTATTGGTAAGTGTCTGAGCTGTTTAAATATATGAGCTCAAATAATTTTATACAAGAAATTAATTATATTGATTTTAAGTACACTTATAAAAACTGTGAATAAAGACGTGTAACAGAAAAAATTCTTGTTTATTAAGTGCATATTGACCATCTGCTAGATATATTTAAAGTAAACAAGTAACGTGAAATTAGTTTAAAAAGACATAAGAACATTTCATTTATTTAAAAATTATATTGCAATTGATTATTTGATTACTGACCTTAAAAACATGGCATTCCAATTCATAGAAACCATCATGTGGTGGAAAAACCGGGTGAATAGCCAATTTTTCCTAAACATAGTACCTTATGGATCTGTCTGAGATATACCAATAAATAAAAGAATTACAGATTCTATTTATTATCAGTAAAGCAAAAAACAAAAAACAGAATAATAAACAGTTCGAAAAAAGAATTTAAATTGACCCCGACGTGATTTGAACACGCAACCTTCCGATCTGGAGTCGGACGCGCTACCGTTGCGCCACGGAGTCTTGATGCGGGGAGGGATGTTTAATATCCTGAATTAGGAAAAGATCGGAAAAGCGAGACTTCAGTAGAATCTCAAAGTTAATGATGTTACAGAAGACAACAGCATCGGTGGTTCAGTGGTAGAATGCTCGCCTGCCACGCGGGCGGCCCGGGTTCGATTCCCGGCCGATGCAACCTGCTTTTTGTACTTTTTGTTGTTTATATTCCAGAAGCAGACGTTTCTCTTTTTTCAATCTTAACCGATATTTAATTACTCTAAATCTAAATTTTGATTAACTCAAAATAAAATTTACAAAAGACTGACTATTTGAAGAACCTGTATAGCTTATATCAGAAGCCAGATAAATGGGAGGCATTTTTTTTGGGGCACAAGCCCTTCAGATGCGGCGATATTGCTGTGCGGGTCCGAATTTAAATATCGACAACATAATGATGCCAATAAATCTACTTATATCTCAAATATTTGCCATATTACTGTAATTGAATCGTTGGGCGTTGAAAAAACATTATAAATTAAAAAAAAAAATCGGTTGCATCGGCCGGGAATCGAACCCGGGCCGCCCGCGTGGCAGGCGAGCATTCTACCACTGAACCACCGATGCTGTTGTCTTTTGAAGAATCATTTAGTTTGAGGTTCTACTGAAGTCTCGCTTTTCCGATCTTTTCCTAATCAAGGGTATTAAATACCCCTCCCCGCATCAAGACTCCGTGGCGCAACGGTAGCGCGTCCGACTCCAGATCGGAAGGTTGCGTGTTCAAATCACGTCGGGGTCAGTTTAAGGTTCTTTTTTCGATCTTTTTCTTTTGTGAACTTGTTCCTTTAACCAAAATTTGAAGTAAATTGAATTCATCTTTTGGCAAAGCGAGTCCAAGACCGCTCCGATAAAAATGAACTATCTCTTTCTGGAAAATTTAAATAATTAAGCAAACCAAGAGTGGCCTCTGCAATGTAGTAGAGAGAATTATTTGTTTTCACTTTTTATTTTATAGTATCCGATAATATAGGTATATTTGAATTGTACATAATTATGCGTGTACTTAGAATCTGCGCATTAGAAACAATCTGAGTGTTAAATATACTCTTAAAACTAAATACATAACAAAATAATAAACATTTCAAGTTTTGCAATTGCTGATTTGTTTATGATTGGGCTTTTAATTCCACACAAGCTCCCCTGTCAATTTCCTGTCCATACAATCCGTTTCTTTTGCTAATTATTTGCTATATCTGTTTATCCACATAGTCCTCAGTAGTAGTGTCCCTATTGTACGACAAGTAAAATTACGCGAAATAAACTGAATCTGATTTTAAAAGCGAACGACTCTTTCTCGTCAACAAATGCTGCGTAATCTCTTGTTAAAAAATATGAAAAATATCGGATGTATGGAGTTTCACTTAAGTTACTTTGTAAGGAAAATCATAAGTTACAATTTCTGTTGTTTTTTCTCAAAGACGCGTCTCTTTTTTAGTTGATCTGTCTATCGCCTATGCATCGGCTTCGACATCGGCGGAAGCAGCTTGTGTTTCGGGTTCCTCCGCAAATGGAGCTTCCGTTTGAGGTTCAGTAGCCTGCGCTGGAACCGATTCCTCTTTGGGGGCAGCCTCTGTATGAATGACTTGGAGCTCCTGGGCGGGTGGAGAGCCTTCCGCTTCCCTCGAGATCTGTGGTTGGACCTGGGAGTTCCCTGGCGGTGGCAGCTCGTCATAGAGGGGCGTGCAGGCGGCTGACGCTTCTGTTTGTGATTTTGGAAACGAAGAATCGCTCGCCACGTCAGCTGGTTTGGCAAAGTTCTGAGTCTCCTCCGGCATCTTGTCCTGCGGAGGACTGTTGCCGAATTGAGAAGGATCTTCCCCTGGCTTTTGAGCCTCCATTCTCGCCTCGTAGTCCTGAAGCTCCTGATCCCAGTCTTCCTCAGTGTCTACCTTGGTGGTTGCAGGGGCCGATCCAGTGTTGGAGTTAATTATTGTGGTTACGTCATGCTTAGGCTTGAGGTCAGCCTCTGAAGCGGGCTTGTTGCCCTCGTCCGTGGAGCTTATTGAATGGCGGTTGCTGTCATCTCGCGAGCCGCGTCTGTTTCCGAAGCCTGGACGTTCTCGATCCTCTCGCGGACCTCCGCGGCCTCCACGTGGATTGTTACCGCGACGATCGTCCATCATTTCGCCTCCGCGATCACCACGGAACCGATTACCGCCAGGCCCTCCAGGACCGCCACGCCGTTTGAAATTGTTCCCAGCCTCATCTTCATCGTCGCTCCAACGGTTTCGTCCGCTAGGTCCGCCTGCACCCATGCCACGGCCACCGCCTCCTCCTTGTCCTCCTCGACCGCGTTGGTTATCATTAAATGGATTCCGAGGATTAAAGAAACCTGCAAGTGACATAGATTTAAAATGCGGGATATTAAAATAAAGCTATTTTTCTTTGCCTTACTGTTTTCTTAAAATGTAAACATTAAAGATTAAATTATTTAAATTACTAACAATTAACATATAGTTCTAGGTCTTTTTTCTACTTAATATAAGATAAGCAGTTGCACACATAATTTTTTATAAACAAACTTTAAATTAAATTTATTTATATTTATTTTGAAATTTTAACAAATTAAATCGGCTCAATATAATATTAAACTGTCTTTATAATCCGCGTTTCTTACCTGGTCCCTGCTGTCGACCTCCCGGTCCACCTCCAGGACCACCAGCTCCGCCTCCTTGGTTCCGCATGAACATTGGCCCAACGCCATTGCCACCGTTACCAGCTGGCCCGCCCATACGCTGGTTAAAGGTCGGTGGCGGGATACGCATCTGCATTAGGCTGGTGGGCTGATTGAATCTATTGTGATTCATGTTGGGCGGGAAGAAGTCACCACCTGGGCCGCCGTTGTGGTTCCCACGCGGCCCCATTCCTCGAGGACCACCCTGTCCACCGCGATTGTCAAAATCTGCAAGAAAATAAAAGTTTTGTTAGCTGATAAGCTTCATCTCTGTGTTCTGTACTTACCCATAAAGTCTGGTCTTGGCATGCCGTGATCAATAGGATTTAGGTTAAGACGGGCTCTTGCCTCATTGAAAGCTGCGTTCGGTCCAGGACCAGGTCCAGGGCCTGGACCACCTCCCCCACCACCATTTTCGGCTCGCCAACGCTCAGCCGCCTCGACGACATCATCACGTCCGCCCCAGCGCGAATTTCCCGGGCCCCGCGAGCGATCCCTATCTCGATCACGCTCTCTTTCCCGCTGCTGGAACATCTCATTAGGCAAGGACACTGGAGACAGCTCGACATTGTTGGGCGAAGGGTTAAAGTTAGCTTGTTGTTGCGGTGGCGGAGGTGGGGCGTCCTCCAGATCCATCTCAATGTCCATTTGATCGTCGCTCACGTTGCCGCTATTGGCGGACGGTTGCCCTACGTTGGGCATTGGCGGAGGTACGGCTCCTGGTGGTGGGAACGGAGTTCCTGGGGGCAAGCCCATGGGATGCGGGGGTCCTCCAATGCCTGCACAAAAATTAAAATTAGTTACTAGCTAAGGCCTATGAGATTTAAAGTTACCTGGAAACCCTGGCGGCATCATGGCCGGTGGCATCATCATCGGTGGAGGCATATTGGTCGTTGGCATCATCATAGGTGGCGGCATATTAGTTGGGGGCATCATCATGGGCGGCGGCATATTTATGCCCATGGGAGGGGCCATCGGGAATTGTCCCCTTACCATACCCATTAGTCCCGGAGGTGGTGCTCCCGGGCCAGGAGGAGGACCCACAGGACCGACTGGCCCAATTGGCGGCGGCTGGGTCGTGTCAATGCCAAAGATCATACCTGGTGGCGGAACGCCAACACTCGCCGCACCAACTACCTCTGCAATGGGAGAAACCTTTTTCTCCTTGCCGGCAGTCTTTGCTTGGTTGATCTTCTGTTTCATTTGGTTGGGCATGGTGTCCTCGTCAAACATGCCGCCCTCCTCTAGGGCATCAAAATCCGTATCCTGGCTCAATTTGGACCAAGGAATGTACGTAACGCCCAACTCGAGGTCCCAAAAGTCTTTCCACTCCTTGCTTTTAACACCTTTGCCGGCAGCCCATGAGATGGTGATAGCGCGCCCCTGCAGTTTGTGGTTCTTCAGCGCTTGCATGGCCTTGTAAGCGTCCTGGCGCCTATTCATTACAATAAAGGCGCATCCACGAGGCACAATCTGATCGATGCTCACAATGTCACCGTACTCGCCAAAGGTGTCAGACAGTTCCTCCTGGTAAACCAGCTTGGACAGGTGGCCCACCCACAACGTGGTGCTGCACACTGAAAGATAAAGTATGCCGTATTAGGTTTGAATAGATAAAAGTGATGGGACTGTTTCGTCTTGTTGAGGTGTGCGTGCCAATAATAATCCGTTCTATTTATTACTTAATAGAAGATATAGACAAGGAACTACAAAGAAATGAACATAATTGATTCTGATGGTATGGAATTCGGGTGACCAAGAATTTTAACGTTAAATTAAAACATCCTTAACACGAATACTTAAAAATGGTCCAGTAACAGTTTTGAATTTTGTCGGGCATATACTATTCAATATGTAAAATTAACAAATAAAATCTCCCATGTTGTTATTAGAAGTCTCTATTTTGTAATTTTTAGTAACATCAAAGCTTAAAAGTAGTCATGTTTCCTTCAAATTATTAACTCGTATTTCACATTTTAAGAAACTTTCCGGTAGATATCTTATATGTTAAGATAAAATATTCAAAAATAAAATTGGAAAATTTTACGTAACATAGATTTGTTCAAAAACAAAGTTGGGAACTTCTTTCCTCAACCGATATATATGAACAGGAAAATTAAGTTATTTCTTCCGGTTCTTAGTATGATAAAAATAGTTTCTCAATTAAAATGTTAAACTCAGTATAGTAAGTAATCCTTATGTAAATGTATATATTGCTCGAAAACGCATATTTATAGATTGAGGGGAGTTTATAAAGTATTCCAGATTCTAAGATAAAGAATCCCTAACTAAACACACACACACACACGTCAACTGAGCCAAGGAGCTGCCGAGAAAAAATGAATTCTTCGGGATTAGTACAAAAGAAAAAAATAAAAACACGTAATGCAAACGAATCTTAAAGAGTCCAATTCCTTGGACACTCTGAGAACCATTTTACGAATTTATAATTACCACTGAGGTGCTCCTTCTTGATGTCGGGCAATCCCTTCTTGCGACGCTCACGTTCATGCTCGCGATCACGCTCCTTGTCTCGGTTGCTCCGATCCATGCGGTCTCGGTCCCTCGATCCTCGGCGGCGGCTGGAACGTGGGGATCGACTGCGCGATCGAGAACGGGAGCCACGTCGTCGTCGGTCGTTCCCAGGGCCGCCTCCTCCGGCTCCTCCAGTTCCTCGTCCACGCGGAGACCTTGAGCGGCTCCGACTACTCCTGCGACTGCGCTTGTAGCGATCACGGTCGGGTGTCGGACTGCGGGAATCGGCACCGTCCAGGTTGATTACCTATAGGAGACGGGAGTGTTTGCAAGAAATTTGAGAGAAGTGATACGTGATAAAAACGTTAGCATTTTGGTAAGCATAAAAAATTATTGGATCCAAAATGGTGGTGGAGGGAGCGGAATCGGGATTGAGGATGGATTAGTGGCTGGCCAAAGGGGAGAAACGATATTATAGACTTAATAAACTGCATTCTTTGGCGTGTGTTGACGTGTGGTTCTGTTTTGCTTTAAACTTTGATGATTCTTATAGTTCTTCCAGACTAAGTTTTGCGTTTTCGAGCAACATTTTTGATTTACATATTAGAAACTTACCAAACGTTGTTATAACATCGGGTAACGGGTTGTTCCGCCGGACATCATGTGACTTTTTAAACCTTACCTTTATCCTCTCTTTAATTTTTTTTTTACCATTAACTATTTCATTGTCTTATTCAAATATTGGCAATTGGTTTGTAATTCAGTAATATGTTAGAGATCGACTTAAAGAACATGTTAAGGACTGCCCAAAGGCATCTTCTTTAAAGAAAATATGTTTTTACAAATCATTTTTATGGATCGGGAATCAAATCCTTAAATATGGATTGCATTTTTTAGAGGTTTATAAAGGCGTATATGCTATTAATAAAAAGTGCAAAAGCACCAGCTTGATTGTTCTTTGGCTTGGACACTCCGATACTGTATCGGTTATAACAACATATTGGGAACATTATCAGTTTTAACTGCACGTCAGCACAAGGCAAATGGCATCTCCCGATTACAATCTAATTTGTTTATGCTTTGAACCAGTAGTGTAAGTTCTTGGTAAAAAGCACACACAATTCCCCAGAAAATGTGATAGATAGAATCAGTTAAAAGGTATACCTCAATAGTCTGTTGCTCCGATATGAACTCGACATCCTTGTTGAGGTCCATGCTGTCGTTCAAATTCATGTTCATGCCCATGCCGATTCCCATGCCCGGCTGCATCCCAGAATTTCCCTAAAAGGGTACGATTATGAAAATAGGGATAACAATGTAAGCTAATGAAATGTACCTTCATAACGTTCTGAAAATGTTGCTGTAGTGCTTCATCTGCATAGCGGTGCTTTTGGTTCTCTTCCTGCTGCTTGAACTTTTGGAAGTTTTGTAGCGTCTGCAGTTGACGCAGCACATTGGGATCATTCAGCAGCTGCTTGAGATTGTTGTTCTGGAAGAGTCGGTCAAGGATTATTAATAGTGCGTTAAGATAAAAGAAGCTACCAATAAACAGAAAATTAATCCAAACTAAAATATCTAAATGAAGGGTTAAAGGGGCTCGCCATACGTCTAATAGCTTGGATGAGGTGGGCGGTGAATCGTCACCCATGCAGTGGTGGTCATCGGCCATCAGCACCTGCAGGCCGTCATCCTCTTCTTCGATTATCTCCCGCACCTGGTAATCGATTTCGTGCGAGGTTTTAATGTACTCCCGCTTGTGATGATGGGACTTGCTGGACTTTGACGAGCAGGAGGCCACCGACTGTCGCTTTGAGTAGTGCTGCTCCGAATAGTGACGCTTGGAACTGCTACTGCTGCCGCCAAACTTCTCATGGCCCAGCTAGCGAGTGGGCGAGGGTGAAAGATGCGGTTAGTGGGCAAGACATGAGAAATGTAAATGCAGCAGAATGTTAGATGATGGGTTAGTTAGCCAGCGTCCAATATAACATAATCTTTATAGTAAGGCTACCAGAAGTATCACTCACCGACAAATCAGGCATGACACCCATTTTATCCTCGCCCCCCGAGCTGTTCATGCTCAGTTCCATTCCAGAGCTGTTGAGTCCGTTTGGACCGCTTGATATGTCTGCCAAACTGAGGGCTCCACTGCTACTCGGTCCGGGACCCACACCGCTGCCCTGACCTCCGCTACCACTCACCGGTGGCATCTGATGGTAGATAGGGTGGTTCGGGTCTGCCAGGTCGAAAATCGGCTGGATGACCTCCGACTTGAAGACGTTGTTCTTCTGCCACAAGTTGAGCACTCTGATGATGCGGCTCTTATCCTCGGGTGCACATCGAAACAAGTTGGCAAAGGTCTCGGTGAGGTTGCGCTGAAAGCGGGGCGCGAACAGGTCCTTGTCCATACCGTACTGGTGCCGAGACTGGCGCACTATCGAATCGATCACATACAGTCCAGGCACCTTGTACTCCGGCTTGCACTTTAAAATGAACTTCTCCACGCTCTGTACGACGTGCTTGTACAGCTTAATGGCACGCATCGCCGACTTGGTGATTGCGGCCATCTTGGCCTTGGAAATGGGCGGCCGGCTGTCATAGAGTCCGGAGAGCTGAAAGGCAGAGGAATTAATTTACGCCACGGGAATCGGGATTTATGGGACACGGAGTTTTTGTTGCGTTATCGTTATCGGGTGCTCGCGATAAAGCAACCCTGATCGGCGTTTGTCGGTGAAAATTCGGGGCTCTGCCTGCGCCTTGAGAAGATCTCTATACCTTTTTTGAGCAAGGAGTTCCTAATCCCGACTTGACTTCAACCGGACATTGTGTAACCACGCCGGCTCTATAACTCACCTCATTGCAAAAAGGCTCTATAACTTACCTCATTGTTGAAGGCAACCACTGTTTCCATGTTCAATTGTTCGGTTCACTCACGTCACGCACACACGAACTTTAGTTTAGCATACTTTGGTTGGTCCACACAATCGTTTATAACTGCCCAAATGCTTTTTCGTTGAATTTTATGCAATTTTCACGACTTTTTAAAAACTTTTTACAAAGCGTGAAAAAAATGGCTGCCCTATAGCCTCAAGCGTTGCCACACCTGTAAAGTTGACAATTTCCATAGCATTTTCAGAAATTGTGCTGTTGAACGCATGTTAACGGATATGTGACCGTTTGTGGCTAACAACATTTTCAGAATTTTGAAATATTGATCTTCTTATAATGAATGACATTGAATTTGTAATCTCATTGAACAAAGTAATATTATTGGGCAATGCTTTGGGTAGATCATTTATTTTTTTCATATTCTCTAATAACAATTTTTATATATCGATATAAAATAAAAATTTTCGATATATCGATGTTATTGTGAATAATTAACACAGCTAAGCCATCTGGCAGTCTGGCAACACTGCGAAAATAAATATTAATATCAAACAAAATAAGATGAGCTCCAACCACCGTCCTCTAGATGATTCGGATATCCTGCTTATCCAGACCATCCGCGAGACCCCGTCGCTGTACGACCCCCAGCTTCCCTCCTTCCGACTGTCGCAGCGCAAGGAAGAGGACTGGGCCAAAGTTGCAGATGTGCTTAGCATCTCTATCTCAGACGCAAGGCGACGATGGACCTGTCTGCGGGATCGCTACTCCCGGGAGCTCAAACAGAAGCGCCTGCATCCATCAGGGGAATTTGGCCACAATGACTTCTTTCGAAAAATGGATTTCTTGAGGGATTTTGTGCGCAAGCGGAGGGAGCGACGAGGACGCGACCGTGATCGGGATCAAAAGCCAACCGGCTGGATGAAAGTAGAAATTCATCGGCGACAACGGCGCCTCCGCTTGCCCTTGGACACGGACGCCCTGATAGAGGAGCAGAGCTCACAGGTTTATGATGAGGGCGAGGAACAGCAGGACTACGATACTAAGTTGGAGGCGCAAACTACGCAATCAGAGACTTATTCCGTGCTCGTGGAAGCAGACGATGGCCACGAACCAGAACAGGAGAGCTTCGAGGAGTTCCTGGGCGATACAGAATGTGAGCAAAAGGTCAAAGTGGTCACCATCCACCCGGAGGCTGTTGCTCCGAAAATAACAACGGCACCAACTTGTGAACCTGTGGAGCCTAGCCAGGCGGACCTTAACTATATGGTCTGTGTGCCTAATGTGGCCCAGGAGCGGGAGCATTCCGCTCCTGAAATGGCTAATCCGTCAGCCGTCATCCCGGTGAATAACTCGGAAACGGAGGACGACTTCTTCTGCAAATCTATCGCCGCCTACCTTCGTCAACTGTCACGCGTGCACAAAATCAAGGCAAAGGTGGAGATGTACCAGATTTTGGAGAAGTATATACTGCTCGAGGAGAGCGGAACGGGGGCAGGTGTAAGCGGATCGGGCTAGACAGGATACATATGTACATAGTTTTTAACATAGTTTTTTAATGCAGTACAAATATACAAAGTGACAAAATCTTTTGAGCTTAATCTATCAATGTTCTTAGAAAAAGAAGTGAAGTCTTAACAGAAGTCTTCGTTGATTATGTTGGCATCTACGGCCAGTCCTCGTTCTTTTAGTGCCTTGGAAACCAGACGGTGCTTCTCCTGCCGCTGTTCCTGCTCCCTTCGCTGGGCGTCCAGGATCTCGTCGACCGAAATCTCCTTGAGCGGCAGCTTTTGTTCCTTCTCGCGATCCTTGAATTTTTAGTTCGAGGACGTAAAATATGTGAAATCAAAGGAATGAGTTAAGCTTACAATTTCTCCTAGGAGCACCACATTCTCGCCGCGTATGATAAAGACTCCACGCGGAATGTCGCCGTACTCGTTTCCGACATGTATCCTCTCGATGGTGCGCTGCAGCACTAGGTTAGCGAACTGATCCACGGATCGCAGGTATCCAATCAGAGTTCGTCCGTCTCTTAGCAGTACCATCAGTTTCTCTGTAAAGTGTCAGATTTAAGACTCCACCTTCGGTTTTTTCCCGCAATTACTCACTGTCAACTTCTTCTAGGAGATGAGCCGTGCCCGCCAGAGGATTCAGATCGTCCATGGAGAGATTAAGAGGTAGTGTTTAATAAATAAATAAGTTGAAATTACTTTGGTCTTAAGTAGAATGTTTAATGTAAGTGTGACTGAAGCTTGAACGTTAAAATATACCCTGAGTGGTATAAAATACTAATATTTTGTATAAATTTTGTGGATTATTTAGGGACATTTTTTACCGGTACGGGTAACCGGTCACGCTGGTTTTAAATAAATAGGATTGCACATTATCCCGAAAATCAAGGAAAATGAAGTAAGTGGAAGAATGACATAAATGGGAATTCCTTGATAATTACTGAATCCACAGGCTTAGTGTGGACGGTCTCCTGGTGTATTTTCCGTACGAGTACATCTACCCGGAACAATATGCGTATATGCTGGAACTGAAGCGAAGCCTGGACGCCAAGGGTCACTGCCTTCTGGAGATGCCTTCGGGAACTGGCAAAACGGCCACTCTTCTCTCTTTAATCGTGGCCTACATGGTGGAGCATCCGGAGACCATCCGCAAACTAATATATTGCTCTCGTACCGTTCCGGAGATTGAAAAAGTAATCGCCGAGCTTCAGAATCTGATGGTTTACTACGAGAGACATTGCCCAAATCCGCCGCCCCTCACAGGCCTAGTGCTCAGCTCCAGAAAGAACATGTGCATCCATCCCGAGGTCAGCAAGGAGCGCGAAGGCAAAGCCGTTGACGGAAAGTGTTACGGACTCACTGCCAGCTACATTCGCGACCGGCACGAGATGGACAGCGAGACGCCCATCTGTAAGGATGACTTAAACTTGTATTTAAGGATCACCACAATCTAAACAGTTTATTGCAGGCCAATACTTCGAGGGATTCAGCCTGGAGGGAAAAGAGTCTACATTGCCAGTAGGCGTCTACAGCATCGATGATCTCAAGGAATACGGTCGAGCGCGCAACTGGTGTCCATACTTTTTAGCACGCTATGCAGTGAGTTTCCTGGTTGATAGTTAACATATATATTGTGAACGGATTTGCCATTGCCCCATTCAATACCAGATTGCCCATGCTCACATTGTGGTATATAGTTACCACTATCTGCTAGATCCAAAGATAGCTCAGGTGGTGTCCAAGGAGATGAGCCGAGAGTCCTGTGTGGTTTTTGATGAGGCTCACAACATCGACAATGTTTGCATCGATTCAATGAGCGTGAAGATTAATAGACGCACTGTAGAGCGCAGTACAAACGCTTTAAACCAGCTAACAAAACTGGTTCAAGAGTAAGCCATTCAAGCCATTGGAAATATGGTTTGCTTTAATTGACATGTCTTTCAGCATTCGGGAAGAGGACACAAATCGTTTGAACGAAGAGTATCAGCGCATGGTTCAGGGCTTAAAGGATGTTAGTGTGCAGCGGGACACGGACATGATCCTGGCCAACCCAGTCCTGCCCAAAGATGTGCTAACAGAGGTGGTTCCGGGAAACATAAGGAACGCCGATCACTTTCTAAGCTTTTTGCGCCGCTTCATTGAGTACATTAAGACAAGACTGCGGGTCCATCATGTCGTCCAGGAATCACCTGCCGGCTTTCTTAAAGATATATCCTCCAAAATATGTATTGAGCGCAAACCGTTACGGTTTTGTGCTGAGCGCCTCTCAAGCTTGCTGCGTACACTTGAAATAAGTGATTTGACCGAGTACGGAGCCCTTACTCTCGTAAGTCCTGAACTACCTTATGTTTTTCAATGCGATATAAAATGCTTTATTATTTTAATAGATCACACACTTTGCCACGCTGGTGTCCACCTACACGAAGGGGTTCACCATTATTATTGAACCCTTCGACGACAAAACGCCCACTGTATCAAATCCCATTTTGCACTTTAGTTGCTTAGACTCGTCTATTGCCATGGCTCCAATATTTTCGAGATTTCAAACAGTGGTCATTACCTCAGGCACATTATCACCCATGGACATGTATCCAAAAATACTGGACTTTGATCCTGTGGTCATGAGCAGCTTTACCATGACACTGGCCCGACCATGTCTTCTTCCTATGGTACGCCTTATTTGTACTATCAACTAGGGTATTTTGTTTTTAAATGTTCTTATTCAACAGATTGTTTCTAAGGGCAACGACCAGGTTACCATTTCATCCAAATTTGAGACTCGAGAGGATACTGCAGTGATCCGTAACTATGGCCAGCTGTTGGTGGAGGTGGCGAAGACAGTACCCGATGGCATAGTGTGCTTCTTTACCTCTTATTTATACTTGGAGTCTGTGGTGGCCTCCTGGTATGATCAGGGAATCGTTGACACCTTGCTGCGCTACAAGTTACTATTTATCGAAACTCAGGACAATGCCGAAACAAGCTACGCCCTGATGAACTATGTTAAGGTAAGACATATGTTTTCAGTTTCACAAAAACCAACGATATTGCTATGGCTTCCCGGCAAATGTGCCTGACATAGCAACCTCGCTCTCATTATGATTCACGCCCTTGGAGGTCGGATCATGTTGATTTAATCAGAACGCAGGTACCGGTAGATTTTCGTAGCATTATCATTGCTGATATGACGATGAATATGAAAATGAAATGTATATACTCGTATTAAAATATATTGTAATACTTAAAGGGTAATTTCAATCGAAATTATGTTGGGGAAAAGATTAGCGGAAATATTTTTAACTTTTTATTATTTTCAAATGTTATTGCTAGGTACGTATTTAATGTTTGACCAATGTATAATATTAAGACGTCCCGATGTTCAAAAAGGGTATACATTAATTGCTCCCAAAGTTGACTAACCCCAACTAACGCTCTCATTTCGACTTGCAGGCCTGTGATTGTGGTCGTGGAGCTGTGTTGCTGGCTGTGGCTCGTGGCAAGGTCTCGGAGGGTGTGGATTTCGACCATCACTATGGTCGCGCGGTGCTCATGTTCGGTATCCCTTATGTGTACACGCAGTCTCGGATTCTGAAGGCCCGTCTGGATTACTTACGGGATCAGTTTCAGATACGTGAAAACGACTTCTTGACCTTCGACGCCATGCGGCATGCAGCACAGTGCGTAGGTCGAGCGCTGCGCGGGAAGACGGACTACGGAATCATGATCTTTGCGGACAAACGGTTCTCGCGAAACGACAAGCGATCGCGTTTGCCTAAATGGATTCAGGAGCATTTGGTGGACAGTTTTTGTAACCTAAGTACGGAAGAAGCCGTGCAGCTGGCTCGCCGTTGGCTAAAGCGCATGGCGCAACCGTTTACCCGAGAGGACCAGCTGGGCATCTCTCTTCTGACCCTCGCCCAACTGGAAAACGCTGAGCAGGAGAAGCTGGAACGGCAGGCCCAGGGCAAACAGGGCGTTGGCGGCGAGGTGCAGGAGTTGTGAGATGTGGGAGGTGCTCAGCCAACCGGCTCTTTGTCCGACTGCCTTCCGGGAATAACTCAAGCTGTTGTGCCGTCAGCTAATGACATTGAATGCCATTAAAAGCGAATCACAACGGCATTGCTGGAAAATTTAAAAGTAAAATTTTTTTTGGCTGCCATGCAAATCGGACGTAAATGTCCAATTAATGGCTAATTAATATTATTTATAATTTCGCAGGCATGACTAAGTGACCGCTCAAGGCGGCGAAAGGGCGCAAGCGCAGCTCGAGTTTTGCTCTTTCAGCTGTATTCGTATCTATGTATATCTGTGATTATATCCGGATTAGTTGGGCTGCACATTTGGAAATAAGTGTACTTTGTGGACTGCACTATTTGTTATTGCAATCTCGATCTACACCAGAAATCAAAGTAAAGAAAATGTTAAATAAAATAAAATATTTTATGATTAAATGATTTGGTAAACAATTGTCACAGAAATAAAAAAAATCAAGGGATGTTATAGGGCATATAAATTACGATGCCCCTTCCTGTCGCCGTAATTCAATTTCAGGGGCTCGCAATCGGTCGCCAAATGATCCGCGATGACCGAACAAATTTCTGGCATGCACAATTTAGCCTGAAAATGGATTTGTTGTTGCAAATCGAATGCTATCGCCATCGGCTCATAATTGCCAACGACCCGTTAACGATGCAGTCTCAGCCGGGTTATCAAATCGAAATTATTGCACAGGGGTCCAAAGCCAGGCGCCAACGTTTGCTTAACGGCCGTGTTTTTTGATTTTTATTTATATATATTTTTTGTTTCATTTTTTACAAATGTTTACTCTGCCAGCATGTTTTCGAAAAACCAAAAAAAAAACATTCGGAAAGTTTTGACCGCCAAACAAGTAACTCGAATAAAGAGATGTTTCGATTTCCTGGAGTCCTCGGACTTCTCAGCTGTGGAGCTTAAATCAGAGCGGAGAGTCAAAAGCTCCAAAGCCAACGGAGAGCAGTTACAGTTAACAAAAAATCCAGAGCGAGATAAAACTGCCGAGCACTCGTGCTCTCCCTCTCGCGGCAGAACTTTCGATTTTTCATAATAAAAAGGTTACAACTAAATCTCGGGCGGTTTAGTCGGCAGATAAATTCGAAGCGAGCGCGCCAAATACAAAATCCGCAACGTGATTATACGCCAGCAACCAAAAACTTAAAGACAAAACTCAAAGTTTTTCGAGTCCTCGTTAAGTCCACCTCCGCCGAAAATCAGTTTAAAACAATGAAGCCCCAGACCAGCGAGCAAAATGGTTCCCAAAATGGCGACAATGCCGCGGATGCTGTTTCCGTCGCCACGATCCCCACGGGCGAAGCCTCCTCCGCTGCCACTACCGATCTTACGGTCTCCAAAAACAGCCAGCAGCTGAAACTGGAAATGCTCAACATGGAACTGGCCAGCAATGGAAGTGGTGAGTTCTCCGGAAGAGACAAGTTTAGCGGTTCGGGAAGTTTTTCTTCCTTCAATAGGCATTGATTTAAATTATATTTTCTCTTTGTTGGAATAATTTTGGACTAGAGGTTACAGCCGAACTTCTATAAGTCTAAACACCACTCTGCACTCTGCATATGGGGACTTATAATTAGATAATTTATTTTGATATCAAATTTAAAATTAATAATATTTTTTTTTTTTTAATTTCTTCCAACTCACTTTTACAAAGAGATCTTTTTATCACGAAAAGATATCAGCGGGTTTTCCCTTATTAGCCTTTATCTTTTTAAACTTAATGGAAGTCCCATTGCAACATTATTATTCTAGAAGTGCACTCATTGCATTTCAGCTTCTCATTTTTAATTTCTTTCACAGAATGTGATTCATTGATTAATTGGGGGAACACTTTTAAGTTTAGAAAGGGTTTACCCAAGGCTTCTTGAACTCGGTGAATTTAAAAGTGACTGTTCTCAAATTATGAAATGTTTTTAAGACAAAAGGGTGTATTCTAAAAAATTAGCCAATAGTGGCGTGGTAGATTTGGAAGATACCCCTTGATAGACATTCATCTAGAACCTAGTTTCCGGGTAATACAACTCTCTCGAGGTGGCCGGTGGCGCCGAGATGCAATCTTTGCCCGATATTGCATCACGCATAGATTAGTTAGAGAGATCGAAATGCAATCAGATGCGCATAATGAGTTGAGTCCGATTTCCGGCGATGCTGGGCCTCATAAATTCGAGAACATAAACCGCAGGCCGAGTACTCGGATTTCTGTCCCATATGCAAACCACAAACAGTGCCGGATATCAAGAGAAACCTATGTCTATACCAAAAAGAGTGCTCTACCAGCTCTGGCACTGAGCTGGCCTGGCCTGGACTGGGCTTATTGACATTGACATTGAAAGATTTGCTTGGCGCTTGGCACTTGCCGGATCGGATTGGATCGGCAGATTCAACGAGAGAGGAGTGGAGCCAACTTTGGGCCCTGAGCCAAAGAAAAAGACATAAACCCCTCGGCTTGTGATCCGGTATTTGAATTGGCCAAAGGTAGGGTGGTTGGATGGGGGGAGGGTACAGAGACCTGAACTACTTTTGTGAAGGTTAAAAAAGTGTTTAATTGCGAGTACGGCGCTCCAAACGGTTTCGATTCGTGGGCTTTTGCCGTTTGCCGTTTTCAGTTTCTTCGATTGCCCCTCAGATCGAGCTTGTGTCTGTCGGTGGTGACTAATAATCCAAGCCGCAGTACTTCACATTTGAGCGATTGCGGTCAATAGAAAAGACTGACTCTGACTGACTTGGCTGGCTGAGAGCGAAGCCGAGCCTCACTAATTGAGCCACTTAAAAAATTCTCCGAGAAAATGCCAGGCGGTGGCAACCCTGCCAACTTGGAGTCCCCTATCCCCAGTTGCTCTAGGTCAAAGGCATTCCTTATTCCGATTCCGTAATGCGTAATTGTTGGCTACACGTTGCAGCGATACAGAGAGCCGGAGAGAACACCTGCCCTTTGGAAAATGTTAATGGTGGCTTAATTGCATTGCGGAGCAACAGGTTGACCACTCAGGAAGAAACTGACTGATGCTCTTGGAATCGACTATGGCTAACAGATCACAACTTAAACAGTAAATAGTATTACAGCAATGCTTTAAACCATTTCCTTTGATATTTTCCTCTGAGAGCAGCCCATGATATAGTTTTTAGGAAGGTTTCACTGTATCCAGGCTACGTCACATTAACTAGAACGATCAATGTCTATGTCATCTGCAGCTGTCTTAGCTTTATGTAAACTAAGCAAGTGTGTGCGATTCCCAACTGATTTATTCTGCCCTAAACATCGGTGGAAGCTTTTAATGTGTTTCAATTGGTTTATAAAGTAAAAATTATGGAAGGAAATTTTTAAAATTCCCAGGCCTTTTTTTAAATCATCAGATATGTCTTAAGGAGTGTATTGGTTTTGTGAAGTACGCGATGTTTTACTGTTCGGAAGTGTATGCACACTCTCAAAAATGATTGAAGGATGACTTTCGTACCACAATCTTAAATCTATCTTTCGTTTGTATTTTCGAATATTTTTATTCCTAACCCTGAACTTCGTACACAGAAGTCCGAAAATTAGCATTCCCAGATCTTTGAATCCGAGGTGGCATAAATTGATGAGATGCTGAATTTATGCAGGGAATAAACAAATCTGGCCAGCTGGGGCACAGACGCCTCCAATGGAAGCCCAACAAGTTGAACGCTGCAGGGTTTCATGGCAAAATAAGGACATTTTTGGATGGGGCTAATGTTTTATTGAATTCAGTCCAAACTAGGTTCCATAATCGTTTCCTTTTTGTGGGTTCACCAACAGTTTACATGATTGTCTCCTCCTCCAGCATGTATTCGGTGAGATCAGCTTCACCCGTTAGCGTGGTCACTGGTACTCGGTTCATCTGGGCCACTCGCTGACTTGGCCACACCATTACATCGCAACAGTTTGTCAGCACAACTACATTGGTACTCGGAGTTGTGGTGCACATTAGGTTTCCGGCCTTCTCCTGGTCACACTTGTTAAACTTGCGCCGGAAGCGGAACTTTACTGGCAAAGAATTGCCCACCACGCTCTCTTCGTCAAAGTACGGCGGCAGGGACTTGTTATACACTGGATTCGTAGTGGCCGGCTTCGTGAGCTGGTACATGTGAATAAGGGGGACGAAACAAATGGGGTTATAAATTTGAGTTATAGGAAGAGTTCAGGTCACTCACCTCTTCGAGTACTACGGATGTCTTAAGCCTGCGGCATGGATCACAGTAGTCAGATGCCAATGTGTTCTCAGGTGTTTTACTGGCACACGGATCAGGCTTAGGTTCAGGTGCTGTGGATCCGAAACCCACTGCCACGCGGTACGATGTCATTGCCACTCCTTCCCTTCGGCTTCATTGGATCCTCTCCGCGGTTTACGCACTCTTGCAGAAACTCTTCCTCGATATCGATAAGCTTCTTGATCGCACAATCGCGCTTTAGAAAGTTCTTGATCACCGACAGATCGCGTGGAACGGCGCCAATCACGTCGAAGTCATCGCTCCGAAGTTTGAGGCGATGCGCCATGCTTCTGCTTTTCTGGAGCGGACGGAGTGGCTTATGGATGAACGGTGGTTAGAATTTGGTAGTTGAATTTGGTCCTATATTAGCCTGGCTACTTCTCTTAAATGTATCTAGTGACTGCCCTTTGACATTCAACACCAAGTCGAGTAGTTTACCGACGAGACTAAAGGACATCGCAAACAATAGATGGAACAAAAAAGGGTCTCCTTGACCACTTAGAGCTGGCGCCAATGGGCTTTGTGCACGGCTAATGACAAAATAATAGCAGTTTCATTATATGTTACCTCTTTTTTTCAAGCATTTTTTTAAGGATGTTCTCCTAAAAACAATTTTTTAAGATCTACCAAATATGACACTTATACTTGGGGAACATTTCCAGGAGCTATTTTTATGGATACTACTGTATCTCTGGAACTTCCTTGCAGAGCAACAAGTTCAAGTGTAGTTTTAGAGCAACTGGACTGCGGAGTCAAAACCATGGACATGCGCTTAGCTCGCTTTAGTTTCGCTCACTTAATCTCTGCTAAGCGGGAGTCGCACCGGAGCTTCCAGGGCGGTTTGAGGTTGTTGGGTGGGTTGTAAAGAGCTTTTCTCAGCTCAAAGCTCCGCTCGAGAGGTTCTTATTGCCACTGCTGGTCACAGCAGCCATCAGAAGAGCAGAGCCACCCGAAGCGCCAACACATGAAGACAAAGTCCAGCTGTCATAAAAAAGAGACACCAGCGAGAAAAATATAGAAAACAACACGGGCCAAGTTCGAAGATTGTGTGCAAGCAAACTAGCCGTTAAATTGAGTTCCGTTCGAGTGGCAAACAAACCTGAGTAGACCTGCCGCCATGAGCTTCACCCGCCAACTTTCCGAGATGAGTGCCAGCGAGTTAAACGATGCCATCGATGACACCAACTTCCCGCAGGCACACATCCTGTCGCGTGGTCGCAACAACAGCGTCTGCTCAACAAGTAGCACCTCGGGCACCTCCTCGCTGGCGGACAGGCCGCAACCTCAGCCGGAGGAGGCAATTGCTATTATGGGTACGCCAACTGAGGAATTGGCTCCTGCTCCTGTGACCGGAAACCAGAGACCCCGCCTCATCCTGAAGACCAATGGCAGCAGTCCGGATAGCGATGGTACACAACCGAAAACACCAATGACACCGCGTACATCGACAACGCCAGGTAGTGGTGGGTAGTGGTCTAGGGCCAAGTCCAGAGATCTGCTTCCAGGGATCTAGGCGAATTTAAAGTCTGATTAATCAGTGAACTTTTCAGGGCGGTAGACAAACTCTTTTTTGAACATAAACCAACGTCCTATCAGTGGGTTAGTGTTTCGGTTCAGAGGTCAGAGATGCGCCTCGGATCGGGGATAGTATTTAGACAGCCACACACAGCCGTTCAAGGGGGCATTGCCTCCCTATCTTCAATGATAACGATTTTCATTATGTCCGTGTTTATATTGGTATTTTCAGGCCATGAGAAGTGCACGTTCCACCACGACCTGGAGCTGGACCACAAGCCACCGACGCGAGAGGCACTACTGCCAGACATGGCCCGTTCCTACCGCCTCCTGTTGGGCGGACTGGGCGAGAATCCGGATCGCCAAGGATTGATCAAGACCCCGGAGCGAGCGGCCAAGGCCATGCTGTACTTCACCAAGGGCTACGACCAGAGTCTCGAGGGTAAGCACATCTAATTTCGGGCAATTAGCACCAGGTCAGTGATCTGAGTTGCTCATCCTGGACTTCCCAGTGAGTGCGAACTAGTTTCTTGTCGGTGAATCATTCGGTACCCCGGCTTTAACGGGGGTTCCTCGGTCCGCTGCAGTGCATTAGTGTAATTACCACTTGAAAGATAAAGACAAAAAAGATGATCCGTCAGTTTATTTCGGGTTTGTCCGAACCCAAAACGTAGAAAATATTTATGTAAAAACGTTACATGTTTTGAAAAAATTAGAATCTACGATTACTCGCCAGAGGAGCCTTCAAATAGTTGGCCTGCATTTTGTCTTGCAATCGCATTTGAACTTGTCATGTAATCAATGGGAATCGTTAAAAAAAAAAACAGAATTGCGAATAATACGGCTAGCAGTGTACGAGTTAACCGGTTATGCGAGATGAAAATCAGGTTCTACAGTTTGTCAAATAAAATCGCATGTAAATTTAAGATCAACAACAAACAACGCAAGTGTGCTGGTCATTTAAAAGCTAAATGAGTTAAACGAAAGTGAATAGCCTTCGGCAATAGAATGGGTTGGATTGTGTTTAACCCGAATTCGAAGAATCCAAGAAGCACGAGTCAACGTGACTTGCCAATCTGACATTGAGGGAGCCCCCAGATGATGCTGGTTGGATTGTTAGCTGGTCAGGAAACGCACTGAAGCTTTCCGGTCTGTATATTAAGAGCGGGAAAGTGTACGGGTGTGCGGTGCCATGCTTCTGTATTCCAAAAGCAACTAGTTGAGAAATGGGAATCTCAAGAGCACATCGTTTAAAGCGAGTGTGGCGAAAGCTCACACTCCACAAGAACCATAAGCCATCAAGTCAAGTCACCATCCCCCAAGCAGCCACTTAAACTTAACATTCAGTTATGCAGAAAATAAATCTAACACGAATTACGCGCGCCATAAATCACGGGTAGAAATAAAAAGAAAAAGCATTTGAGTGGCTTCGTCTTTCTGGGACATTGGGCGAGCATTGCAATAACGACTCCGTGGCGCAACGGTAGCGCGTCCGACTCCAGATCGGAAGGTTGCGTGTTCAAATCACGTCGGGGTCAGCGATAAAGGTATTTATTTTTCTTCTTAAACAAATTTATTTTTGTGCCCCGGTAGATGTCTTGAATGGCGCCGTGTTCGATGAGGATCATGACGAAATGGTGGTGGTGAAGGACATCGAAATGTTTTCCATGTGCGAGCACCATCTGGTGCCGTTCTACGGCAAAGTGTCCATCGGGTACTTGCCGTGCAACAAGATTCTCGGCCTCAGCAAACTGGCACGGTAAGATTGCTTCAAAAGATATTTAGAATTATAATTAATAACGATTTTCATTTTTATCAGCATTGTGGAAATCTTTTCGCGCCGTCTGCAAGTCCAGGAGCGCTTGACTAAGCAGATTGCCGTGGCCGTAACTCAAGCCGTTCAACCTGCTGGTGTTGCTGTTGTGGTAGAGGGAGTGTAAGTACTAAAAAAAAGTTTGCTTAAGAATATTTTATTTAAATCTCATTATATTAATGTTTTCCAGGCACATGTGTATGGTGATGCGTGGCGTGCAGAAAATCAACAGCAAAACTGTTACCTCTACCATGCTGGGCGTATTCCGAGACGATCCCAAGACCCGTGAGGAATTCCTGAACTTAGTCAATAGCAAATAGAGTGGACACTGAGGACGACTTTAAATCCGAGACCAACTAAACCCTTTAAATATTTTTGGAGGCGCTTATATACAAACAAACAAAAATGAAACGAAACACAGGGTCCATTAGTTTATGTTTTTAGGATTGATTTCATTTAGTTAGTGCAATGATTGCAGCCATTACCCTTGTTGATTTGTGTAAAAATTGTTAAAAATTCTGTTAGCTAAATACGTTTTTTAGATAAAAGAGAGATTGAAAGAGAGGAGAGATTCGATAAGGTCGAGATTTAATTTCCGGTGTTGGGTAGTTCTATGTTCAATTTTATATGCAGTTTTATGGCACTCGGACGATAATTTTTTAAACTTATCTATATACATACGAGTAATGCATTGTGCAATAAGGGAACAACTGATAATAAATCAAGGCAAATTGTTTAGGGAATTTACAATTTAAACACAGTTCATAAAAATTAATCAAATCTGTATGTATGTTAATCTATATATCAAGTTATATTCAAAATGTTCCAAAAGAGGGACCAAAGCTTATTGGACGATTTTAAATGTTGAAATTGAATGCTCATTATATACAAGATGTTGCTTGTAGTAAATCGAAGCTGCTTATTAATTATACAATAAATTATGTATTTAAATACCGTTGATAACAAGATGTTTTTTTAAAAACATATTTTAACCCACAAAAAAAATATTACTCCCTTATTGACCCCGACGTGATTTGAACACGCAACCTTCCGATCTGGAGTCGGACGCGCTACCGTTGCGCCACGGAGTCCACTTGGGGGGAGGCACCCAAGTGACAGGAATGCCCCAACACCAACAGGTTGTTGGTTCCAGTTGTGTCGCACTGATATTCCTAGTAGTTTAAAATATATCAAGAGCATCGGTGGTTCAGTGGTAGAATGCTCGCCTGCCACGCGGGCGGCCCGGGTTCGATTCCCGGCCGATGCATAATTTTTTTTGGGTACACATAAATATCCAATGTATTTTGAATACATTTCGAATATAGTTCTTATTCAAAGCGTAATTAATGGATGGCAGAAATTTAGTTCTAGAGTTGTCTGCCTCTTGCCACAAACAGACTGGTTAATTATAAGCCTAATTATTTTACTATATCACAATATCTTACTTACATCATACTTTGTCTCAGTGGCTATATTCTGCAGCACAAGTTTGTTTCCAGCCAGCAGTTTTGATGCTAGGAAACTTATTTGAATTGGAATATATTTTAATAGTTCCAAACAGAATTAAGAAATATTTGGGCACTGGTGCAGCACCTACGTATGTGAACGGGCCTATGCTGGATTTTTCTGTGTATATGGTGCCATCGGTACGGTCACACTGGTCGTCGTTTCGTTGTCTTGTGGAAAAGTTGGGTTGGCAGTGATACTTTTCGATTTAATTCATTTCGCGCTAATTAATTGCTTCTTCTGATCTGACACAACCACTACGAATCACCGTTAACACGGGTGGCACATGCTGAGCAGGCCCCCGAGAAATTCAAAAGACTGAAAGCCCCTAATAGAAACAAAATCGCTGCACCTGCACCGACGTGTATGTGTGCATCGCGATTTCTAATCACTCGCAAGACTTTCTTCCACTGAAAGTGAACAGAAAGAGTCCCCAGCCCAGCCATTAAGAAGTGTGCCACTTTTTTTCGTCCCAAAAACGCCGTCCAATTGAATTCCGTAAGCCAGGCAGCAAATAGAATTAAATAACAGGGGCAAGAGAGAAAGAGACGGAGCACCTGGCGAGGGGCAGGGCGTTTTTTCAGAGTTTCGCTTTTATTCTGGACAACGACGACGACAAGACGTGAGTAGCTTCTTTATGTATGTCTCAGTATATTTTTTTGCAAAGAAAATGGCAAGCTTTCTCGTTTAAACATACTCACACAGGTAAATTTAAAGAATCCAGGGCTTCCGACTTATTGCCGGCCCAATCTAACGGTTCTATGTGGGTCTGTGTATGTGTGGAGAAGTCCCTGAAATTTTTTGCATTCCTGTGTATATCATATTTTATATCAATTGTTCTGTTTCCAGCGAATAACAACACTCAGGCATGAGTAGACAGACGCCCAATGCGGGTCAATCCAAAATGGACCTATACATCACTCACCTGGATCACGTTGGCCCGTACCTGAAGGTGTACGGCCAGGTTAACAGAGATGCCGCTTTTCTGGTGAGCAAGCACATCGAACAGCTGCTGCCCACATGCTTTGAAATCGAGCCTAGTTGGTCACTGGAGCGCCAGCAGGCTCTTCTTACGCCCGGCACTTTTTGCGTCTTTAAGCGAATCAATGGTCCAGCTCCCGGGGATGTGGAGTACATGCGGACTCGTGTGGTCAGCGCCGATCTGCAGGGCAAACAGATGCGCACAGAGATCGAGTTCTTGGACTATGGTTTCAAGCGCACCGTGAATAGTCATGATGTAAGTGGGAATATTCTCCAGATTTCAATTCTAATCTTTTATTCCTTTCCAGTTAATGTTTCCAAAGCAGCCAAAGCTGCTGCAGAACATCCCCCTGCTCTGCGTCCAGTTCATTATACTGGGCATCTGCTCCGAGTGGGACAAGACCGACCTGGCGGTGGTACACCAGCTGATTGTCAACCAAACTGTTCAAGTCACCATCGATCCTACTCAGATTTGTGGCCAAAAGTTCGCCAGCCTGCGCTGGAAGGATTTTGAGCTAACCGAGTTTTTAGTGCAACAAAGGCAAATCGGAGCACCGATGAGCAAACAACTTATGTTGGATCACTGCAAAAAGATGTGGAAGGATTCTCCACAGGCGCCAGTCACGGAACACAACAACAATATCGTACACAACTCAAAGACTCCCACGGAAATTGCACGTGAGCAGTTGGCTGAGCGGCGGTCCCTGGCCGCCCGCCTGGATGCACAGCGATTGGTCCAGGTAACTCCGCCAAGGCCGCTAAATGCGGACGCTCCCGACTATACACCCAAACACCTTCCGCTGACCAATGTAGTAAGTTGCGCCTACGTTTATATTAAAAAAAAAACTTGTATAAACATATTAATTTACAGACAAATGTGCAGGTTCCATTGCAAGGCCTGGTCAATTCTCAGAAACCGGCCTTTGTGCCGGCCAATCCTTATAATCGTGCCAACTATCAGCCTGCAGAGCTGGCTGCTCAACCCCATGTGCCTAAGGCGAATCCCCGATCGCTTTACACCTATTATAATGTTCGTATGAACAAGCCGATTAACTCTATAACGCCAGATACTACAAATGGGTCCATTCACCCCTTTAACCAACCGGCTAACTATGTGCCGCTTAGTTATGCCCCTGCACGCTTCACTCCGCCGCCAACGCTATCGGTGGGACAACGAGCCCAGCAACGCACCATTCCGGCCTTCAGAACCACCAGTTTAACAGTGGGCCTCACGTACGACGTGGATATTAGCTATGTTGAGAACGGTCCGCACCTATTCTGGGTGCATCTGAAGAGCAGCGGGAATGATCTGAGTGCCATGATGGGGCAGATTGAGCGGACGAAGCTGAAGCCACTTACCCAGGCTCCTGAGCTTGGAACAGCATGTGTGGCTCGTTTCTCGGAGGATGGCCACTTATATCGCGCTTTAGTAAGCGCAGTTTTCGCCCAGCGTTTCCGCGTCGTCTATGTAGATTATGGAAACTCTGAGTTGCTGCCGACCACCGATCTTTTCCAAATACCCCCAGAACTGTTGGATATCAAGCCATTCGCCTTTCGCTTCGCTTTGGCAGGAACAAAGGAGATTGAGCCCATCGACGAAAGCATGAAACGAATTTTCAAGAAATCGGCTATATATAGAAACTTCGAACTGACTGTGCAGGCGCCGGAGAGCGTGGGCTCCATGCAGACCTGCCACCTCAACCAGAATGTAAGTTCAAATATTAGTTTAACCTCTATTAAACAAAGTAATAATTTGTTTGTTTTAATCCTCTCAGGGCACTAATATGCTGGAGCTACTCAGACAGCTGAAGAACTCACGTCAATCGTATGCAAAGGCGGAGCAACTGCAAAATGATGACGCCGTAGAGATTCGCTTTATTGACTCACCGAGCAACTTTTATGTGCAGAAAGTGTCGAACATCGGAAAATTCGAGCAGCTTATGGATGAGATGTTTTCTTATTACAATGCAAACCAGAAAGTGCCCGAGCAGTTGATCCTGGGCGCACCCTGTATTGTGAAATGCGATCAGGAATGGTACCGTGCCGAGATTCTGCGCGTTGATGACTCTGTGATTGTGCGACACGTAGATTTCGGTTATGAACAGAACGTGAAGCGCCACCTGATTGGCCATATTGCCGAGAAGCATTTGGAAATGCCACGCCAAGCAATCAAATGTTGTTTGAAAGGTTTCGAAAATAGCGAACTGAGCGAGGACAAGATTACCGACCAGTTTGAAATGTTGGCTGAGGAATCCAATATCCGACGTCGCACATTTAGTGTTCGTATCTTTCGCATAGAACCAGATGGTTTAAATGTGGTTAATCTATTGGCCAAGAATCTAAATGTAATGAAGAAGCTCTACAAGCTTTCCATGCCCTTTGAGCAGTATCTATCTCTGGAAAAGGGGCAGTTCAATGCCAACACCACTCGTGCTGAGTCTGTGGTTTCTTCTGAATTGGATAAGAACCTCATTCTTAATTCTACCAGCATTGTTGAAAGTGAGGATCGCTTGCAGATACAGGAAAGACAGCAGCAACAAAAAATGCAGTCGGTGCAGCAGCAACTGGTGGTTGAAATTCCGCAACCAGCTAGGGTAGGAGGTGGAAGCAAAATTTCTTCTGATTGGGACAAGCGCAGCTCTACCTCGGCGGGCTCGAAGGACAGCAAACGTCAGAAGCAGCATAATCAGCAAAGTCAGAGATTAGACCGCCACTTAGACGCCAGCATTGAGACGCAGAGCATTAGCAGTTATACTAGTGGCATGAGTTCACCTCGCAAGGGGAATCGACAACAGAATGGTCGCACTCCGATTCAGTCTCCAAGGCATAATGGAAAACAGGAAGCGAATAAAAATGCGTAAGTACCTAGAAGAACACTAGATGGGATATTTCTTTTAACAAAGCTAACCTTTGACTGTTCTAGACGCTTCAACAATAATGAATCACCTCGCAAAAACCAAGATGCTCAGCAACGGAATCAGCGTTCACAGAATGCACCTCAGGGCTATGCCCAAAAACCACAGCGTCAAAAGTCAACGCTGGACGGAACCGTAAGCTCGAAACGCTCTAGCGGAGTTGAAAGCGATGTGGCTTCTTCAACTTCCGAACCGGTGGCAAACCCCAAGCCAGAGAAATATGTTCCTCTGGACAAACCTTATGTGGTGCAGGAGATGAAAACTCCAGGCAAGGAGGAGGCTAGTCTGTCCTGGTGGGTCTCGCCCTTCCAATTCTACGTTGTTCCAAAGTCGGCCTCAGTAAAGTATGATAATGTCCTGCGTGATATGCGGCAGTTTTACCGCCAGAAGCAACACCAGCCACTTCAGTTAAAGGATGGATCTACTGTTGTAGTGCGTCAGCGAAAGGACAACGCCATTCTGCGAGCTACAGTGACCGCCTGCAACCACATGATGCGCAAGTACCGTGTGTTTTGCGTGGACACGGGCAGCTTGATTACCGTCACGTCGGAGGATGTTTGGCAACTTGAGCAGCGCTTTGCGGAGCCACCGTGCATGGCACATCGGTGCAGCTTCCATAGCGTGGTTACCAACTACGATCCGCTTTACATTGTGGATCGCATGGAGAAGTACGTTCCAGTCAACGCTAAAGTAGAAATCGAGTTCCTGTCCAAGCAGAAAAGCAATCAAAGCAAAAGCAACTACAGTAGTGGCTCCTACACAGTCAACATGTTTGTGAACGGGGCCTCGCTGCGAGATACGCTGATTAAAGCTGAGTTTCTGTTAGAAGTGGCGCCAGGTAAGATAATTCACTGTTATGACTAGTTGAATTGATTGGAAAGATACATTTTGTTTTCGAAACATTAATGATTGGCAATTTTACTTTTCTTTTTTTTTTTCAGAGGTCCGCGTTACCCTTCTCGCTGGTCAACAAGTCAGAGGCAAATTCACTTCGATTCGGGACATGACGAACTTTAAGGTACAGCTTGATTACTGTAATAATGTGAACTTCTTGTGCAGCTACGATGATATGAAATTCGTAAAGTCCAATCCTGATTTGGCCAGGCGATTCAAGGAGTTTTATGAAGGAAAATCGTTTGCTTTTAATATCAAGAATGTCTGCGAAAACAATATGTAAGTATAATCTTTATAATTCTTTGCAGAAATTTAATCTGTTAATATCAAATGCTTTATATAATTTTAAAGAATTCACCTGAGACCTGTAATGCCGCTGTTCAAGGAAGACCGCAAGGCTTTCGTTTGCCCTTATCCGGTAGTGTTGAGCTCATTCCAAGCACTCGTGGTGTACACAGCAAAGCCCTATCGTGTATATGTTCAACCGCAGGCAATTTTACCTGCCATGCAGACTTTATTGAATAATATGTATGAGCACTATAAAGCGAAAGGTAAATACTCGAGAAAAGTTTGAGGTCAATTAACTCACGTATTGTCTGTAGGTTCGTCCCTGAAGAAATTCGATGCTGGGCAGATCTGTGCTGTCCGAAGTGCCGATGGAAACTGGTACAGAGCCAGAATCTCTGGGAAGGATACAAATGCAGCACGTCTTGAGGTATTTTACATCGATTATGGCAACACGGAGGAAATTAAGCGTGACGATATCAAGAAATTGGATGACAAGTTCTATGAGTACGGCAGCGGCTTTGCAGTGGAGATCAATTTGCCGCTTGGTCGCCCCAGCAACGAAGCCAAGTTACAGGCTCGTCTATCTGAGATTCTTAAACAAAAGGTGGTCATTGTCAAATCGATTGAGGTGCGTCGCAATCACCTCATTGCCGATGTCATCATGGAGAACAATAAGAGTGTGGTAGACTTCTTGAAGGCTGAAAAACTTATACCTGGTACGGATCTTGAGTACATCCGCAAGCAAATGGACAAAGGAAAGTCGCGCACTTACGAGTATATTGAAACAGTAGACTTAACCTTAGACGACGAGGATGATAAGGGACGTAAGGAAACTGGCATCAAGGGGAGCTCGGCAAACACCTCGCCCAAGAAAAAGCAACATAATGAAAAGGAGCGGGAGATAAAGAAGATCAAGCCTGTGGAGCCGGCTTCTTCCCCTGCTGCTTCCCCAGTTCCCGTAAAAGCCCCCACACCGGTTCCTGCGGAGCCAGTGCCAGAAACTAAACCAGTCACTCCGATTCCAGTGGTTGTAGCAGAAGCCGAACTAAAGCCAGCTGTCCAAGAGGTGGATCCAGAGCCAGAAAAGCCAATTCTGCCAAAAGAGGATCCGTACAAAGACATGGACAGGGTAGCGCTAAGCCATTGCGACAATCCAGCCAACTTCTTTGTTCACCCCATCGATCAGTTAGAAAAATTACATCAACTGCAGGAGAACCTCCAGATTGTGTCCCCCTCCTTGCGCCAGTTAAAGAATGTGGTGAACGGTGCAGACTGCGTTTCTATGTACTCTGTAGACAAGTGCTGGTATCGCGCCAAAATTATTGATGCTGAACTTATGGTTCTAATGTTCGTCGACTTTGGAAATACGGACTGCGTATCCGACGCCACAGAAATCAAAGAAAGCATGTGGTCGCACATTGAGCCTTTTTGCTTGCCATGTGCACTCCCTATTTGCCCCAAGGGCACTGCTGATTGGGTGGATGCTGCAAATGGATTATTCAACGAATCTTATAGAAAGGTCCTGCATTTCGAATACCTGACTCAAGGAGATCAATACACAAAAAGCTATGTTAATGTATACATCGAGGGCGAAGATGTGGCTAAGAAATTAATTGCTGATGGTTTTGCTAGGCCCCTGGAGTACGTGCCTAGTGGATGCAGCTGCTACATTTCGCATGTGAATGGAATTTGTGATTTCTTTATTCAGCTAGAAAGAGATTCGAAAGCTCTGGAGTTGATTGAGATGTATTTGCGCGACGAGGAGAAACTGAAGCCCTTGGAGAAGTTTGAAAAAGGTTCCATTGTGGCTGCTCTCTTTGAGGACGACGAACTGTGGTACCGAGCCCAATTGCTAAAGCAGTTACCAGACTCCCGGTATGAAGTGCTCTTTATTGACTATGGTAACACATCCACCACATCAAAGTGTCTGATGCTCTCCGAGGAGATTGCTAGTCTGCCCAGCTTATCCAAGAAATGTTCATTGCAACTGCCAGAGGCCTACAGCTCTTGGACACCAGAAGCGGAGGCAAAATTCCTTGAGCTAACCGGTGAGGGTGAGCTGGTGTTTACCACACAGCTTCTGAAGCCAGGACAGGATCATGTTACCATAGATCTCCTGTTAGATGGAGAAAATATCATCGAGCGACTGCTTCCGTTGTGCCAGCAAAAGGAACCAACCAAGGAAGCCAGCAGGGAGTCAATAACTGTCACTACTAAAGCCATCATCACGCACGTGGAGAATACCTGTCACATGTACCTACAGTTTAGTGAGAAGGATTCCTTAATGGATATCATTTGCGAGAAGCTAAATGGGACAGTGCTGCAGCCCAAGAAGGAGAAGGGCTCAGTCGATGACATGTGCGTTACTCAATTTGCGGACGATAAGGAGTTCTATCGCTCACGCATTCTGGAAGTGCTTGAAGATGGCAAATATAAAGTGATGTTGGTTGACTATGGTAATACGACTGTGGTGGACAACCTTTATGAGTTGCCTCTGGAATTTACGCTTATAAAACCAGTCGCTGAGATATGTAGCATGGAACCTAGCGCTCTCTTTGAGAAAAATAAGCCTTTGGCTCTAGCAACACTCGACGCGCTGCTGGACAGCTGCAATGGTGTTGTGGAAGTGGAGTTTGTAGACAAGTCAGCCAGTCCACCGGTGGTCAGACTAACGACTAAGGATAAGAGGAGCCTGAACATCTATGATCAGCTACATAAGCTAATTGAGGCGGAGTTAAAACTAATCCAAAAGAGAAACGAAAACTCAGAATGTGTTATCTCACATGGCAGCTCACCGAAAAGTTTCTATGTGCACCTGAAGCACAACTCGGCGGATTTGGATTTTATTGTCAAGACACTGCAGTCCCTGAAAAAGGAGCAACTAAAGATATTGAACGCCCCTAGCAAGAATTGTATTGGTGTTTGCTACTCCCAGGAGGATGCCTGTTACTATCGCTGTTCCATCAAGTCAGTATTGGAGGACAACAAGGGATTCGAAGCCTTTTTGTTGGACTATGGCAATACCCTGACTGTTTCGGAGATCTGGAAATTACCCAAAGAGATAGAGTATATTTCACCGCTGGGCTTGCATTGCCAACTCAGTGAGATTCCAGAAGGTGTGCCCGACGAAGAGCTGGAGGAGGCCTTTAGCGCATTACTAGAGCAGCACTTTGGGGAAGTCTACGAAATAACCACTCAACCGAATGAGGATGAAACGAAACCTCTTTCTGCTCAACTCCGTATCAACTATAAAGACTTTGCCCAGGAGCTGGCCAGTACAGTGGCCGGAGTACAAAAACCGCTCGAAGTGGAGCTGCACAACTGTGTTGTGGTGCAGTACGACGATCCAAGATCATTCTACGTGCAGATGGAGAGCGATGTGTCAGCCCTAGAGAAAATGACTGATAAACTCTTGGATGCAGAACAAGATTTGCCCGTATTTAGCGACCTCAAAGAGGGAGCATTATGCGTGGCCCAGTTTCCAGAGGACGAGGTCTTCTACCGCGCCCAGATTGTCAAGGTTTTAGACGAGGGCAAGTGCGAGGTGCATTTTATTGACTTCGGCAACAATGCTGTGACTCAGCAGTTCCGTCAGTTGCCCGAGGAGCTGGAGAAACCGGAGCGGTACAGCAAGCACTGTGAACTGGAGGCCTCCACAATAGCCAAATGCGATGTGGCCCTGCTGCAGACGTTCATAGACTCTCGCTTCTCCGAGACATTCCAGGTGGAGATTCTGGCCACCAAGGGAGCTGGCACTCATGTCGTGCGGCTCTTTTATCAGAGCAAAAATATCAGCGAGAAGCTTCAAGAAAATCAGTGATCTGGTGATCCCGCAATACTGGCAGATCGGACAGATTACAATTCATATATGCTCCGTGCAGGAGATTGTGATTAATTTGGCTAAAAAACGCGTTGTATTATCTATTTAGTTGAACGAGTTAAACTTATTCAAGCGGAGGCGGAGACCTCACGATTTTGATTAGCCAAGATGCTTCATTGATTTTTCATGGAAAACCAAAATGAAAGCTAATTTTAACTTTAATTAATCAATCGATACGGAAAAGAAAACCACATTATCACCAAAAACACAACAAAACGAAAAAATCGAACAAAAAAAACGAAAAAAGCTTTACAAAATGTATAAAAACAAACGAAAAATATAAAAAACAACAAAAAAAAATATGAAATCTAGATAAAATTGGCACTAACACATAAATGTTAGTAGCTTTAAGGGCGAAGGACGATTTATGTAATTGCTCAAGCTTGTGTAAAACAATTTTACATCATCAACGAACGTTGGCGAAAAGAATGGGAGAGAATCTGAACCTCCAAAATGATTATTTATGTTCCCTTTGTAACTTTATTTGTACTTTCTTTTTTCGATTAACCAACTGAAGAATCACTTATACATTGTTTTTGGTTTTAATACTTTTCATTATCTAAACAAACAAACAACATTGCAAAGCGAAGACTAAAAGAAACGTAAGGAAACTAATGGAATATGGGTTTACGTATTAAAACCTTTAATCACAATGTCATATTTTTCTACTATTTCTTTTTCATGTTGTGAACAAAAATATTTAAACAAACCAATAAATAATATGAAAAGTAAAGCCATATAGAGCGAGTTTTATTACCTGGTATTTTTACCTGGAGTTCCAGACCTAGTACCAGGTAGCAATTAGCAGCGTCATGGGTTTATGGTTGCTTAAGTCTTCAATTCAGTGTGGAAATGTGCGGAATGGACAGGGCTCATGTCCACACATGAAGAGATCTCCGTTTGTCAGGGAGTCGGACCTGCTGATAAGAAGCGAATTAAGCCGTCTGCCCACATTTACGACATGGGTTAAGCTCTCAGTTCTGGGATCATGGTTAATGGTATATGGTATCATTCATCGAAATATTCATACGCATTTACACTTGTATTTCCATCAGGCGTGGATGCTTCATTAGGAAACCCCTGTTGCCCTCAGATCGATTTTTATTATCATTTGTTTGCTAATTGAATGAGTGGCTGGGTAAATCAGAAATATCCACATCTGAGCTGTCAAAATCAGCAAAACAATTCAATTTCCAGCGACAGAGTGTATCAGTTTCCATTGCCGTTATCAACGGGCTGCGAGAGCGTCACTCTCTTTCTCTCCCGAATTTTCCCTTTGAGTTTTCCCAGTGCAGCAGTGTCATCTGTGAGTGTGCCACTGCTTTATCAGAGTGTATCGGTGTGAGTGCTCGGGCGATCGTCGGAGTCCGAAAGGCCCAAAACTGAACCGATCGTTTCAATTCTATGTCTGCGGTTGAATTGAACGGTTCCGGCTAACGTGCACGCTCCGTAACGGTGGCACTATCATTCTCCGGCGTAAATATAGTTCTTTCTAGCCCAATCATAATAATATATTTTAAAGAAATATATAGATCATTAAGTATTTTACAAAATTATAAAATAAAACAAAGTGAAGTGAGTGTAGTGCTTCTATTATTCTGCCATTTCTACAAGGATTATCTCTTTCAACTTTAAATGGGATTATACCTGAACACTTGAATTTCCGAAGCGGTAAGTAGGCGAACAAATCTGTTTCGAAATCGTTGGTTTTTTTGGTTTTTACTAGAAGTACAGGGTCTGGAGGGTTATCACTAATAGTGGAACCTCATAATACAACGACTAGATTGCACAACAGCTGTATGAGCTATATTACATTTTCTAATCAGGAAACTTAGCATTGAAATGTGCCCCAGTCCAGCGTTTTCGTCGTGTAGTCCGAGTATATGGTATATGTGAGTGCCTGCATCTGAAAGAGTCTCTACGACAGCATAATGCGATAGAATCCAAGTTAAATTGATTTCAATTAGGGGAGGCTTCACAGCGACAATTGGAGCCGCTCTGTGTATGCCACACATATCTTCCAGATAGAATGAAAGTTGTATTATAAACTTGGTGTGTATATCTTAAAAGTAATCTTTTTAGGGTGAAAAAGTATGAGTGTTTATTCAGTAATTAACTTCAGTTAAACACGTACAGAACACCTGCTTATCAAGGGGGAGACTAATCTTTACAGCGTGTGTTCTGGAAGAGAAAGGAAAGCCTCAAGGGGAAAATCATAGTCACAATGTTAAGCTATACAAAATTGTTAAATATTTTTATAAAAAGTTGGTTGTTTACAAAAAAGGTTCTTAGAATGTCAAGCTTAAATAACCAATATTTTGTGATCACAGTGTGATATTAAATACTGACATTCCGATATTGTAGAGTAGTAACTGTGGCTGGGATTGGGTTCTTTTGTTTTTCGCTCTTTTCATTCTCTGGGTAAATGTTTTCTTGATTGTGTTTAATTGAAATAAATGAACAGCGTTTTTTTATGCTTCGCCATTCTTTACTGGCCGTTGCCGTTTCAATTAATGTTTTTTGTTCTTGGCATCGCTTCAGTAATTTGGAAACAGGGGGTATCAGCTGAAAGGGGGACAACTGCGATAAGAGCACTTGACGAACTCTGATAAGCTTCAGTTTTCAAGAAAATATGATTCTTACCTAATGGCATTTCTGGCGAGCCAAGAAGGTAACCGAGATCTGACGACACAATAGTAAAAGTCGACTGGGGCGATGTTTCATCAAGGCATCAGAGAAAAGTCCAAACAAATAAATCTTCATCGTACTCGCGAGAAATTTGAATAAATCTTGGGGCCCTCCAGCGCACACACCTGTTGAGGGGCGGCGAGGCAGGGGGTTGCGCCGAAAGATATATGTTGATCATGCTCGGTATACCCGATAATATATGCATACTCGGAGACGCCCACAATGTGTGACAGGAACTATCACAAGAGCACATAAATCCATTCACAAATGTTTAGAATGTTATTAAAATATTTGATACTAATTTCGAGTTTTTTACGCCACCCATTTTTTAGGGGCTTTTCGAATCCATGTTGCGTTTTATTATCCCAATAATCGCTTGGCCCGGCGAACAGATAAATAATCCCTCGTCGTCATATTTATCATATCGGGCAGGCTGCAATGCGTTGGTCGACAGTCGGATCCGGAGAGGTGGGAGTATTGGACCGTTCCGATCCGTAACCCATTTCTGCCACCCCATTCGCATTTCCCATTGTTTGTCTGGCCTGCCGCTTGATTGAGCCTAATATATAAATAAATATCGGAACAAATGCGGCCAAAGTGGAAAACATAAATTCTGACCCCTACCAATCCACCTCTAATAGAACAATCTCTAAGGCTAAGGCTGATTCCTCATTTGATTTGCGGGTCGGGATCGTTTTTATATCCAAAGACGAGTGGTTATTCCATTTGGTGCCTGGCACTAGCCCTTTTTATGGCCAATTTCTTTGAATTCTGAGCCCAGCCGAACGAAAATTGTGTTATTAACGGTGGAGGGGAACGGTATGAGCGGGATCTTCGAATCCAAAAGTTTGCAGTTGGTCGCCACTGTTTATGTTGCCATCTTGCTCTGGCCGCCGTTTTGGGCTTTTCTGCTTAATTTTAATTTAAATATATGAAATATATTTATAGCCATTGTTGCGGTTGCTGTCAGTCCCAAAAAGTGTGGAAATAGCTTCAATATTTCGTTTGATATTTTTCTGCTTCGTTTTTTTGCTGATTCGACGGACGGCTCTAATGACAGAGGTAGCGCACACTGGGTGGCGAAAGTATGCACTCGTTTGGTTTGGCCTAGTGGAGCAAACTTAATGGCAGGACTGTTTCTTTGGAGAGCACATGTCTCTCAAGTGGAGCGCAACATTTTTTGGTCAAAGGCCAAGACACTTCAGCCAGCAGGGAAATAACAAAAATTAATAAATGGGTCGAATCATGGTGGCTAAATGAGGACCATGAATCATATTTATTTTCCTAGTCTGTCGCTGCTAGTATGACCAACGAATGGTTACTAACTTTATAATTGATTAGCACTCTTTTGTTTCCATTGTAAAAGGCCACAAAGATGTTATCGGCCAAAGGGGCTCAATACGTCTTAATTCCGCCACTTGGAGGGGCTCAAAGTGATTTGCCAATATGGATGGATATCTAGGTTGTCGTTCATCATTCTTTGGCAAGCGTTAAAGGTTTGGGTAAATAGAGCTTCCACATATTTTGCTGACAGAAAATTGATTTACCAAGAAATTCGGCGTGGTTGGGAAAAATACAAACTTCAGCTGCGACAGCAATTAGCCCGAATGTCACAAATGCAAAATTACAATACTCAAGATATTACTCATGAGGTTCAGTCTCCATTTTCACATATTTCACAAAGCAAAATCACGCAAAGGCTGCTGATACAAACTTGGGAAACGTGCAATTTTCTAATTGCCCTTCAATGGGGCGTGACAGTGACATTAACAATGGATTCTGGCCATTTCAATTTCCCAAATGTGCATTCCGAATGGGCTAACATGCCCAGATCATGTCAAGATATATGTACTTATGTGTAGGTATAAATCACGTATGTAGAATTCCTATTTCTGGCCAATAATTATGGTTTCCTTTTCATTTTGGCAAATTTTGGAAAGTGCTTGTGAATCTGACACATCGCAAAGAGCCATAAAAGCATTTTAATGGAATATTTGTATGATTTATAGCTACCCCACTTGCTGTTTGATGTTGAATTAAAAGATATACACACACAAAACGATAAGATATTGTACAAGGAAACAGACTTGCTGTCAAGACTCTCCCAAAATGGATCTATCTATAGTACACGGCAGTGACTCAGTTATTTTCGGGCTAGTTTTCCTTTTATTTTGATTATAGGGCTGCAACTGTTTCCGCCGCAGCTATGCGGAATCATCTTTTGTTGATGTGCATGAATGCAATCGGAATGACACTGATTGTGTGTTACGTATACGTAATATGAACATCGCTCATACGCAGGCCAACAGCTGACCTAGGCTTCGAATTTGAGCTTTATTTGGTTCTGGCATTCTGTTTCCATAGGTTAATTCTCTTTGCAAGGTGCGGGAGATTCGCTTGATTGAGTACTTTCTGTTTTGGTCACCAATCACATTCACATTCACCCCTAAAACCAACCCAGACCCAGACCCCCAGGCCAATCGGCATTGATCTTGTAAATCGTTAATTCGAAAATAAACGCTTTGACGCGCCCATGGGCCATTATTCTCTATAATTTATTGTTCTAGTTCCAATCAACAAAATAAACAAGTTAGCGCCAAAAACTGACGAAGCCCCAGTTTTGATCTTTGAGTTAAATTGGAAATTCTATTCATTTATCTTGGCAGAGCATGGAACTGCATTGGCAGCTGCTGACGTTCATCGTGTGCCTCCAGAGTCTGCATTCCGACGGTTTTGTCCTGCAGACAGAGCGCAAGTGCACCTACGGTCGGATCGAGAAGCTACTGCGGATTCGATGCTACGATTTGGACCTCAAGGAGGTGCCCCAGAATCTCAAGACCTCGGTGGAGGTGAGTAACGATCGCGGGGTCAGACGATCACGTCGTCATCGGACCCCTCGCCACAGTTAGCCTCAATTGAGCTTAATTAAAGAATAAAGAAGTTGCCCACAAACATAAATTTATCCATTATATATACATACATTTGTAGTATGTAAAGATATGGGAACCCCAGCCATTCATAACTCTCAACTGTCATTTAATGATCTGACAATTCGCTGGCAATTTTTACAGGTTCTTGATCTATCGCACAACCGCATTAGGAAGTTGAAAAGTAGCTCGTTTCAGAGGTACACGGACATTAAGTTTCTGATGCTCTATGATAACATGATCTTATCGGTGGAGGTGGGAACCTTTGAGCCACTCACCTCGCTCCAGGTAACAACGACATCCAATTAATCAGCGACTGCGTCTTTAATTAATTTCCTAATCGATATTCCCAGGAGATTGATCTTTCGAATAATGGACTGACAACGATTCCGCTGGAGCTGTTCCAGCTGCCGCGACTGAGAAACCTCTACATAGACAGCAACGAGCTGACATCCCTGAACCTTCAAGCGCTGGAAAAGCCCATTCGGGCTCCTCTGGAGTACCTTAACATTGCAGGATGTGAGCTTCAGGAGTTGCCCGACCTGGGGGTACTGCCAAGTAAGTTGAAGTTCTCGTTTTAAATCGCAAAAAAGACTAAGACTTTTCCTTACCTTGCAAACTTTTCCAGAACTCTGGCAACTGAATGCCTCGATGAATCCGCTGCAGAACTTCCAGATTGACAGCCTGGCGAATCTGTGTCACCTGCAGGTCATCGATCTGACCAAGTCTAAGCTCAGCCAGTGCGGCTGCCAGCAGGTCACCAACCATCTCATGATGCTCGGCGCCAGTCCGAAGTTCGTGCCTGTTTGCATGGGTAAGTGATGGCGATGGAGGCGATGCCGTCGGAGCAGCTGCTAATTTTGGCACATGACCAACATGCAATTCCATTTTCAGAGGCGCTCGACATCCGCGAGTGTCCACTGCCCTACAATCGAACGATCCACTCGGCGACATTCGCCAGTTGCCAGACGACTGTGGAGTTGGCCGAAACGCGCAGCTTCTGGCTCTTTGGCGCAGGCTGTTTTGGAGGCGTTTGTTTTGTGCTTTTAAGTGAGTTCTTAATGAAAAAAATACTAAACCAATTTTTAACTAAAAATCAATTTTTGTAGTTGTCATTTTCTGCGTAATATACTGCCGAAGAAAACGCTCCCAACGACGCTTGAGAAATGCCCAGAAGCGAAAGCCGTTTGTGATCTCTCCGAAAAATGCCATTAACCGTCAGCCGGAGGACGAGCCTCTGCACTGTGATACTGCCCGCAAATAGCATTTAGTTAGTTAATTAGACACATAGTTAGTTTTAGTGGCCAGATATTTATTTACCTACCATTAACGCCTTAGTTTAGCCTTAGGACAACTGTCTACCTAGCAAAATACCGCGAATCCTTCACCAAAACAAAACAAAAACACCAAAAATGTTAAACTAAAAAATGCAATCAACGGGAAATGTTTTGCTCAAACGCCACTGCTATTTACCTGGTTATATAAGTAACATATACATAGTAAGTCTACAGAGAAATACAATATTTTTAACGAATGACATAAACTTGTACCATAATTTAAGAAGAAAAATATATTTATTTAACCTAAAATTTTAACACCAAATATGTTTCTCTTCTGATACTTTGAAATTGAAAAAAGTCTAAAATTTGTATTCTTGATTTGTCGTCATCAAAAAAACAGTTTTCTAAAATTATTTTATAAGGATACATTTTTATATTTTTGGCGAGTAAATGTGAATACTCGTATTTAGGCACTTGTTCTAAGCCCTTTAAAGTAGGCAATCATTTTAGACACATTCTTTGAATCTTTTCAAACCCCAAGAGTATGTTTTCCTCCAAATAAAAATATTTTTGCACAAAATTAGTCAACACTGTTTAGCTCTTAAAATGTTCTCTTAGTTTTCACCTCTCTTTGGCACTCTTACCACCACTAATCAAGGTTCGCTTTTGATGTGACTTTCGCACCTTTTTTCGCTCTCTTTCTCTCCCTCGCTCTCTCTTTTACGTTTACAGCCGGTCCAGCTTTAGCCGGCGAGTGTAGAAGAAGCAGAAATAGAAATGAAATATAAGTAAGCGGAATGCAAAATACTTTTTCTTTGGCGCCTTCCTGCTCACAAATACCTTCGCACTATTAAATGAAACCAGAAGAATGATATAGTATTAGACTTTTTATATTTATCGACTTTGGAATACCCACTGATAAAGATTTTTATATCGATCTATATGAATTATTATTAAAATTAAGAGATGTTTTATAGAAATAGGTAAAATTATTTATTTTAATTTTCCCTTATTAAAAAATTGTTCTTCTGACTTTGTCCCTTGTTCATTTTGGCATTGTTTTTTATTTGTTCATTGGTTCATTTGTTTAGTGGTTCACTTTTGTTCATTAGTTCATTTTGCTTAGCTGTTTACTGAAGGGCACTACGGAAAATATTCCACTCCCTGTTCGACGAACACAATATACCCATTTTATTGTTCGAGTAGCGGGTAAAATAAATCTCCCACCGGCTTTTTTTGTGGTGGCCAACGACGTCGACTGCGCTGCCCGCGACTTTGCATTGGCATTTAGGCATTTATGCCCACGGCAGTCGAACGGCCGCCTCAGATTCTCGTCATCGCTCGTGGAAGGCGCATCGCAAACGCCGCTCTCGTTCTCGAATTCAGTGTGAAAGCTCAACCACCCACCGCCCGCCGGAAAAGTCTCGCGAGTGCCCCAAAAATCGAGTTTACCCATTAAAAAAAACCCAGAGTTAACCCATAATATCCTAACAAAATGAGCAGTAAGTTGGGCGATACCGAAAATCAAAGCAAAAAATAAAGCAAGAAACGAAAAAAAAAAAATGAAAAGCAAGCAAGAGAAGAGTGTGTGTGTGTATGCATGGCTAAAGGCTGGAAACTGAACAACTGAAAATCGAAAGAAAAGCCTGCCCTAAGTTAAAGCTCCTTTGGCGTTTCCTGCTAATCAACCAACCAATCGCCATCCCTCCCATTTCATAACACTCGCTTCTGGGAGGAGTTATGCAAAATCGAACTAAGAATCAAAAACAAAATCAAAATCATAGCGATAATCGCACTACTATACTATATATATTTATAAATCGAGCATAGAGCGCCAGACGGTGTGTGGCTACGACCTTTACTGACCTTCACTAGCGTTTGCTCTGCCCGCAGCCCGCAGCCCACAGCCCACTGCCCCACACCCTCATTACCACCCCCTGTTTCTCCGCTCTCTCTTGCCAGAGAGAAGAGTATAGGAAAACATTAAAAAGGAAAAAAATAAAACCATTGCATTGGAACCCTCTGGCTGCCTGGCATATTTGTTTGTTTATGAAAAGTTTGTGCACAAAACCGCTGATAACGCGAAGCTCACATAACCTTCAAGGAGAGAGCTTAAAGTTATGCTGAGAGATTGTTGTGATAACATTACATTGATTTTGCGCTTTGTACCTGTCGCAATCCGGCGACCCAGTAATCCCACGTAGCGCCATTAGCCACGTTATCACCTTGCCGCCTTATCAACGATGCCATTTCCGCATCTGCAGCCCATTGAGATTAGCAGCCCATTAAGGGATGCACTTCGCCTTGGCATTTTCACACGCGTTCGCTGACGTCCGGCGATCATGTTTGAAGCACCTCCACCGCCGTCTTCATCTCCACCATCCCATATACTATTCACACTCTATATGTACTCGTATAGTAGGCCCCATAGATGTCATTCTATTTTTAGGTTCCGCCTATATCTGTATGGGTCGGAATTATGGCTGGCGACAGGCGCTAACAAGTTTCTGTGCTCGAAAATAATATTATTTTTGCTTTTCTGAAAAGTTTTCCACGCCCGAGAACATTCTTTTGTGTCGCATCGCCCACTAGAAATTTCGGATACTCTCATATTTTCTTTTCTTTCCTTGGAAAGACCATTAAATCTGCACGGATTTATGCCCGCATTAATCATCAACCTACAGCAGCTGGCTTCAATTTGCTTTAGCCCGCAGGGATTTCCAGCATCTCGCGTTTCTACCACCCTCTCGGTGTCCACATCGACATCCACATCCATGCCATATCAGCCATCCATGGTGATTCAATTTCTAAAATTGCTGCGTTGCCTGTACCGATCCAATGCATCGCCTACCAGCAGACACAATCTCATTTCGCTTCACATTGGCGGGGCTATTTTTAGTGGCCTGCTCTTTCGGATACAGACTCGGAATCTACAAGATACACACTGCCTGCTGAGGTTTCCCGCAGAACTTGTTCCGCGCCTTGCACTCGCCAATTTGTGCGTTGGTGTCGCCGACGTTCCCCGATTACCTCCGTTCCATCTGTCCCTTTGGCATATCCCATTATGCATTTCCCCCATACAGGCCTAAATGGTTAACTTGAACTTCGATATGCTGCATTTATGGCATCTTCAAGTTCTTCATATTCTTTTTATAGCATTGGATATCTTTAAGATCGTAAGATCAGTCAAAAGATTTGTATTAACTTTATTTTTAGTTAACAAACCATCCTTGTGATCATAAAATATGAGGAAAATCTTCACTTAACACACCATTATAATGCCCAAAAATAATTTTAATACATCTTAGCATTAACTTACATTAACAACGGTGGCAAATCTCAAATTTCACGCAGAAAAATATGGTTTGAAGTTAGGCAAGTACGACTGTACTTGATGTCTTATGCGCTGGCTGCAAATTATCGCGATGCTTTAATGGGGACCCTGGCAAACGGGTTTTCTGGGAGGGCACGGGATGTCTCCCTCAAGGTCTCGGCTCTCTCATTCATCTAATTGGTGACCCCATTCATGGCGGTGTCTGGTGTTAATCTGATCTGGGCCTCATCACGCTCCAACGGGCATTTGTTCAGTCACTTGACCCAGACCCAAAAGCTCAACCCACCGACCTTTTTGCCTTGTTGCTTTGGCGGGGCGCTTTATCAGCTTTATTGTGCTCCGGGTATACGCAATGATAATTGATAAAGGCGAAAAAGGGTGGCTGAAAGCAAGGCGCAAACTCTGCTCAACGAAGAAACTGCTTAAGAGAGAGCTTTCCTCTGCAAAGAGAGTGGCTCACCGTTCTCTCTTCGTGCACTGGGAGAAACTAAAGGAATTTTCCCACAATTAGCTGTCTCATAAATTGCTAATTTATCTATTTTTAAGTTTAGGTGCTAAGCATATGTTTAAGGAAAACGTCGCGACGCATTTTATTTGACAATTTCAACAGTTGTTGAAATGTTAAATTTAGACCGAGTGTTGTTTGTTTTATTTTGTTTAAGTCGGCAAATTTATGGCGCCTTCTGAACATTCTTTTTGATCGTTCTACCTCATAAGTTTTATTGTTTTGTGAAATATTTTGTCATTTTTGCACACATCCGGTAAGTCCGAAGTTATTAAGATCCATTCTAGTTTCGCCGAAAGTAAATGATTTCATTTTTATTTTAGGCTCAACGAATCATTTCACAAGCACACACACACACGCGAAAATAGAAAAGAAAGCATGTGTGTATCTTTCACCCGCACACTCCAACACACAACACAGACACACTTTCTCTCCACACACACACACACACATTAAAGACCCAGCGGAGGATGAAGATCGTCCTGATCCCAATCCAAATCAAGAGCAAGATCAAGTTTGGCCTAGCGAATGCATTTGAATGCCGCTGATTAGCTCGCTGTGCAGCAGTTATCATCAGTATGCGTATCCGCATCCGTATCAGTGTCCACATCCGTATCTGAATGCGAGAAGGTAGTTGTTGTTATCCATCTACTTGTTGTATCCTGCGCTTCTCAGTTCCTTTTCAGTTCGCTTCTCTAAAACCAAACAACAAACAAACCAAGCCCATGTATACAGAACCCTAATCTGACACATTTAACCCGACTAAAGTTAGCTCAACGGAATGTCCCGCAGATACCATACCTTATATATATATACAGACTTGTATATATTCTATCTACCATACTTTCTATCGATCTGTAGCATTAATACCCGAATAATATTGTTCGAAATTCCATCTACTTGTCAATAATCAAAATTGGAAATAAAAAATAATCGTATGTTATCTCTAAATCTTAACTCTAATGAATTTTTTTATTTTCAAAACAGCAAGATCGCATGGTTTAACAATTTATAAATACTACCAAGAACGTGGGTGGGCGGGAATTTCGAGGAAATTCTCTTGTAAATGGTGTACCATATAGATTCCAACCTAATCTAGACAAAACTAATTCCCCCATCGAGTGAGAGATCTGCAACGCAAACAAATCGAGCTCATAATCATCGCCCAATAAACATGTGCATATAAAAAATATATCTGTAGGATATGCCAGCGCCATGAATAATTATCTATAGCTTTTTCGCCCAACTAAATGCCAACTACGCAAAATTCTAATTGCTCGTTTGGACTCGCCTGAAATATGCTCTGCTCAGTATTGCCAATTCTTTATGATTTTTCCACCCTTTTTTTTTTTTTTTTTCATTTTTGCCTTTTTGCAATTTTATACGCGCTAACAAAGCAAATGAAATTTGGATGCATGTGGGTGATGCTGACGCAGTTGGAGATCCGCCGCACACACCACTTGTATATACACATATCTATCTGTATCTGTATCTGTATCTGCTCCGCTTCCAATGGGGAACCCGAACAATCGCTTGTTTATTTATAATCCATAACGTTTTTTGCTGAATCCGAAACTAATAAATACAGCCAACTGCAGCAGCAGTGAAACGTGCAGTGCAAAAGTATCTTTTTGTGTTGTAACCCAATTCGTATCTTTGGCTTTAGTTGCATCCCCGAGATATCCATAGCGTTTAATTTGCATCCGTTTCTGTTTTATATCTCGTTACCAATAGAGTTCGCTTGGGTGACGCTGACGACAAATGACACGTACTCACTGGGTGCCTTGGTCCTGGCCCACTCTCTGAAAAGGGTCAAGACCGCCCACCAGCTGGCCATCCTGGTCACGCCCACTGTTTCTCAGTCGATGCGCGACAGACTGAAGGAGGTGTACAATGTGGTGCAGGAGGTCAATGTGTTGGACTCACAGGATGCCGCCAACCTGGCCCTGCTCTCCCGCCCCGAACTGGGCGTGACCTTCACAAAGCTCCACTGCTGGCGTCTCGTCCAGTTCGAGAAGTGCGTCTTCCTGGATGCGGATACACTGGTAAGTAATCTTCCCTCCTTTTATCTGCACCATTTAGGTATTCTATCTTAAAGATATTATATCTTTCATCTTATTATCGCTATGCAGGTCCTGCAAAACTGCGATGAGCTGTTCGAGCGCGAGGAACTGTCGGCTGCTCCAGATGTAAGCTGGCCAGACTGCTTCAACTCCGGCGTGTTTGTCTTCAAACCCAGCGTGGATACCTTTGGCCAGATCACAGAGTTCGCCGTGAAGAACGGCAGCTTCGATGGTGGTGACCAGGGCCTGCTGAACCAGTTCTTCTCGAACTGGGCGACGGCGGACATCAAGAAGCATTTGCCATTTGTTTACAATGTTACGGCCTATGCCTCATACTGCTATCTGCCCGCCTTCAAACAGTGAGTTCGCTATCTCTATGGGGAGTGTTAAATAGCTTGTAATTCCATTTGGCTTGCAGGTTCAGAGATAAGATTAAGATTTTGCATTTCGCCGGCAAGCTGAAGCCCTGGCTGATTCAGTTCAACTCGGAGACAAAGGTGGCCAGCGTTTCGTCAGACTATGCCCATGCCCAGGATCTGATCCAGCTGTGGTGGAACATCTTCTGCGAGAATGTGATCCAGTCCCTGTCCACCGAAATGGTAAGTGCTCCCTGTAAAGGTCACTTGAATCTATTACCCCTTTTGGCGATTTACAGCTTACTAGAGCCCAAAAACAATCTGACTGAATACCCATGTACCCCCTCGTTACTTGAACGCCATACTAAAGCTAACCTGAGACTTTTATTGTTTAACCCAATGTATTTGCTCCCAAAACAAACCCCCTGCTTCGTTTCTTAACCCGCTAATCGCAAGCAAACGCCAGGAAATGTTGCTAGTGATCGACCCGAGGGAGCGACTGCCCCAGGGTCCAGTCCAGAGGTAAGCAGATCTTCAATTGCCGAACCATCTTGCACCAGATCTGTAGAGACCTTGAGCACCCCCCTGTGTAAATATCTTAATTATAACGCAAATATTTATTTATTTATCCATCTTTCTGTGCGCCGAGTAAATAACTTAAGCAAACAAACTCAGATCGCTCTATTTGCCAGTTGTTTCTTGGCAATAGTTGACCTCGTTGTCGTTCCATTTCTCGCCTCTTTTCTATCTATTCACTTTAAATACCCGTTCTTTGACTTCATTTTCATTATTTTTCTTTTTTCGGCTTGCACTTTTCTGTTGATTTTTCCTCGATTAGCAGCCACGCCCCAGAGTAACCTATTTTTTTTTTGTTTTTTTGGCCCCATAGACAGACGTACAGAACGATTCTCAATTGGGTCTCTTTTAATTTATTTCTTTTGTATTTTTTGTAATATTTGTCCTGTGTGTGTGTGTGTGTACCTTGTCTCAGTGTTCACTTTCTTTCTGTTTTTTCTAATTTGCATCGATTTGGCCGAGAGCCAGGGAAATGTTTCGGTTTACGCCATCGATAGATGGAAATGATTCAAATCAAGATGGTCGGTTGGGGGTGATGCCAAGAGACGAGCAACAAAATCAACTGAATCATAAGATATATCCCATAACACAAACACACACACACACACACACTAGCACGCATTCGGGGATCTCTGTTTTCTTTTTTCACAGAACCAAATTTTGATATTAAATGATATTGGTTAAATCTTCGTCATAGCAAAACATCAATTTAAGTTGTTTTTCCTGTGTACTTTTTACTTTCCCCCTTCTTTGTTTGTGACGTTCCTCGGTTCTTTATTTTTGCAAATTGATTTACTTTTCATTTACTCTTTATTTTCCAACTCTTGCCTCCTATGTTGCGCATTCTGTAAATTATACTTTGCCATAAATAATACTTGGACTGACGAATCGCATTTGTCGTGCATATAACTCAATATATCTAACATCGTCTCAGTGCCTTTGCCTAAACCTAATGCACTCGCAAAGCGAATCCGCGGCGGATGAGCAGCATCAGCGGCAGCAGCATGAGTTCTACCAGCAGCAGCAGCTGCACCACCAACTGTTGCATGTGCGCCAGTTCCGCGATCCTTGGGCAGATTACTATGAGAATCTGGAGAAGGAGCAGCAGGAGCAACAGCAGCAACAGCAGCAGCAGCAGCAGCATCACAATCCCAGCCAGAATCACAGCCAGGACAATGGGAATGCGGATGCGACTGCGATTGCGAATGAGAATGCGAATGCGAATGCAAATGAATATGCCACTGAGTGGCATCATGACGATGCATGCCACCCACCTCCGCCAACGACACCACCTCCCCAAAACCAATCCCACAATGCCAATGCCACTGCCAATGCTGAAGACTTTCTTTCCGTAGATGTGAATAGCAACGAGCTAAACATTTCACAACCACCTGAACACGCCTTCTCAAACACTGCCACGCCCCCAGCCACGCCCACGCCCTCGCCCACGCCCACGCCACATCATTCCGTGCATAGTCAGACAGTAGAAAATGCGACAAACCACCAACAAGAACATGAAGTTGCAGCCACAACGCCGCCTGAGGTAAAGGCAATCAATCCAAGCCCGGCCTGAAAACCTACACAGAAAAAAGTGTCCTGAACGAGTCTATACGTTTTTACAAAAGGAAAATGCAAGAATAAGTTTGTTTCCGGTTTTTCCTTTTGATGATTTTTATTCACATTCTCTGAATACAGCACATTGATATTTTTATTGACGGATAAATATTTATGATAATAGTTTGCCAATGGAATTTCGCCGATAATTCGATTTTATTTGGTTATTATACAACCATTAATACTTGCCTTTGTTTGTTTATTCAAAGATTCACCTTTTAATCCAATTTAAGAGTGGAAAAAAGTGAAACGATGATCAAACAAAACAGAAAAAAAGATAAATAATTACTTAAAATGTTAAAATAACGTAACGATAGTTTCGAATTTGAATGGATATTTTTTCTGTGTAGGCATCCCGACTCCCAACCAACCAGCATCGGATAGTGGTGTGCAAGTGTGTATAAGTGGTAGTGCAAGTGATAGTGATAGTGTAATACCTCGGTTTTCGTCTAGTCACTGTTTTGCATACGAATTGTCATTGTCATCGTCATTGTCCTTCGGTCATCGTTCATTGTTCATGGTCCTTGGTACTTGGTTCATGGTTTAACGTTGTGTTTGTGGCCTGGATAAGGGCATTTGTTGATTTATTATTAGTTGGCCTGGCACCTGGTCAAGCATTCAATGTAGATGAAGGGAGCATGGAGAGCTTGCTCCCCATTAGGCAAACATCATCATCGTCATCATCTTGAAACTCAGCAGCGAAAGCGGGCACTTCATCCTCGTGTTGCATGTGCTTACCATAGCCACCTACCTCTCCATTCAGCCCACTTTCACATAGTAATCTGCCGAAGAGTTGCTGGGACACGAGCTGCAAACGTAAGCAGACGGAGCTCAACGCGTCGTATACTTGATTTATACCTGGAGTAGCACTCTGTTGTCATATTAATCATACGCCCCGTGCACCCAAACTAACATTACAATGTTGTCAACCGTTCGTCTGCGTACTTTTGCTAATAAATGTTTAATTCGTAATGCATGCACAGCCCCTAAAACACCTACCCATATTCTCTCCTACTATCCGACTTACTAAGTTAAGGTCTTAATCAAATTACTTAACATACTTTCAGGCGGGCCTGGCTGGTGCTCTGTCACAGCTCCGCATCGGCCAGCAGCGCACTCCCGAGCAGGAGGCCTACGAGAACCAGATGCGCCGCCAATGCTGGGAGTCCGGACAGATCGACTACTCCGGAGCCGATTCCTTTGAGAACATCTGGAAGAAGATCTCGCAGACGCTGGACAAGAAGAGCGAGAAGGAGACCGAAGAAACTGGTAGCTCATAGATACAAAAAACCGAAACAAAACAAACAAATGCAAATCGTTCGTTATTCGTCGTTTTGTTGCCATTTTTTCTTGTACACGCACACACTCAACCAAACCCCCCAGCCCCTATAAAACCGCACACACACACTCACAGATCAGACCCACACAATCGTAAATCCCCGTTTTGGGAGGCAGGCGAACTGTTGCCAATGTCAGGGAGCCCACGGTCTAATTGAAATTTAAGGTTCAGCCAAAAATGTTGTCGAAACGAATTCTTCAGAGTGTCATAAATGCAATTTTTATTTGCCCCCCGCACACATCTTGTGAAGAAGAAAAAGGGAGAGGGAGAGAGAGAAACAGAGCAAGAGGAAAAGCACGGAAATTTTAATTAAGTTTTCAAATTAAACTTTTTGCACTGCTGCTGCTGCTGCTGCTCTCGACATACATGATGTGATGCGATGCGATGTGTGCGTGTGTGGGCGACACACTTGGCACAGTTGCCCCAATCTCTTGCCCCAATGCCCCTTCATCCTTCTTTCTCCTCCCCGCCCAAAAAAAAAAAAAAACACTTGGCCCAGCCACAAACTTTTACACTTCATTGTATTTTAATTGAAAATTTTGTACTTTCACCCTCTCGTGTGTTTACCGATTTATAGCGATGACTTTTTAGCTCATCTGCATCGAAATTCATTGTGGCGTAAAGTCCATTCCTCACTTCTACCCTCCTACCCTGCCCATCTCCCCCTCGTTTTCCCCCACATATGTACATATGTTTTCCTATGAATAAAAACCAAACAATGAGTGTAAACAATAACTCTAGAAAAGATAAACGAAAACCATTTAAAATAAAGTAAAAATCAAAACTGAAATTGTAGCCAACATGTTGTGGCTATTGTGTAGTTGTATCTGTCTGTGTGTGATTGTGTGTGCCTATACGAGTGTGAGTGAACGGCCCCTCCCCCATTTAACGCCCACTCTTCGGATCGAATTCGAGCTGAGCGTTAAGTGTTTGTTTCAAGTGTCTTGGCAGCCGAACTTTTCTATCTATATACGTATACTCGTAAACCATTTATGTTATAATTTACTTTTTGCAAATATTGTCGTAATATTTATTCGAGAACAACAAGAACAACAAAGAAACCCCAACAACACAAACAAACTTTCAGTTTAAGAAACTCTGTTTTTAAATGTGCATTTTTATTTTAGCTTTAAGTTACCTTACGTTCTTCTCCCACCCTTGTCGCCTTTTCAGTTGTGTACTTTTAAGCCATCTAAGCCATGGGAAGCATCGGGTCTAAGCCTGAGGTCTTAGAACCATCACGTAGCCATAAGAGCCAGCACCATCGCTTAATCACCACCTCGCATTTCAGTCATCATCACCAGCATCCAGCATTCAGCATCCAGCATCCTAGCATTTTCAGACGATGTAGCTGAATCGCATTAAAACTACTGTCTCGTTACCCCTAACCACATTTGCAGATAATGATAACGATAGTGACCCTGCTAACCCACTAAGCTCTGCTCAGTTGCTAAACGAAACCGCCCGCAAGCTGCTGCATCCGCCCGAGAAATCGCCACCTTCGGAGGCGATGGCAGCCACGCCGGCTCCCACTAATAAAGGGAATGCGAATGGTGGAGTCCATCTTGACCAGCCACGCCCCTCAACCCGCTCGAAAGCCGCAACTAACAAACAGCCGGCAAATGCTTCAGCTTCCCCAGCATCCTCCTTAAAGCAGAGTCCACAGATGCGACAGGAGAAACCGCACCAACAACCGGAAACGGAACCGAAGCCACAACAACCACAGCCGCAACCGCAGCCAGCGCAGCACATCACGATGCCGACTGGAAGCGGAAACGGCAGCGTCTCCAAGAACGGCAAGCAGAGGTCCTCCCGCAAGTTCAAATAGCAATTACTGAACCTGCTGATGCACTACAGCTGCCTGCCACACCTGGCGTGTCGCTGTATGTCGCAATATCGGCGGCTGGAACCGAATCTGGATACCGAACCCCAACCCGTACACGTCTAACGCGGCGATTGATAGACAGATCCAAGACAGTACAAAGCGAATGCAACGAATTATGCTGTAAAAATTGCTTACTAAGCGGGCCTTAGACGAGGTCCTTAAAGTTTTCTAGGATTATATGGAGTGTAATTATCGAAATCTGAAATCATATTCAATTTTTAAAGCAACGATTATTAAGAGACTCAATTTTTGTAATTGATGTTTTATAAATTTATAAGTGTTTTTAAAGTCTATTTGTAGGAAAGGCAATAAGAGTTATAATCAAATAAGAAGATGAATACCAATAACATACTAAATATTAATCGCTTTGAGTCTTCTATTAAATGTTTAAATTAGGAAGTAACTATTAAATTTGAAGCTAAATAATATAGGGAAATGTAAAAGAGATATTCCCAACTTTACGGACATCGTCTAAGGGTCTCTGGACTTACCCAAATGCCAGGCTGCCTTAAGAAGGAAACCCATGCAATATCGTAGACTTAGCTTAGGATAAGACAAAAGCTAATACTAGACTTAAGCCGCAAGTGCTTTGGATAACCCTAGATGCAGACACACACTCAAGAGCTTGGGATGACACCACCTTTATATACCAAATACTATACACACATCCACACACCACACAGAGCTACTGACTTCCGCGGACATCGAAGACGGTAAGGTGGAGTTCGACAAGGCTACCGGAGCCAGCACCACGTACAAGGTCATCGAGGGTGGCTACGAGGTGATCACCACCACTCCCCAGCCCAATGGAACCATCAAGACCCAGGTGCGCACCTTCTGGGACCCGAAACCCGTCAGCGAGGAGGATCTGAAGAAGGAGCAGCAGAACAAGAAGCTGGTCCAGAAGCGTCTGGGCAAGGAGATCCGCATCGATGAGCGCACCACCATGCTGACCCGCGCCATCGAGGGTGGCTACGAGGAAGTTTACACCACCATTAACGAGGACGGAACCCGCAGCACCCGCACCAAGACCTTCTTCGACTCCGTTCCCACGGAGGTGGATGAGAACACCGCCGCCAAGTTGAACAAGAACAAAAAGAACGTAACCAGGAAGTCGTCGGTGGACTCCACCGATTCCACGGAATCCTCCCGCCGCGTTGTTAAGCAGCAGAAGAACGTGGTGCAGAACTTCCAGGATCAGCAGACCAACTCCACCACCACCTCGGAGCGTAGGGTATCCGTGACCCAGAACATCGAGATCACCGAGAACAACCGCACCGTGCGCAAGAACTCCCTGCAGGAGCAGAACACCAAGGCTGTCACTTCCACCTCAAACACCTCGACCAGCGACAAGAAGCAGAAGAAGAAGCCCAAGTCTTCGGCTCCACCACCACCCGCTGACTTCTTCCAGAACGATACCACGTCTGTGTCCTCGAAGCGAGTTCCCGGCGGAGTGGAGTACACCTATTCCACGGAGCTGGAGTCTGGCAAGACCATCACCACCTCGAAGACCGTCTACGAGGAGGAAGAGGTGGAGCTCACCGAGGAGGAGATCCGTCAGTACAAGAAGACCCTGAAGGATGCCCAGAAGCACAAGGACGTGACCACGACCAAGAAACTGAAGTCTGAGTCGGGCACCAAGAAGATTGTGCCATCCGAGAACCCCGGAGATGTGACCACCGTGGAGACCATCAAGATCGAAGGTGGCACCGAGTACCACTACACCACCGTAACGGCCGAAGGCATCGTGAAGAAAGCCGTAAAGACCGTTTTCGACCCAGTGCCCAGCAACAAGGTCAATCCCGACGACACCGACGAGGAGGAGATCATCGAGGAGTATGAGGAGGAGATCATCGAACCCGGCGAGAAGAACGTCAAGACCATCGAGACGGTGAAGCAGCTGCCCACCAAGTTCGAGGGTGAGCATTTTGATACTCCTAACTACTTAGTTGGAAACTGATTTCCATCGTTTTTTTTCGCAGAGGAAGTGACCATCACCCATGAGAGGAAGGAGAAGAAGGTAAAGAAGTCCATGGTCATAAGCCAGTAGAGATCGCCGCACACCCACACTGAAACACACCCTAAAACACATGCACACACGACACTCACACTACACAAGGCACACATGCACATGCACACAAACAAGCTTAAGAAGAGGCCCGGAGACTGAAGAACGGCCCTGCGAAGATCCCAAGCTAATTCTCCTGACCTATTTCAGCATCCAGTTCAGTTAGTTGCGGGCGGTCTTTGCACGCTACTCGTTAGCTTTGTTATCAATTACCAGCTGTCTAGTGCCCTAGAAATGTATTACGAAATTATCCAAAATTTATTACAAAAATCTTTCTAACATAATTGTATCCTCATTTGTTAACAAAAATAAAACTGAAGTTTTGGTTCTAATTCTTCTTGGACTTCTTCTTCGGCGGGCTCTTTGGCTTGGAGCTGCGACGGCAGATGAGGATTAGAGCTAAGATTGGCAGGAGAATGACAGCGAGAGCCAGGGCAACAATGTCCAGAAGGTAGAACTGGTACCAGGGCAGCTCCACGCCAGCAGCCACCAGATGAGGTGCTCCTCGGTGCTCGATCACATAGTTAATCCAGTACATGGCCGTATCCATGGCGCCAAGGGGCCTATCACGGAACACCCGCGACGCCTTCTTAATGTTATCCCTGTACTTGGGATTCTCAATCAGTTCTAGCAGCAGTCCTCGTAACTCTTCCACGGTGACTTTCCGGTAATCCAGACCCAAAGCATAACCAGCCTTCTTGCCCTGATTGATGTTCTGGTGCTGATCACAGTAGACGGGCATTCCCAGTATTGGTATGCCATTGTACACCGCCTCTTGGGTGCCAAAGAGTCCACCATGAGCAATGAAAACCTTCACATTGGGATGTGCCAGAATGTCAGCTTGAGGTAACCAACTTTGAACCTTCACATTGGCCGGCAAATTGGGCAGAGACTCGTCTTCGAACTTCCACAGAACGCGTTGTTTCAGACTTCCAAAGACGTCGAGGAAAATCTTCAGCTTTTCGGGCGGCAAATCAGCACTGCGTACCTGGGAGCCTTTATGGAAATAGATTGATAACATTTCGGAATCCATCTTTACTGTAGAAGCTCACTTACCCAAGCTGAAGTAAATAGCTCCATGGGTGGCACCATCCAGGAACTGCTGTAGGTGCTCTGGTAAAGCCTTCGGGGGTTGAATGTGCAGGCCGCCCACGGGGATCATGTTGTAGGCCATAGGTCTGGATGAAGCTAGCGGCATGTAGGCGTTCAACAGAATAGCCGAAATATTCCTTTCCAGTTCCTTTATAGTGGGAACTCTGTCGAGGAGCTTGGAAAAGTGTTTCCTGAGGACGGCATCCTGGCCGGGATAGTAAGAGAACTCCCTGCTGAGATCCTCGGCTGCACTGATGGCCACATTTCCTATGCGTTCCCATAGCGACATGCGGTCGGTGTAGGGCATATAGGCATGCGGGACATACGACCAGGGAGACACTACACCAAACAGCTGGCTTAGATAGTTGGCATAACCGAAGGTCGAGACGGTTATGATGGGAATCTGGTACAGGTGTCCCAGGATCAGGGCTCCCTCGTTGAAGAACTGCTCCGCCAGCAGCAGATCGTACTTGCCGATTTTGTTCTTCTCATTGATCACAGCCTGCAATCCTGGCTGCTCGAAGGCAAAGTCCGTGCTTTCCACACCCATCACATTGACCATTCGCAGGAATTCGTAGTTTGGCAAATCGGTCATCTCCAGAACGGTGTTCCTCTTCGTCCTCTTCTTAACTGAGGAATATCAAAGGGTAAGTTTATGCATATATCAGATGTTGGGGTATGACCTACTTCCTGGCCAGAAGTCGTATTGTGCAATATTTATTTCCTTATAGTTAGGTCCCAGATTTTCCTTGGCCAGGGAAAACGGGGTGATGAAAGTAACTTCATGTCCTTGCTTCACCAGCTCTCGGATGATGGCATTGGTCATCATAAAGTGGCTCTTCCCAGGGAAAATGAAGGCTGCCAAGATGCGCGAACCGGCACCCAAGTCCAGTTGCTGAAGAGCCACCAGACTCAAGAGAGCGATGTGCAGAGCACTTCTTAATTGCTGAAATATAAGATTTCCATTTTCACAATGTTTGGGCTACTGATTGCGGTAGTACCCTATAACTATTTTGTAACCTTATCTTATCAGTCAAACCTTTATTTGAGGTCATGACTTTTAGCTATCACGTAATGTGAGGTGATAACACGGTTGAGTAGATCAAGTTTACTTTTCTATTAAAACTTTCGCTAAACAAGAATTTAAAAGCTTTTCGTTCGTTAACCTCTATATAAGATTTGTAGGGGCAGTAAAAGCTTTAAGAGCTTTCAGATATTTAATTAATTTATTTACAAAACGTCAACAAACCATTTTGATTCCGCCTTTTGTTCTGCAATGGGAATAATCGGCAACCGACTCGGTCTACGAATCTCGAACGACTGCAAATGGGTTCTGATAGATCGTTTTCTGTGGGTAGATCGCGGTTAAAGATAACTTTGAGGTTCGTATTGAGAAACGAGAGAGCGGGGTACCACCCGGAGGCATCTCTCCGAAATAGTATATTAAAAGTTAACAAAATGTTAGCATGATTTGGCAGAAATCGTGAGTAAACTATATAGCAGGTTGTACTTGATAGGCTCAGTACATGATTAGGATTCTCTGCGTTGGAAAAAAACGCCATATAATTGTTATATGGATCAAAGAATATATGTTTTCTGAACATAGAAAGTTAAGACATTTATTATATTGTTATCACTAGATTAAGCTATTCAAGTCGTCTAAACTCGAATTGGATTGTTTTACCCTGTTTACCGAAAAAGTATTTCCACTAACGTTTCTACCTTTGAAAATATTAGTTTTTCTTAGTCTTCTTCTGCTTTTTGTTACTGCCCATCAGCAATCTAACGGCCAATAAGAGGACCATGATTCCAGTCAGAGCAATGACGGCCACAAAGGCTATCACATCCAGCAAATAGAACTGGAACCAGTTAAGATCCAGGCCAGCGGATCTTAAATGCGGAGCACCCCGATGCCGGATGACATATTCAATCCAGTACACAGCAGTTTTGCGCGGTTCCTGCTCACGATCCCGGAAGATGTTCGAGACCCTCTGCACGTTCTCCTTATAGGTGGTGTTATGGAGGAGCTGGAGCAGGGAGTCCCTGAGGATTTCCTCGGTAATGGACTGGAAGTGGAGGCTGATGGCATACCCACCCAAAACGGCTTTGTTCATATTTAAGTGCTGAGAGTAAAATCTGTTAGATACAGTAAAAGAAATGAATTTCTTTTTAAATACCTGATCGCAGTAGAAGGGAATGCCCAGCATAGGCACAGCATAATGGACTCCTTCCTGGGTGCCAAACAATCCTCCATGGGTGATAAAAACCTTCACGTTGCGATGGGCCAGAATGTCCGCCTGTGGCAGCCACTTCCTCACCATCACATTTTCCGGCAGCTGGACAATACTCTCATCTTCGAATTTCCACAGTATCCGCTGCTTAAGGGAACCGAATACCTTCAGGAACAGTCGGAGCATCTCCTCGGGCATATCCTTGCTCTGGACATTGCTGCCCAGGCTAAAGAAGATGGCCCCCTCGCTGGCTCCATCCAAAAAGGCCTGCATGTCCGACGGTAGAGGCTTGGGTGGATAGATGTGCATGCCACCCACCGGCACCATAGCATCCACGGTGGGACGTGCCGTGGTGAGTGGTGCGTGACTGTTAAGCAGCATCACTGAGATTTCCCGCTCCATGTGACTAACCTTTGGCACCTCAGCTGGAAAACACTAAACTACAGGTGTAATGTTCTAGAATAGGATTCGTCTTAACTTACCCATTACGGGGCCAAAGAACTCCCTGGCTATCGCATCCATTTTCGGAAAATAGTTGAGCAACCTGTCCATGTCTTCATAGAAGGAAGCATAAGAGTTCTTTACCCTTTCCATGAAACTCATGCGATCGGTGAAGGGCATAAAACCATGTGGCACGAATGACCAAGGAGTAATCAAGCCCATCATCTGACTCATGTGGTTCTCATAGCCCAACGTACTCGTCGTCACTACGGGTATTTTGTAAAGGTGAGCCATGGCCAGGAAGGCCTCCTGATAGAACTGTTCGGCAAGGAGAAGATCGAAGACCCCCTCCTTCTGCTGGGCATGAATGAGAGCCTTAACCTTAGGGCTGCCGTAGAGCATGTTCCGTGGTTTTCACCCCAATAATCTCTAGCATCTTTAGAAAATCATAGTTATTCATGCGGGTCAGCTCGAATAAATGCTGGGCTCCGAAGTTCAGCTTAACTGGTTCCAGACGATAATGATGATGGATGATTCGTTCGGAAGATAAACATAAGTACTCTCAACTCACCATCATGCCAAAAATCATAGACCGGTTCTATCAAGATCTCCGTGTAGTTGCTGCCAAGCTTCTCTTTTTCCAGGGAAAAGGCTGAAATCATGGTCACCTGATGGCCACTCTCAACAAGTTCTCTCATCAAAGCTGTGTGCATCATAAAATGCGATTTGCCTAACACGAAACAAGGGAGTTAGTACATAGTTTTTCTTCTGGAATACTTTACCTGGAAAGGCATAAACAGCTAAAATCTTGGATCCCTCTGCTAACTCTGGCTGGGAATAGAGATAACCAGCTAGTAGGAGGTGAAACAGCAACGCAAATTTCATCTTTTCAACTTTTACTTAGATTTTGAAGAGAAAGAAGTCTTTGTTTCGGGTTTGCGGTTGTTATTAGGTCCGTCGCTCTCGAGATTCCAAACGCAACTTCCCGGTTCTACCAAAAAACAAACGACAAAACTAAAAAGCCAGCTTAGCTTGGCTTAGAGCTGCTAACTCGGCTCAAAGGTTATGCTTGAATTGTAAGATTGATAACTAAAATTAAGCAGTTTTAATAATCTTAATATAATTGTTAGGAAATAGGGCAATCATTAGCCAACAAACCTTCGAGGTTTGATTTAGATTGCCAGCATGTATGAAAAACAAATTGTTTACTTTTGATAAGGTTACGTAATCGGTTGCTGATATAAAGAGGCAATTAAATTTATGTTCGCGTGCCTGAAAAGCTTTCCACTTGCCTGGCGGAGGAATGCCAGAGGCAGCTATTCGAACCTCTGAATGAATACTGAACTTGAGCTGCGGTTCGATCACAGCTTTAAGTGCGTTGAAAATCTAGAAAATAGATAAGAGTTGGGGGCGAGAGAAATTCCGTAATAAAAGCACAGTCTAGTTAAGCTTTCTTAATCGTTTTATTTTCATTTTTCAAACATATTTGCATTTTAATGTGGGCTGGTCCTTAAACGCTAGGTATTAAGCAATCGATACATTAGGTGTAATTAAATTAAGTTAAATTAGAAGGTTTAGCCTATAATGCGATTACTTGTCAACGAATCCGCTTTATGTAATTTACATTTTCATATTCGATACAAATTGTTTAAATTATTCTCGTCTTTATACAAAAATCACATTCGATTCATTATGTATTCTCCTTGTGTGGTGTCAGTTTTGTTATCTGTTATCTGTTATCTGTTATCTGTTATCTGTTATCTTTTATCCGTGTTAAAATGTTTTCTTTCGATTTGTGTGAACTTTGTTCGAGTTCAATTTAAGTTTAAGTACTAACTTGATATATGCAATTAACAAACTCCTTCAGCTGTCCGTAGATGAAACATTCTGCGAGTGTGTGTGCGTGTGTGTGGGTGGATGGGCAGGAATTTCTAATTTCTAATTTTCCATTTTCCAATTTGAACTTTTTTGTTGCAGAAACTTGAAGGTGAAGTTTTTGTGGCGAGCAGGCGGCTGATATGAGTTATTAGTCTAGGCCTTAAAGCTAAGGAGCTTAAGTGAAATTCAATTTGCGGTTGTACGTATGCAGGGGGGTGGTGGTAAGAGGGTGATATGTGGGTGATATGTGTGCTGTGTGTGCTGAACTTTGTGCGAAAGCCGGGCTAATTGAGGCCAGTCGTCGGGATAAATGACTCGGGCGGAAGCTGTTGCTGCTGCTGCTGCTGGTGCAGTCGGTTCCATTCCATATGGATGAGCATATGGAGAGCCTCGTTCAGATGCTTCGCCTCCTTCCTCATTCCTCATTTCTCGTCCTTTGTGTTGCTTTTCCCAAACAAAAAGTAAACAGAAAGAAACATGGGGCCGTGATAAATAATTCCCCGATGACTCCTGCGGTGGCACGTGCCCAGAATCAGCTAGGGTCCCTAGATGTACTTGGATATGTAGTGCTTCTGGATGAGTCGGCCGGCCTTGCGCTTCAGTATGGTGAAGCGTATTAACTGCTAATCGCTGAAGTGCGGCGAATGCGGCGGCACACGTGGGTACAGCTGTGAAAAAGGAGTAGCCACTTAGTTCCCATCCTGCGTACGCGGAGGCATTTCATCAGCCAAAACTACTCACCCCCAGGAGGTTGCGTGGCACGTAGCCCTCCTCGCCGCCGGCATTCCGTGCCCACCACCACTCGTTCTCGGCATCGTCGCCCTTGCGCAGTACGACCAGAGGTTCGTTCACGTGGAAGGAGAGCTCATCGCCATTCTGGGCCTCGTAGGAGAAGACGGCGTACACGTCACCATTTTGCAAGATGCCCAGCTTCTCCTGGATGCCTGTAAATAAAGGAAATATTATTATTAAATTGTTATTATGGCGTTGGTGTTAGTGCCCAGTCTTTTAGCGTTTACCCCATCAATCTTGTGACCTTTCTTATGTTCCCAATCCCACTTACTGTACAAATACTCGGAGCAGCCGTCAAAGCCCTCCTCATCCTCCTCGCACTTCTCAGCCGGCGTCTCGTGATCCGACAATGTGGAGGCAAACAGGCAGGCACCGCTCTCCACCAGGAACTTCACCATGGACAGATTATTGCAGCTGGCGGCGCAGTGCAGTGGCGTCCAGCCATCCGAGTCCTGGGCGTTCACGTCACAGCCAAACTCAACCAGGAATCTAAGCGAAAAAAAGTGATTAATTGGATTGAAAATCGAGGGCAGAAGGAGGACAAAAGGAGGGCAGAAAGAGGACAAAGGGGCAATGTCACTTACTTGACAATGTCAAAGTGGCCGGCACAGATGGCATTGTGGAGAGCTGTAATCCCCTCATCGTTCGCCGCACTGGGATTGGCCACTTGCATGGCCGTCTTCTTGACCAGTTCCAGTTCTCCTTCCAGACTGGCGTCCAGCAAGAGGGCCAATGGATCGAAGCTTACTCTCCTCGCCAATTTGGGTTTTCCATTTCCCGTTCGCTCCTTGATGTTGCTGGTTGTCGTCGCTGTCACGTTGGCTGACGCGGATGTTGACGTCTCCTGCTGACTGGTTGCAATGGTGGGGGCCACCATGCGATCCGTTTCATCTGCGCTGGATTCACTACTCGGCGAGTGCTGGGGGGAGGTGTCTTGCAAGTTTTCCGTTTGTTGTCTAACTGCCTGGTCAGATTTTCGCTGGCTTTGCAACTGCAGTAGGGCAGGCTTCTGTTGTCCATTGGATTGGCTGGACTTCAGACGGGGCTGCTCGAAGAGCGGTTGCTTGCGGATGGTGAGTGGCTTGGCCTTGATGGGCAAGTTGTCGTTGATGTTCAGGGACTGCAGGCCAAAGGTGGCCGTTTGCGGCTTCGTTGTAGTTGATGTAGGCGCTCCGCCTCCGGCTGATACTCCTACTGTGGATCCCGATGTACTGGCTTCCCCTGGAGACGGCTGTTCTGTGGGCGACATTTTGCTGGGCTTGGGCGGCAGGGCCGGACGGGGATCCGTCATCACCACATTGGGCGCCACGCGGTTTACCTTGGGGCTGTAGGTTATCATCTTGGGTATGGAGCTGCCGCTGGTCACCGAAGTGGGCGCCACACTGCTGATGGGCTTTCGTGGCGGCACCGCCACATTGCTCACTTGCACCTGGAGCGGCTTGGAGGCATTGGACACGGCGAGGGCCACCGACTTGCTTATCGCTCCCAAGGGCATGCTGTGCACGGTGAGCTGCTGCTGTGTGTTGCGTTCGGATAGGGTTTCGCTGGTCACCGAAATCTCGTTCTTCTTGGCCTGCGACTGCTGCTGATCCTGGTTCTCCTTTGCCGTCGCCTGCTGGTTGAGTTTGCTTATCAAGGCGGAGGCGGAACTGCTGCTGTTGGTCGAGGAGATGCTCTTCGGGGATTTTACTGGCATTCGCGGAGGAGGGTGGAGATGTCGTGGATGCTGCAACTATGGCCTGGTTGGCCGCCTCTGCAGCTGCCTGAGCTGCTGCTGCTGCCGCCGCCGCTGCTGCTGCTGCTGCTGCTGCTTCTCGATCTCGTTTCTTGGGTCCCACTTCCGCGTATATATGTGTGGTACTATCCATGGCCTCCGTTTGAGCCTGCTTCCGCAATTCAGCCTCCGTTTTGGCCGGAGCTGCCAGCAGCTTCTTGGCCAACTTGGATTCATCGCTTTCGCTACTGGAATTGCCCACTGGCACTGGCACGGATCCGGCAAAGAAACCACTGTTTTGTCCCAGCTTAACGTGCGTCAAATCCTGGATGAGCTGGTTCTGCTGATTGGTATTGGCCGTGGCCGCTGCATGCTTCATCCCACCACTTAAATAGCTGGCCGTGCTCGTGATGGTGGACTTCTGGGGGGTGTGGATAAAGGGCTCCACGGCAGGCCACATTGCCACGGGCTCGTCCAGCGGCAGCAGCGGCGGCAGCAGCTGCCAGTTGATTGACCTGCTTCTGCAGCAATTGCTGCTTAAGGGCAGCCACTCCGCCATGTTTGGCGAGAGTGTTAGCGGGTTGCTGGAAGGCCTGTTGCTGCTGCTGCTGCTGTTGTTGCTGCTGCTGATGTTGCTGTTGCTGTTGCACAGTTGCTGCTGCTGCAGCCGCCAGCAATTGAGCAGACTGAACATGCAGTTGCTGTTGCTGCTGCTGCTGCTGCTGTACCGTCGGCTGTTGTTGCTGCTGTTGATGTTGCTGCTGCTGCTGGTGATGGGTGTTGGCCTGCTTCTTGCGCTGCAGGCGCGTCTGCAGCTCGTAGATGCGCTGGTCCACTGACCGGAGTTCCGCCTGCCTTTGCTGCAATGCCTCCCGTTGCATGTGCAGCCGTGCATCCTGCTGCAGCGACAACTGATTTCGGTACTGCAATTATAAATAATAAATAAATAAATAAGAAACTCTTTCCCAATTAGTGGCTTCTCCGTTTCTTCCCTCACCATCAGTTCGCGGCGCAGCTTCTCCAGCTCGCGGGATGCCTGCGGGGGAAGGGCTTGGCCAACTCCGTTGCCAGCTGCTGCCAAAATATTCACCGGACATCGACGGTCACGTCGTAACTCTTCCAGCTGTCGGGTCAAAGCCTCCACCTTGGCCACGGCCAGACTGAGCTCCTTCTCCTTCTCGCTAAACAGCGCACGAATCGAGTCCAAGTCATTGCCTACGAAAAGGATTTATGATTTTAATTTAAAAACTTCGGAAAATCTTAAAATTCTTATTATTGAAGAATATTTTCTAACCCTAACATTATCCTAAATATCTATTAAGGGTTAGCAGATACCCTCAGAAAGGATTATGGCTATTATCTGGGCTATAACGTTTAATCTCTAACGCTTATTAAGGCACACCAGTAAATCTTAATTATACTTCCGCTGAAGCAGGCTGAAACAGGCTGAAACAATCTGTAGTTAAGCACTTGATTCTTGATTAAGGAAGGTGCTTCTTTCTTGAGTGCCCAGCTTAATCAACAATGTTATCCCGATCCGTGCCTTTGGCCCACTAACTATTTTATAATCGCCGGCCGCCTGCTGGTCGCCGGTGTTTTCCTTTCGTGGATTTGGGTTGCCTGTTCAAACTAATTACAGCCACAACACTGGGCGCCAGCTCATTAACATAATACCCTTGTATGGAAATGTGTGCGCCAGTGTGCGGGCCAACATCTTCTTAGCCATGTTCGGGAGGCGTTCTGCCCGCCCACAGGCAATCATAAAGGACAACAAAGTGGCACACATACATAAATTAAATTCACACACGCGAGGGGCGAGAGGTGGTTGGGTATGGGATTGGGTGCTCCGGAATGGAGGCAGGCCACCACTCAACACGGTTTTAACACATGTTAATTCACCCAGAGAACCCCTCTTCTCCACTCAGCCAGCGGTGCTTAACTCAATTGGAGAGGGAAGCTTAGGACGGGTTAGGATATCCCCAGCAGATGCACTTGGTGGCACTTTGCCACTGCCCGTGAACGAGCGACCCTCCTCTTCCTCCTCCTCCTCCTCCCTACACTCCACAAAATTGCATAATAAATTTGAGTTTTCCCAGGTTATATCAAATTTAAAGTAATCTTAGATTAAGTTATGGCGCGACTTATTATTATTTCTACTTATTTATACTAATTAGATTAAATAGTAAACATAATTTTCTCCCAGTGTACTTACTCAGTGTGACATTGTAGGTCTTCTGCAAGTCCACTTGACCCCGCAGCGCTCGCAGGCGGCGCAGCTTGGACTCCTGGGCCTCCACTCGCTCCCGCAGCCGGCGGAGCCGCTCGCCCTCCGCGCTGGCCACTGCGCTGCGTACCTCCTGCGACTTGAGGAAGCGCAGGCGCTGCTCCTTGGTGGCCAGCAGCTGGTGCTGGCTGTCGATTTGCTGCTGCTGTCTCAATGCCATCGCCCTCAGTTCGGCTGACGTCAGCCTGCTGGGCACCTGCAACGCAAGATGGGGACAAGATTGGGTTTGAGATTGAGATTTCGGATCGTTAGCAAGATAAGCGGCTGAGGTGGATGTATGGGTGTGTATGTTTATGGGTGTGGACCCCAAAACACTCCACCTTCAGCCAAAAGTGAGAAATGAAATTTCACAATTTATAATCCGAGGCGTAACCGAGGAACCAAACCACCCTGGGAAAGCGGGGAAAACTCAAAAGTCAAACTGAAAGTTGTCAACGTTCGTGGTCAGCCATAAATCAAGTTATGCTTAAGCTAATTTCGGCTTTTTGTTGTGGCGCAGATTGGATTTGCTCCTTGGATGAGGCCGAATTGGCGGAGTCTCTGAGATACCGGAATACTCACATTCAGCTTGGGCTCAGAGGTCACCACCACTCCTCGCGTGGGGCTGACAAAGGCCAAGGAGGCTGTCGATGATGATGACGATGCCGATGAGGATGCCCTGTGGGCGGGCATCAGCGAGGCGGGCGGCATCTTGGGCAGATTGCCGGAGACGGGTCGACACACGCAGGTCAACATTTTCGACTCGCTCTTTTGATTTTTGGCTTCGATTTATCTTTGATTTATTCGGATTTATGTTTCGTTTCGGTTTTTATTTAATGCACTTGGAGAAACCAACGCGTTCAACGGGTTCTAGATCGAAGGATTATATTCACGTTTTGAAATGAAAATCCTTTTGGGAATCTTCCTTAGCCGCTGTCAATTGTGTGCTGGCCCCTAAAAGTTTTCACCTTAATCACTAAGCTTTATAATTCTCAACTCTTAACTATGTCTTCCTTTGATACCTAATTACTTATTGTCTTAAGAACACAGAAAGTCATTTTTCAAAGTGCACCCCTTGCAGACTTCATTGTAAGTTGCAATTCCATTCACTGGCCTGCGATGGTATCCTTGAGTGCAGGGGCAAAACAGGAACAGAAGCACCAAATTTGTGTGTTATTTTTTTATTGTTCAAGAAAATATATAGCGCCGGGAAGTTTGGTGGACCATGGCAAGGCCCTCTACCCTACCCTCTACAGTTCGCCTTCGCCTCGTGGAAACAGTGGGTGCCAGCGGCAGTGCCAGCTGGCGCCAGTGCCTCTGCCTTGTACTCGTTAATGGATTTTCAATTCAGTGCCTGATTGAAAGCACACTTTGTGTGGATGTGGATGAGGGTTTGGGTGTGGGTGTGGGTGTTGGTGCTTCTGTTCGCGGGTGTTGGGAAAGTGCACAAGTGTATGCAACCATGTGGTTGTGCTGGAGTGCGTGGGCGGGTAAATGGGTGGATTTGGTTATGGGGTGTTTACCGAGCGCCTGCCTACATGGTTGCCAATGGCAACGGGCAGCGCCCCAAACAGCCGTGACACTAGCAACGCTCAACGGACTCCAAGTACGGACTGCTGAAACAACAAGCGGCAGTTAAAGTCATAGTTGCGTGTACATAATCGCTGGCACTTACAATTACATAAAGGATACGGAAAAGGAGAGGTCCAAGGACCGGGCACGGAAAAATATGGAAAAACCGGATAGCGGCAGATCTAGCCCTAACAGAGCCCCACTCGAACGGGGAAGCACACACATTTATACCCATCTACCCCTATATATATCCACTCGACAGGCTAAAGACCGACGGCAAACAATAAAATGCCGTCATGAGGATTGGCCATGGACACGTCCCAGTCTGTTATCGAGTATCGTGTCTACTTCACGCCAACACTGAGGATAAACATGCCGGACATAATCGGGAATATCACTGAAGGCTTATAGCTGTACACGACGTCACTGAACACATATTTCAACCTAACCTTGATTTTAGATAACCTTATTCGAAGGGCTTATGGCCCTGAAAAGTGCCATCCATAGAAAAACAAACTGCTCTGCTATTTTCTGATTAGAATTCAAATCATGATTTGATGCAAAGTTCAGATTTGATACGAAGTAGTTTCATCCAAGTGGGAACCCTATCCAAAAACTTCCAATGCAAAGTAGCAACACATTTTTTCTCACTGCTTGCAACTCAACCAACCAACCAGCTATTGACTAGCACTCGTTCCCATGGTGCTCTTTGCTTTTTGGCCTCGCCAAGTACAATTGGCTTCGGTCACCATCATCATCAAGACCAGGGACGAATTGATGACGGCGATGACGATGACGATGACGATGGCTATGGAGATGATGATGGCGGTGGCTGCAATGGATTGCCTTGGCAAGAGCTGCTTCAGTTCTGAACCCCACAAGATGATCAGACAGAGCGAGACAAGACTGCAATGGATACACCAACCAATCCCACCACTCCCCGCACTCGATTTATTGCCCCTTTTCTGGGTCACATTATGCTTGTGTATGTTGCAAATAAAAAAAAAAAAAGACACATTACGGCGAAATGATACACGAAAAACGCTTACATATGTCCTGAGACAGCGCGTTTCGCAGCTATAAACCACATGTAAAACACCGACCGTAAAGGAAGACATCAAATGTCCGGCAGTCAAGTTTCGTCCTCACCGGGTGACTTCACTGGGCCGATCTTTAAGGCAACCATTTGCAGCTGTCATAAAGTTAGCCATAAGCGGTTTGTCAAACTCCCCAAGTTTGCAACTATTTAAAGCCCGAGCTCCTCTATCTTTCGGCCATAGTTTTAACGAACTTGCTGGCAGCGTAATGAATTAATCTACTTTCCACCGATGCCATCTGCGCAAATATTTGCTCAAAAAAGCAAACTTTGCGCCACCAACAGGACAGAAAAAGCGAAGCTCAAAACTTGTCGAATGCATTGAGACCGCAGAAACCAAAACCAGAGGCGCACGGGCCAGGCGATGAATGTATCCTGTAAATTCAATGTGGCGGCATCCAGCCAGTCAGCCAGTCAGCCAGCCAGGCAGCATTTTCGAGGAATATTTTCCAATTAACAAAGTTTGTCATAATAACTCGCTCGCTGCCAGGAATCTCCAGCATGTAACGAGCAATGTGCTCGGCGTTATAGCCTCCCCCTCCAACCTCCCTCTCTATTTACATTTTTGCAGCCATTTATGGCGCTGACGAAGCTAAGCAGGAGCAGCAAAAGCGGGAGCAGAAGCAGCCGAGGAATCGGCAGCGAAGGACACTCTACCCGGACCCAGTCCCAAGAATTTCCGGCATTTTCGCTGGCGCAGCGCAAAAAGTTAGCCACTGAGAATAAAATAGAGCAATATCAGTTTCAAATTGGAAACTCCACCTTTGTTAACCCCCGAAAATAATTGAAATCAGATCAGTTTGTTCTGGGTTTTCGAAGGAGCAGAAGGGATCTTTATTGAAGTTAACTATCAGTCTCGTTTAATTTAGAAGTAGGGGAGAGGCTAAGCTAACTACTCTTTAATATCTTAAAATATTCCAAGAACATACTTTAAAAATACTTCCCAATTAGTTCTCCAAAAGTTCCAAACTATTTCTTTCTCTGCACTTGAATGGAAGGCAAAAACGCAACTATTTATGTTGCAAAGCGACGAAGTACCCCTTTACATTTCCAAAAGGGGGCGTTCTTGGAGACGATGGGCGCTAGGCGAGGGGCGTGGCAGGAGCCAACCAATATAATTGTACATTGAAAGATGTCGGGGAAAAAGTCGCGACGTCGTTGGCATTGTATAAATGCTGTTGCCTAAGGGTGTTGCCACTTTGCTAGGTTGCCGCTTCTTGTGTTGCTGCTGCTGTTGGTGGTGTCGGAGCAACAAGCATTTTATTGATTTTAGACCCTTAAAGGAGGAGAAGGAGGAGAAGGAGTTTGGGATCCTGGGCAGGACATCGCGTGCGCTTACGTTTATTGCTAATTTTTTCCCCTTTTGTTCTACTTTTCTTTTGCCTCCTGTCGCAACTCGCCTTCCTTCCGTCCTTTCTCCGTCCTACGTTTCTCGACAGTTTGCCGGACAGTGTCCTTGCTGCACATTTCCAAATCGATTACAAACAGGATATGCACTGCGGAAGCGTGTTTGATGGAAGTGCCAGCCGCAGCAAAACGATTAGAGGGGAAACTGCCCTCCGAAACGCATAGGAGAACCCTCAACCCCTAGCCCCACATACATCCGGCTGGTGATCCTGTCACGGATTGGATTGGATTGGCCGCCATCGCCTTTGTGGCCATTTTGTATTTTAATTAATTCCAGCAACGGTCGACGTCGGAAAGTTTTGCCTATGCGAGAGAATGTCCGCAACTTTGGCAATTTGTGTGCACCGATGGGAGACGAATGAGCCATTGCTGACGGAGACGAGACAAGGACACCTGCAATCCACATCCACATCCTCACATAACTATATTCATTTACAAGCATACCATATATATGTTGCCAGGGATACATGCTTGCGAAGTCTTAATGGGAATCTTAAGAGGATTTCAAAATAAGTTCCCCAATTCTCAAATAATTTAAATCATTTTAAATGCTTCTAATTTCTTCCCTAACTTTTTGTGTACTTAAATCATATATCCTGAATTGTATGTGAACCACTGAAACCGAGCCAATTTGCAATTGTGACAGATTTTCAGTCCTGATGGAAACATCTAGCAAAAAGGTCCTGTGCTGAAAAATAATCATTGTAACCGCAGAACCAAAGCAAACCCGCAATTTGATTGTCAACCAAATTGTCGGCGGCAATTGTGACATTTCTGCATCCCTGATAGAGAGACATATTCCTCGCAGTTCAGCCATGCCCTGCCACACACATATGGTAAATGCGACAAGGATCCTTCGCCTTTGGCTGGCCGAAATCAAGCTTCACTTTCGTGTTAGTTACTGGAGCAGACATTAGTGGCACTCTCCAGCGCCTCCTGCTCCTCCTTCCATCGTCCATAGCAAACGGTTTGTTCCAAGTGGTTTCAGTTGCGAGTGGCTTTTGCCTCGGCAAAAAGTTTTGCACACTCATGTCAAGGAAAGGAAGGGATGTTGAGCGGAGGGGGAGTGGAGGGGCACAAGGGTCTCCGGACCAACAAAAACTCTGCTAAGGGGCTTAAGTCGTCGCTCACGCGAATCTCTCTTCGCACTTCCCACTCCAAAGGGAAGTATTTTGACGTACTGCTGATGTCCGGCGGACTGCTGCGGTTGCGGTTCCGTACGGTTCAGTTTGGTCTGGTCAGGTTCGGGTTTGGGTTTGGGCTTTTTTTTTGGTGCCCTTAACTTGGTAAACGACCATCGTACACCGTTTGGAGCAACGTCCATCCACAGACCATACGCGTCGTAATTTCACTGACCCTCAATGGGCGAGTAAGAGAGAATAAGAGTCCCGGTCCGAGTCCAAGTCCGTGTCGGCTTTTTCCACTTTTTTTTGTTTCGTGCCAAATGCTTAACACTCAACAAAGTTGAGAGTTGAAGCAATTTTCCGCAAGAGTAATTAAAGCAATGGGCTGGCTGTCAAACGGGGGGTTCTTTCTGCGGCGGGGGTAGGTAGAAAAGGGGGGTGGTGCTAGGCGCCTGTGGGTCAATTTACACGTGAGCAGCCTCTGACCTGTTTCAAATGAGCGAAAAAAGGAAATTCTCAAAACGAATTGCGAGTGCGTTCAAGGTCACAGAAGAAGTGTGCATGAAATGTATGCGAATCGAAAGTGAAATGCTAAATAAAAAGCCTTTTCCAAGTTGTATATTTTATAAATATTCTTTCCTCAAATTTTATAAATAATTTTAAAATTTTAT